AGATGACCTTTGCTAGTGTGGGGTACCATTGCTTTCCAGGAGATAATGAATATGCTTTGTTCCATGCGTTCATGCGAAATTTTTCCGACCACGAGCGCGATAGATCACGCATCGAACAACAATTCTGCTGCTCCTGAAGTGCCTGCAAAGCCACACAATTCAACAACAGTGGCCCCGCGTTCTGAGGAGCAGTTGCCGTGATGCAGCAGCAGTCGTAAATCGCGCCAGTCAACGTTCCGTCATAAATGCGCAGCTAGTCTGGCAAATAAAACAAATGGGCTTTCCGGATTGATTACCCCCTCCCGGCCTGTGCGTTTCAGCAGCGTGCGCTCGTGGCGTTGATGAGCCGAGTGCGAGAAGTTCGGAAGAGCCGAACAGTCTTCTTCTGGCTCGTAAACGGTAACAGTAACGGCAGTCATAAATCGTCATCGCGATGATATACTGCCCGACTGGCGCCGTGGGCTGCGCGACTGCGATCGCGCGCATCGCCGCGACGACGACGGCGACGACGTTCTCGTCGACGCTCGCTGCCAACCGCGAACAAGGTCAGGCGCACCGATTCGCCACAGCAGCTAGTGCATGTGATATGTTCCCGACAAGGTGCTGAGGCGGGAAACGCTACCCGGTCATGCGGTCTACTCTCTCTCTCGCTCCTTCGAGCAGGTTTTCTGCCCGAGTGTATTCGCGCTTCGATGTGAGATGTACGTGCCGACGTGAGCGTGTAAATCGCTCTGCGTAGCCGTGCGCGACCTTGGAGTTGTTTGTGACTGAAGGTGTGTAGCTGTGTGTGTGCCTTGGTATGTCTTTAACGCTCGCTTGTCTTGAAAAGGATGTGCGTGAAGAGCTGCGAATGAGTTGCCAGCGATCAGCTAAATATCGCGCATCTATCAGTCAACAGCATGCAGACGATACATTTTGAGACATGCGCTCCGCGTATTCACATGCCTGTAAGTAACACTTTCAGCCATTTGCACCAATTAACAGGTTGTGGTTGACGGTTAAGCGAGAAAAGCAGCACAAAAAGTTAGTCCGCAAGTAACTAGCGCGAAAATACGAAATTCGAAGACATAACATTTATATTAGCTAGTTTTTAGTACCAAGCTTCATGTCTAACTGAGAGGCGGGTCCAGCTTAGTTTGACATGCACTCAACTTCTCGACTTCCGGTTTTCATCTCGTTTCGTTTGCAGTTCTTCGCTTTTAACCTTACTTATCCTTTGCACATTTGCAAAGCATGCTTAGGTCTTGTGCAAAACTTGAAGAATTAGGCTCATGTCATAGCTAAATAGCTATTTTTATGAGGGACAAAAAATCGGTGCAATAGGCAAAATCTAGCCAAACAGAAACATATACGAACTATTTTGATTCAAAGACCCATGAACAGGAAGTACAGTAAGACAAAATTAGGCAGCAGTAGATATATTATAGGTAATTAAATTGCACTTTCTAGGATTTTTCCGATAGTACAAAAGCCACACCTCCTTTTCAATTCGACCAATGAGAAAAGTTGTCAAAGTACAAGCGCCTAACTGATTTGAAAGCGGAGATGTTGAAGGTTAAAAGCCGCGTCAAAAAAGTCCTGAAGCTAGTTGAAGGCTGCTAAAGAGTGACAAGCTGAAGCAGAGGAGACAAACGACAGAACAATAATCACCTTGCAGCTGTTATGAGTTTAAAACAACGACAAACGTGCCAGTATCGATTGCGAGTCGTCGATTTGCTCGGATCCCGGAGAAAAGCTGAGCGTCGACGATCAGCTCGGGATAGATGCGCTCAAGGGGCAAACGTGCAAGTTCAGGTGGCAGGGGTCACGCCACAAGCACGGCGAAATCGCGGCGATTCCGGATCGCGATCGCAGCACGACGATGTTCGCTAATCGGAGGGAACGCTCACTTTAGCGGCAGCTCTTGCGCAGAATCTTCAGCTACAGCACTTTTCTCGACTGTTTCTTTGCCATCACAGCAAATAAATCCCCGGGCCCATCGAGTGTTCTGACCTTTCGACTATACGTAACTCGCTGACGCTGTCGCCGCACCGGCAGAACCCCGGAAGCCGTACGACCCCCCCCCCCCCTCTTGCCTCCTTCCGTTCAAATTCAATAAAGAGTGCAGCCAGTTTGCAAGCACGGAATTCTCACGATGCGCTGTAATTTCCCACGATCATTGTGTAAAATACTAGAACACATAATTGTAATGTCACTGTAAAGAGGAGGGGGCACGACAAGTTTAAAAGAGCGTCGACGTCTGTCTGGGTCTAGCTGTGATGTGTGGGTGCGTGTGTGTGTTTGTCTGCTCATGATATCATCGCTTTTTCTTTCACAACTTTCTCAATTGTGTCTTTATGTCAGAATGTATTCGAGACGCTACTGTCGCTTACGGTCATTTTGTTCACATAGACATGCAATAAACATATTAGTGAAATCACGCGATCGGAATTCCTTTTGCCAAACTTGTTCTTTAGTCCTTGATTTCAACTTGGATTCTATCGATTTCATGATCGGATTTGTTATGCTTACCTTTTTTGAAACGAATAAGTCCTAGTTTGGAAACACGAAAATACTATGGTTAATTAATCTGAGTGAAAGCAAAAGATGAAGTTTAGAATTGCTAATAATACCAAGTTATATTATCATCGTTATATATTCACACACAATTTGTGGATCTTACCGGGTACCAATTTCCGATTTGTTTGAACCGAAAAAAAACTTGCTATATTATTTCTAAAAATTTCTAGCATCAAAAATTGGTTTGCAGGAGATTTAACCTCGAAAGCAGAATACAATGCCTTTTCACTTAGTGATCTGGCTTTTTCGTAGGTCGACTAGCACAACTCAAATTCTATTTTCTTAAGAGAAATATGTATTGACACAACTTATTGTCAGTTTCCCCCTGAGACGTGTAAGAAGGATTCTACAATTCTTGACATTTAAAGCTCGGCACGTTTTTCATCTCCTCAAAGCTCATGGATCACTCGTAAAGTTCAAAAAATCTAGCCATAGGAAAAAACGAAAAGGTCAATTCAAAGTCTTGGAACGTTTCAAAGCTAATACAAAAGTTCATTTCATGACGGTAATACCTTTGCCAGCGAGAGAGAGAGCTCTTGACAGATGCACATTATTCAACAGGGTACTTTCGAAAAAAAAAGAGAAAAAACGAGGAGCAGAACTAAAGAAAACACATTAAGTAAACGAGGTGATCTATACTTTAACTGAGCAATGAAGAACTGGGGAAATGCATGACGATTGTAATAATATATGAATATCAATAGAATGAAGGTGTGACAAGAATGGAGAGCGAGCGAAAAGGGTGTATCAGCTCCAAAAAGCGTTGTTAGTTCTGATTTTACTAGTAAATCCCCATAATTTTAAAATATTTGGGAGTTCCTTTGAAACGAAGAGTGCTGTATAAACAGTTAAGAAAGTAAAGAAAGACAGAGATGAATTTTCCATGATACTTCGTGACGAACAGGATATTGAAAGAGGAGGATTACGGTAGGTTAGAGAGAGAGCTAGCTACTACTTACAACATGATTCTTACTATAGTAAAAAAAGTGTGCAAAATTCAAATTGAAGGTAGCATAGCTGAATAGATAAGCGAAAATAAACATTTTCTTAAAAAGATTCTCAGATTATCTTCTCAACTTAGCACAAGCAATAACGAAAATAGTGCGATATGTCGATATTGCACGGCAAAAGATGTGCGAAAGAAAATTTGTACGGACCTCAAGAATATAGTGAAGATTTAGCGGAGGATGAGAGGGAAACGATTGAGGGATGCATGAAAACGATAGAGAGCCGAGGCAGCTTTAGCTCCGAACCGGCTCGAGAGGTACTAGACGCGCGCAAATATGTTCAGCGGAAGACGTTTTGAATTTCTGGCAGTTGTTCGAAGTCGAATTTGACCTAAGAAATCTAACTCACACTTTGGCAAGTTTTTATCCTCGCTTTTTGGGAAATTTTAGTGACCCAGGAGACTTCCTTGCTTCATTCTTAGCACATTCCCCACTTCTCACCCATTCATTTACCCGCATTTACCCGCGTCCAAGAAATTCAGCTCAATCAATTCAGGATCAGCAAACGGCTGATTGTGTGCACAGCGATATCGCTGACAGGTGCATTCACGTGGGAGATGCCGTGGATCCAGCCCAAGCATCTTGCTTCAACCCACAAAAGTGCTAGATCTACGGACAGCTCAGGTGAACTGAAGCTAACTATTTACTCCTCGAAAATGTGCTCAACCAGAATGCATAGACTTCGTTTATCAAGCAACAGTTTGGCTCTTGAGTTGGTGACATCTCAAACACAGACATGTGTTTACTTTGCTTACTGAAGTATGTTGAGTGAATGGACTTAGTCCTCTAAGTGTTGAGCACTAAATTCTTAGTATTCAGGTAAATGTTCGCAAAGCGCACAAAAATGAACCGAGTGAAGTGAGTCATAATTTGTAAAAGATAATCGTTCAATAAATGAGCTTAAACTGTCAAGCTTATTCCACAATCCTATGTCATCATGCTAGCAATGTGTGTTATATTGTACCCGAAGAAGAAAGATGGGTTGAAAAGTAATCTAAAATGATCTCATTTATATAATTTGATATAACGTGAAGTTCATGTGCAAGCACACAACGTAGATTCAATCCCTGATTAGCGTTACAAGCTCTTATAACCTTGAAAAGCGATTCCTTCTCAAAATCGTTGCACTCCATTGAATAATACTTAATTCTAAGAAAACTTTCGCAAATCGTTTGCATAATGTCGCTCACTGATCTATCAATCCTTGCTTCATAAAATCAATAAAAAAAAACATTCAGCCACCAAAACTACAGTAATTTATCGCAGAATTGTGTTCCTTGTGAACTTGCGCAATTGTTTTGCTGTAAGGTTGTGGTGAAGACTCAAGATGCGATAGGACATCTAGTACAACATACATGAATATGAGCTTTTTGAGGCTCTCCACATTCGACATTCTCCTTCCCATTCGAAGAAAGTGGTAATAATATTGCGCACCTCTGATTGGCTGCAAGAGTATCATCCAATGGCGGCTGGCAGAGTACTATTGAACGCGGTTCGGAACTAACGCATCCTATTGCACTAAAATAGCTAAGTATAAATCACTTTGAAAATGATTCTAGTTGAGCTTACCTTCTCAAGAGAGCTACTCGAATTTGCAAGCCATGTTGATGAAAGCAATTTTTGTAATGAAACTCTGAGAAGTATAAGTATCCCCAAAATCAAGCAAAACAGCACTATTTGAGATTAATAGTGGAAATAAGAGAGAATAAATGAATATTATCACGGTGTGATAGTAGCACTGCTACTCTTCACATTACTATATTTTGCCGAAGTTCCTTGATTTTGTGGAATGACGCAAGAAAATAAGTTTAACAAATTAACTAACAAGTATAACGTTCGATAAGGATGATTTTTACGAAAACACAATACGGAAAGGAGAAAGGAGTGTCGCTAGGGCCACTTTCGAACCAAACTGACGCCGTCATATCGAATTCCCATAGATCAAAAAATAATCTATACCGTACCCTTGCTCTACCATTCAGATACAGTATGCTATTGACTCATTTTCACCATTTTCCATCTTTTTCCTTCTCATCTTACTCCAAGGTATTTAGCTGTGTAAAACTTTTTCTAGCATGAGCGAATATTATCATGGCACAGGAGAAATGCCATGAGCCACATTTCGATGCCATCTGCTAGCTGAAGAAGAGCAGTTGAGTTGATTGCGACAGGGGGAGGTAGGGGGAATCAAATTTTTATCCCTGTTTCAGGCTAAAATCTGGCTAATCCACTGCAATGACTGCACACGATATGCGCATCAGGTGCCGCGACCACTTTTGACCTATTGCTCGGAGTGCGGACAGCCGTCAATAGCAACAGGCGCGCGGATAACGCGATCCACGGATTCGCCACGGCTGCAAATGTGCCGCGGGACCATCGAAAGTGTACAGAGAAGATGTTGAGGGGTTCCCCGTCCGTGATGAAAGCTCACAAATCTCGTGCTTATCCTGCAGATACCACATAATACATGAAAACTGGTTGTAAAATTTTGAAGATTGTTTTTTCCCACTACTTACGCTTATTTCGTGACTTGATATGACTATTGCATAACATGCTACTCCGCGGCATATGTGTTTACAAGATGCTGGCTAGTAGTGCTAGCTAATTTCTCGTTATCTTTTCTTTTCGGATGGAAACAGATACATATAGGCGTAAAATCGTTTCCAACAGTCTGCTCTTAAACTGTTTTCTACTGACTGCTTACCGTAGTCGTGAGATGCCGCGCGTAGTGTGCAATCTCACTTAGTATTCAAATGAGTTTGAGAGAAAGCCATAGATGTGACATTTCAGAGTAGCAACCCATAGATTCTATCTCCTTGACTGCAATTTGAGCCAAAAGACTTATGTTGAATTAAGAATTTCAGCTTGATTCGAGGTTCGAAACATTTTTTGAGAGTTAGTGAAAGATAATACGCGTATATCGCAATATTTTTGAGTGTCACTGAAGCTGAAAACCGTATACTGAGTAGACTAATGAACGTGCAAAAATTGGAATCTTAATTATGTAAGCCTCATAATTTTTTTATATTTGATAGGCTGAACCATCCTATGACCTGCGGAACAAAAATGTAACTAAGGAGCCACTGCCTTTATTTGTTTCACTTCCTTACTTGATGGGTCCACATGCGTTTTTTCCGTGTGGATCCTAAGTGTAATACAAGGTTTGCTAGATCCATAAGCCACATCACTCCAACTTATGACGTAAAAGTCATTTGGAGAGTGGCACACTTTGTTGGTAAAAATACGGTAGCTTCATTACACATAGTATTGTATAAAGATCTCCTAATTTCAAATACTCCGATTACCGCTAACAACTCGTGAATACATAAAACCGCAAAGCCTCTTCAAAAAGGTCTCATTGCTCTGCAAAGTTGTGTGCAGGCCTTTGATGGCCCTGTTCAAAGGTCACTGCCTTGATAAAAAGTATACCAAAAGATTACTGTATCTGAAGTCTATGAAAATGAGGTTCCAACTTCGTCTGATTTTTGACAGAATAGAAATGGATCCTTTGTGAGCCGTATTAAGTAGATTAAATTTTTGCAAAGGCCTGAGTCGTGCCAGTTTACGACTATTAAGTTGTCCCATGAGCCTCGCTCCATAGTCTTGACATTTGTAAACTCCTCGATTTTTGGTGAATTATTTTGGTTCAAGATTTGTTAAAGAGAGTGTTAAAGAGAGAAAAACATCCGTTTTTTAGCGGTTCTCAGTGATGCAGTCAAAGGAGGATACTCAACCGCAATTTTCAAAGGAATACTCAACAGTTTTCTGCGATTCCCTCCAACTTTACTTTAGTCGTAAAAAGATGCTGAAGAGACAGAGAAATTTACTACTTTTTGCCTGATGCAGTGACCCCATCCTTCCACCTAAACTCGTGTTAACTCAACATCTCTATCAGCTATAATTCTTCTAATCATCTTGTTGATTTCGTTAAACAACTATGCTATGCATAATAAACACAACATTGAGAAAAAACATGTACTACAGATCCAATTTTCTTATAAAACGAATTTTTATAATTTTTGTTGCGAGACTTATTAAAGCATTTTACCTGCCATACCTCACAAGGATTACGGTACTGACGACGCGTATGTTGTCATCGCTACAATATGTATGACACGAGGTCATGTCTGGCGTAAGTTCGACCGTAGCGGCCTCAGCTGTTTGTCTTACGATCGTAATCCAGCTTAAGTTAATTTGTTGCAAAAAGATGATGTTGGCGGCCGCCTCTTATCCTTAACCTCCCATTGGGTAACGTGGAACAGATCACGCTTATGGAGTGCGTCATACTTAACACCTTCCGAAAGAGAGAAGAATTAGAGCTGATTTGGGGAAATTCCGATTTTTCTCCCGAAGACGTTAGAAATGCACATAAGGCTCGTATCGGTCGTAAGTATAAATCTCCAGAAATTCCAAACAATTCATTTAGAAATACTCAAAGAAGCGTTGATCTATATTATTTTTTTATTGAATAAGGTAAATGCAGTATTTTTTTCGACAGATTTTATTTCGAATTATATCAAATCTCGAAAATAAAAAATCCATAAATTACAATTTTTCGTAGAGACATCCATTAAATTTATTTCAGTAACATAGGGTAGACTATAAAACACAAAAAGTAAACTAAAAATCTATGGTCCTTTCAGCATTTTTGGTTTCAAAAGTTGGAAAACGCAATTTGAGTATTTGTCTTTAACCGATTCTGTTATCGCATGACAATGATGATTCTTGCGCTGAGAATACTTGAAGAGTTAAATTTTCTCTCTTCGAACTATATTTTGTCAAACGGTCATCAAACATGGAGGAGATTACGAATTTTGATAAAAAAAAACAGTGCAAGAACTGTGTTACAACCTAGGTTGGCAGATGATTTCTAACTTTTTTTTTATTGATTTCCTAAAAAAGCTCATTTGCTTTGCATCTCACGCTAGCAGTTTTTCATAGTTCAAATGGTACACCTTGAGTGTAATGATAAAGATAAAGATAAAGGATCTCAGAGATGACAAGGACTATCTTCCCACCGTCATGGATGGACGATGCCGCAGATGCCCACATATGTAGCTAGCAAGTTCACGCCAGTTTTGTGAATATCTAAATTTTTTCTGTCTAAAGATTTTTTCCTGCATATCCTTGTGTAGCCTTTGCTCTTCTTCAATTTTTTTGAAACTCTTGGCGCCGTATATGGCAGCAGTGTGGTGTTTCTGACCCATTGACGACGACGTCTGATTTTGCGTGGCGGCGCTGAGGGACGACGCGATTTTGCACAAACTTTCGGCGTGAGAAAGTTTTGTGATGATTTACGAAATGTGAGGTTGTAAGCAGCTACACATTTTCTTGGACGAAGAAAACTACAGATTTCAAGGGGGCAAAAAATGGAAAAATACTGGGCGTGGAAAGTATATGATTTTGCAAAGGTGACACCGGTGACCCACATCGTCCCTGGAGGCAAAAGGTGCGTGGGCCAATGGTGCACATGGTCGTCAATAGGCTAGTGTCACAAGAATGCGAGGCGAAAAAATTGCCAAAAAATTTTTATAAACATTCGAAAACGATTTTTTTGTGCATCGTGTAAGAATTGCTACAGATAGCCTGAGAACATTTCTTCAAAATTTACGACCATTCCTCGATTAGAATCAATAAATAAAGATGTAACGAGATTTTGGGCCAGGTTAAGACATTAGCAAAATCATCTTGATTCTGTTCTCAAGAAGTACTGTAACTGCTCAAACACTAAATCATGTGAAAACTTTTTTACTATAAATATCACATCTTCATTATCATCTGCACATAGACTTATGACTATATCTCCGTTTTGTACAACTGACACAGACAATAACATGACAAGAAATTGTATACATTAAAATGCTAAAAATACTACAACTTCTAAAAATGTTCCATGATGAGGTCCAATAATGCGAATCTCCATGACAAGAAACTCTTTGAGATTACTCTTTCTCTAATAAACTTCTAAACTTCTATCTTCTATTGTTTAGTGATATCGTATAAGAATGTATCCTCTTGAAACAGATCGAAGAGATTGAAAAGTTCGATGTCTTCTCGGAATTTGCAGCAGACCAACTAAAATTGTATATTCAATGGGCACAGATAAATAATTACTGTAGGCTTTCACCTGAAAGGTCCCGTTCAGCATGACTAGTTCTCCCAAACGTACTGCATAGTTGTCGGTACCATCCGTTCTGAACCTCATGTTTTTACACATGAATTCGTGATTGTTTCGTTTGAAGTCAAAATACATGAAATTACAGCACTATATATACTGTTTGATCGTCAATAGCCCTCTCAGTTCAATGTATTTCGCGGAAGTTTGTGTACCATCTTCCTAAGCTGGCTCAATATCGGAAATACAAGGCAAAGAAATCAATTTTTTTACGTTTTTAGGTTGGCAGATAAGTAATGCAACTTTTTATCTAACTTTTGTCTTTTTGAACGTAGTGCATTCATTTTCTGGCAGTATAAGGATTATGATATAAACTGCAAATGCGGACCATTTTGCCGAATTTTGCCACCTTATGCATGGGTTACGGTAGGTCTACGGTATAACGGGAAAATTTTTAGATTGCGTAAGATTTTGCTGAGACTTGGCCTATGGGGTTATTCGACATGCTGATTACAAAATAAGACGCTTTTTGCATGAAAAGCCCTATTTCAAAGCTCAAAAAGTGAATGTTATCTTAGCGACAAATGAATATGGTATTCGTGTTCACCGTATTGGATTACCCTATTGTGCAAAGTTTTAGCGAATTCTGAGGTTTCACAGCTCAATTATTGACAGATTGTCCTCAAAACTTGACGCATTTGACTTGTTCTGCTTCTCAAATGCGCCTTATCTTAGTCTGTATGAGAGTGCTAGGATGAGAGTGCTTACCTTTAGTAAGAAGAATCTTATGGGAAAAGTTGCAAAACTTATGTGCCAACCTAATACTTGTCATTACGGCACAAAATTTGAGAGGATTTGATTCACCGAGAGTCAAATACCCCAAGAAAATATTCGAGAAAAAAAACTGAAAACCCCACTTCAAAGTAATAGAACAGTCGAATTTGGAAATGAAGTAAAATTCTACGATCATTTAAGACCACAACGCAATATTTCAGAAACCAACATTACCCAAGGGCTATATTTCAAAAAAAAAAAAACAGAGATAGTTAGAATGGGCAAAAATGATGCTCAAGATTTGGAGCTGGCCAAAAGCTCAACACCTCAAAAAATTACTATCAAAAGTGCTCGCACCAACAAAACAAGCATCAACTGTAATCTGTAATATTTGCAATCATAAAATTTCTGCTATTTCAAGAAAAAAAAATTGGTCCACCACAGTAATGAATAGATCACATAGACGAAATTCCGGAAAGCAAAGTTTACGCAAAATTAGTATTGGAGGTTCAGAATCTATAATTTAAATAAACCCATAGATACCTGTATAGGAGATGCAGTTCGTCGAAAATTTTCGCTCTTGCCTCTGCCGCCACTCGTTCGATGGTTTCGGAAGAGCTTTTAGTGTCTAAAGAAAATGCTCATTTCACTGCAAAGCAGCTGTATCATTAACTTACATGTAGACCAAAGTCCAAGAGCAAGCAGAGCAGAATACTCATGCTCAGTAATTTCGAGTTTTTTCAGCGATTTCAGGGCACACAGCCGGTATTTGTCACTCATACAATCTCGCATCATTCTAGAAAAATAAGAATGGATGCATAAAATAGGAAGCTGATTTTCAAAGGAAGTTCAAAAAAGAGTTCTCACTGCATAAGAAAAAAAATGGAGTATAAAAAAGATGAGAAAATTGGAATCATGAAAGTTGAATGAAATTGCGCTGGATTAAACTCACCTTGCCAATTCCTCTTTACTAAGTTTGCTTTGTGGTGCGTCTACAAAGAACTGCATGATATCGTTGGAGTCGACAAATGTGGTCTCGGTCACAATATTCCTATAAACTCAGTCTTGTTCCAAAAACTCTGCAGTAAGCTAACCTTACATTGTTGAGTAGAGATCAGGAGGTACAAGCCGATACGTCCGGTAGATACTGTCCATACTAAACATCATAACGAGGAATGCATGGAAAACTGACCACTAAAAGTGAAGAAAATATTGAATTGTTGAATGCCCACGGAAACAATAAATTACCTTTTCTTCTTGGCTAAGTAGAGCAAATTCATCAAATGTGGTGTTTACAAACTCAGCTAATGCTGGCATTTGTGCTCGTAATATGTTCGACGTCTTCAATGTGCTACCATAAACCAGATCCTGAACAATGAGAGAAAATCAAAACAAGCAGTTAATGCCTGTTAAAATTCAAGATAGCGAAATATAAATCTATCTAATTCTCTCAAAAAATACTAAATTCTTCAAATATTGGCAATACATGGGTTGCAAAATCCCTTTGCAATACACTATATTTGACACCTGAGTCCCTCCATAACAGTCGAGAAAGAATTTGTTCCGAACTAAACTCTATTCTATAGATTCTGATTGGAAAAGAATGTTATAATGATGAACGGCTGCAAATTATTACTTTTATCTCTATTGTGAGCAAAATTTATGGACAAAAGAACTCAGAAAAGAAGAAAAGAAGAAAGAAGAAGAAGAAAAGAAAATACTCTGTAAATCAGCATCCTAATACTTAGCTCTTCAACTAATCTTTTGGCGACCAGAAAATTATTTTTCGATTGCTGAGTTTCAGAACGTTGCGTTCTTCATTTTTTCAGAGTTTATATCCTGTCGATAGGAAGAGTGTCTCATGATAATGTTATGAAGAAAAATTTAATCATATATAAGTAGTTTGCCTATGAGAATAAACAAAGGTGCTGGCTGTGAAAATATCAGGATTATCATCAGAATTATCAGAATTATTACAATGAGAATTTTGAAAAAATTACAAAAGAAAATTTGGAACACAAACAATCCTCACCGCTCCTTTGATAGACTCATCAAACATGTTACGCAACGAAGATCCATTCATTGACAGCTCCGTGCTCTTACGAACAGCACAAAGTTGCCTAAAGAATAAAAACACCTTGCAAGCGTCAAAATTAAAACAAAAGCCATTAACAAGGTAGAAAGATTAATATAGTGTTCTTGCATTGTTAGTCGCGCGTAAAGAATGGACCTGGAGCGCAAAAATTGGGATTATGCGCTTTACGGCCACTTTTCAAACATGTTGCCGGCATCGAAATCAACATTTACTACAAATGTTGACGTCATGACGTCACTGGGAACATTATACAACCCACTAGGCGTTGAGCCAACAACGGAACTAGCATATTTAGCTTATCCCAAAAGTTTTGTCCGTTTCTTCAAACGACTATAGAACCTCGTCTAATGAAGATATAAACACGTTTGAGCATGCATTCGATGCAACTTTTTTTCTCTTTCCGATGACTACACTATCAAACCACAATGTACTGATCCCTTCTAAACAACTGCTTCGTCACTCGTCAATTCTATCAGCAAATTTCGGCTATTTGAAAACAATTATCGCGAACTTTTGGAGGAGAAAACATGATGAAAATAGAGCAGATCTTGGACTAAACGTTAATTTTGCATTTCGAACTGTTTGGAGCTCTACAATATCATTTCTTCAGATATTATCTCGATCTCAAGTAAAATTATAAAACACACAATGCAGCAAAAACATGAATGCTTTCAAACTTATGCGAATTGTTGATTGTCATTAAACACTAGTGCAAAATGACCCGACTCATTCTGCTCGAAAGAATCAGCTTTTTGGGAATTTCGGCATGCCTATGCGCTACATTTGTTCAAAAGCCGAAGCTGTTCTCAAATGAACAATTATTGCAGACTCCAAAAAACCTGATTTAGGTCTAATCTGAAATGAGAAAAATGTAGCCAAAGGTTTACTCTACATAAAGCTACTAGCGCTTTTTCAACTCCAGGATGAAATTTTTTGGGGTAAAATTGGACGTCAGTGTTAGACTGCTCTAAGAGCCTTGGAGATGACATCGTAAAAATTGCATAGATCTAGAAGAAAACTGTTTTTTAGAAAGAGGACAAAAATCTAGACCTCTGATACCTACGTCGTTGATAGATCAGTATTCTATTTCGTGGCCAATAAAAATGGGCAAAACTTTCGGAACCACCTAATATTTTCAAACGCCACAAAACCCTTATAAACAAACGTGATTGCTCCTTTAGTAAATGACAGTAGATGACAAACCTGTAGTTCTGAGTGATTTTCATAAGAATGTGGGGCAAGTCCATTTGTGTAGATGTGGTCGGCTGAGTGTAAGGTTCCACAGTAGGAACTCGAAATATTGACGACTGAGGATGATTGACAAGTTGAAATGCTGACTGCGTGCTACGTTGCTGGAATATACAGTATACTACTGTCTAAACTCTCGTGAAGGTACATAGTCCGTACAAGCTGAACACGCATCACGCAACGCACTAAACGCGCACGCGTGCGCGTGCGTGCTACCGCTGTTGACCATGAACCTTCAGAATGACATAGCCGAAAACAAAATCAACTTACAAGGGTTTCATTATCAGATGGGCTGACTGTAAGAAATTGCGAGTATTTCTGTGGTTCTGTTTCTTCGGGAATTTTTGGAACTATATGATCACGTTTGTTTTGTACACCTGCAAAGCTTCAGGTTAACTGACTCTCAAATCTTCTGTTCAGCTACCTTTGTCTAAATTCAAGCTACAAATGCTTCACCAAGACAATGTCGAAAATTAGAGCATACCGACCACATCAAGATGATCTAATGTCAATGAAAAGCGGTATTTTCTTAACGATTCCTACACATGCAGGTCTGATGTAGAAAAACTCACTTTCGGGTAGCATCCCAGCGCTAAGACATTTTTCGAAACGGCACTTTCGACATATACATCTGACCGCTGAAAAAAATATTTAAGTGAGGTCTCCTCAGAAACGGACTAAACATATTAGGGTAAGGGTTTTTGTCTTTCATAACCTCCCTTGATATGAATAAATTTAGAAAACTGATATGGGTGTTGAAGAAAAGGTTGTGCGTTTTCCCAAAATGCTCCTAATTGCTTGCAATTTTGCCGATTTTACAAAATATCTGTTGTAGTTGACCATTCATCATTCGCATTTTCGCTTTTTTAATTGGATTGTAACGCAGCAGGAAGCTGCCAGAAATCTTACGTGTTTTGTCAATTTCAAACCATCAACTGCTAAAAATTCAAATTAAGTTTTTTTTCAGATAGCAAAAAAAATTCTTCAAGCGAAAATAATCGAGAAACAAGACTCTCGCAGAAAAAAAATCGAATGGAAATTCAAATAAAAGACTAACAAATTCCAAAAAAGTTTTCTATGAAGCGTGAGCTTTGCTCTATTTGCTAGTGACCTGCTGTGGCCGAATTCATCAACGAACCGTTCCGGAACCCACTGGGTTAGTGCTTTTGATGAATATCGATTCTACCCTGGAGTAGAATCGATATTCATCAACTAACCCCAATGGGTTCCGGAACCCACTGGGTTCGTTGATGAATACGGCCACTGGTTTTGCGAAACTCAATGTAATGAGAAATTTGGCGGGGGTGGATTGAAGCACAAAATTACAGATTACACACTTCAGCAGCTTTTTATACGCTGGTCAGAGGTTCTAGTTGCAAACATGACCATTGGAGAGGAAGGAATGAAACGTCAAATACATTTCGAACCTTTTCCTTGGTTATTTTTTTTGCGAAATTGGTGAACCACACCATAGTGGAAATTAAAAAGTAAATGAAAGCGCATACATGGAATATACCCAATTTTCATTCCTGCATTTTCCATTCACCCTCACCGTGAATGATATCAAAGTATATTTAGAGAATTACACAACATGACAGCATTTGGTCTAAGCATGATAAGCGGATATGTCAGCTCAGAGTTCAAAAAAATACGCCAGTTCAAGATTACTTCTCATTATTGGTCTGATAAGATGCTTTCGCTCACGGTGTCATTCTACCGCTCGGAAATGGAAAAAAAAAATCTTGGCGGAAACTAATACCCCCAAACATTTATCTCGCCTCTCAAAAAACCTTGGAAAAAAGAAAGAAATCAACTACGAATACCGAACTTAGCAAAAAGCTTCTGGAATCGACATATTTTTCCCCAGGAACAACGACACAAGAGAAAACCAGCTGAACGAAAAGCTTTAGCTTCATAGTTGAGATGAAGACTACAGTCCTCAAAAATCTAGAAGATTACGTTTGAGGATAATCTTGGTTGAAATTCATCACTTTATTCTGCTCATTTCCTTCCAAAGCTTTTCACATTTTCTTCGATGAACACCGAAAATTAAAGAGAAGCATCGTATGAGTAATTCAATAAGGCTTACTTTCCTTTCAAGCAACATTCTTTATCATATCTTCCATCAGCATTCTAACCCTTTTAGATAATGGACACAAATCACACAGTAAGTGCTCAGTCAAAAACACAAGATACTCTAGCTATTCTAAGTCTTCCTTTACGCCATTAGGTTTTCATGATTAACCGTAAATCTGATCTCATACTGATATTAGCTCACTGCAAAAGCTCTGATTTTTCGAAATTTGAAAGCACACTGAATCTTATAGAACTCAAACCACAACCAAGTCAGACGCATCAAAAACATCTTCCCATCCGCTCCTGTACTTTAATCCTTATTTTGATTTTTTTTTGATTTCTTTCTGTGAAACATTTGATAGAACTGATTGATTCAAGATGATCATGAAATTGTCCTTTAAAAACTCCCAACAAATTTCGCAGAAAAAAAAACGCTCGCTAGTGACTGAGAATGAGTGCATTCAAAAACTGAGACTGAATCTCACTGATCTTCGAATCTTAGTGCAGTGGAAGGCGAACAGTCAAATATGTGATTTCCACAGCTCAGCTTTGACATTATGATATAGGGCGAGATAAGACAGTTGATTAGCCGAATGGACTTTTTTTCTCACTTCGCAGCAGAGCCTAAGAAGACCGTACGTTTGTCAGAGAAATTGAAACTATATTGCCAAGTAAGTTAATTGAAAAATGAATTTGAATTTTAACAGAGAGCAGCCATCATTAACAATACAAGAATGGACATGGCTGATACTTCGAGATGCACTGAAGAGTGATAGTGAAAAGTTTGGATGCAAATGAAGTCGTTCTATTGACCAAAATATTTCGTACTGATAGCTATGCTTTTTGGCCACCAAAAGAAACTTTGGTGCTGAATACAGTTCAAAAATAGGAACTAGCAATTTTCCAAGTTGTTTAGAGTGGTAATAGAGAGCGGACTTTTTTATATGCAGCAGGAGGTCATAAAGTAGATTACAATAAAGCTGAAAATAACTCAAGAAAATCTGATGAGAAGGTCATTTCTATGCTCAAGACTTGAGTGTCAATGGCTTGGCAAAACGCATGATCAGAAAGACTTTGTCTCTAAAAATTTCAAGACCTTTTTGCGCATGCTACCGTTAGGTCAGTGGTATCTAGAAACAAATAAAAGACTTGAATATCATTTATACCTCAAAAAATCTCTAACCAGGTTGTAGGGCTTCCATTACTCTACTTCTTGAAGATCATAGACAAAATTTTGTACATCAGAACAAATCGAGGAGATTGGTTTGGAAGCAGCACCTAAAGAGACGAGGAAAGATAGCAAGGAATGTGATGGGAGGATCACTCATTTTCTATGAGTTCATGCCAAATAAACAAAAATTTACAGGGCTGGGCTACCCAGGGGTGGAGCAACAAACAATGCCAATTTGGACCGCCTCTGCGGACTCCTAGTCCTGCAACGACATGCAACAACACCGCAAAAGGACCAGTTGTCAGCGGAGGCCGCTCAAAACTATGGGTTCGTTTCCCTACCCGCTGGCCTAGTCTCTTTTCGAGCATCGCTAGCGATAGATAGACAGACAATCACTAGTTTACTTTGCATGTAAAGCCTTTAATAAATCCTCGTAATTTAAATCCAAAAATAAAAAAATTATAAAATTTTACAAAATTTTCAGAAAAAAAAGATCAAAAAAGCTGGGAAGTTTGCTGTTCATTTGATACCAAAAAAATTTTCAATGAAAAATTTGCTCACATTTGTTGATATCACAAGAGTTCGATCCCTGGCGGCACACGTATTTCTTCTGCATCGCTACCGATCTGCGAAAGAATGCAGCACAAGCGCGACATGAGTCGATACCGAAGTGAGCACCGTCGGAACGATCGCAGCAAACCCGACAAGATCGACCACCAGTGGACATACTGGAAGAGAACCACTTCTTTTCCCTTTACTGGTAATCAATGCAATGACACTGTAACGGTACCTAGACTGTTGAAACATTTAGAAGAGGTTCTGGATCGCGAATTGAACACCAAACACGTTTGGATGATGGATAGATGAGCGAAATGAGCGATTGCACGAATGAGACCAGTTGAATTTTTTCGTACTGAATGTGTAGTCGGTATTGAATGATCGCTGACATATCAAACAACTGATAGCAGCATCTAGAGTATGACCTTGTGACAAAAAGATCAGGTAGAGATAATTCGTTTCAATGCAATATCACCACGAGTTAGCGTACTCAAAAAAGATTTTAAAAAAACGTAAAATGTTCCGCTTTTGTCACATTTGCCGTTAACGACTTAATGCTGAAGTGACAACTGCAAATCTACACTGATATGAAAACCAATGAGTCGGAGATCGCAAAAAAAGAGAAAAGAACAAAAAAATCAGCACAGAAAGATAAAACACATACTCGCATCGCAGCCAAGACGATTATGGATCAAAATATCGCTCATACACGATATACACTGCAAGACCAATCAAGACCAATCCACACACATGTAAAATCTTCGTAAAGGATAATACAAGTCTTTGGTTGTTTGAGAAGCACTTAAAAAAAACCACCGAGCTACTCTTGAAGAAGTATTTATGAGATGACAGCAACAGGAATTTTTTCACGCATCCGAATACGTTCGTAGATGCGCTATCAGGCTGGCCCATCACTTTCGTCCAAAATTTTCAGAAAATTCGTAAACTTTTACCAGTTTCTAAACATATGAGGGACCTGGTAATTTTTGATAAGAAACAGTTTTCCACAGCGCTCAAAAGACGGAGGTGCAAAAAAATGCGCCAAAAAGTTTTTGCAAATGGTTGGAAATGACTCTAATTATGCTTCGGTATGTCCCAAGAAAATGTTATAGGTGGCATGCGTTGAAAGCTTTCAAAAATTTGATTAGAAATTTTTTGTAATTTTTGGTGCAAGATATGGACCAACGTAATACATCTTAGAACACTCGTTGCGGATATGCGTAGTGTTAAGCTGCTGTATTTCTTAAATCAATTCTCAAACTTTTGCTATAATGGTCTCATTTCATGGTAAAGTACCAATAAAAATTTGCATATGTAATACTCGAAATTCAATAAACAGCATGGCTGTTTGTAAATGCGCTTTGATTTTGTTTACTTTTTTGGAAGAGCTTCAAATGGCAAGGATTGAGGAATAAAAATATACGCATTACAAGAAGTCCTTTTACTTTAATCACTTCATATCCTCTCCTTTCGAAGGGGTTGCTCATGCTGCTAAGTTTCTAAACAATATTTGCTATGTAAGTATACCATTAAATGATGAGCAGCTTTTTTAACTTTGCAAAATAAGAAGCGAAAGGGGGCTTTTAGACCATATCCCAGTCATTAAAACATCCAAGTTCCTCCAACGTTTTGCTAGTGATTGTCAACAAACATTGCGGCGTATTCGCAAAAAAAAATTTTTTTGGTAGCAAATCAATTGGCAAACATCTCCGTAGAGAGAATCCCAAGATCTGTGGATAAACTCCCCTCCCCCCCCCCCCCCGCTCCCATGAAAGGCAGAGAATTTTCGGAAACTTCAATAATTATTCATAATCCCAAAATTTTCGGGGGCAATCAATGAATGGTGCAGGCTGAACAGGAGTTTTCAACAATTCATGTCGACCATTCTCAGTGAAAAGAAAAACTTCCGCACCATAATGAGACTGATAATAGAAGATCTAAAATAAGTTTCAGAAAAAAAACAGTAAGGATGAAGCGAGGTCAGAAATTGCACAAGCTTATATCCTTTTTCTTGCATATCTCATGCACATTTCTCATCGAGTGTCAAGTTCTGCTATAAACTGAGTTTTCACTAAAAAAATGCTGTTCATGCAAACTATGATACTATATTAATGATGAAGAAATATAGAGAAATGCATATACTTCCGTACCTACTAGCTATAAAACACAAATTCTAATCTAGAAATGTCCAAAATTGTAGTTTGGTAGCCCTAGAGACGTGATTAGCTACAATAAGCTGCAGAAATTACACATTTCGATGTACAATGTGGTAAACCATGACTGAGATGGAATGTGGATTGAAATTAATCGCGACCATAAGGCAACTGGACCGGAAAGATATCCGAACAAGAGGAAAATGGGTTCTGAGATACCTTCAGCAACTTTGTGGAGGATAAAAAGTTGATGATCTCATTCAATCAATCAATATAAACAATTCTATCTGATGCAGGAAAATGCAAAGAGTGAAATTGGCAGCCAAAAAATGTACATGATAAATTTATAAGGCAATTCTCAACTTGCAAATTACAAAATCGAGGAATAGGCAGATGATCGAAAGTAAAAATAGTTTTTCCGATAAATCGATGATTATGGTTCTGAAAGGATGGAACAGATTGAAAAAAATTTTTGAAGCATGATTATGCGAACTCAAGAAAGTTCGGACAAAGACCTTTCCAATCCAACCAATCAGATGAAAGCACTTGATAAAACCAAATGGACATAAATGCATGTCCACCAAGTACTCGACTTTACCAGTGCATTCTAAATCTGAATTTCTGAGATATAGGCAATTGCTACAACTATAGCAACACAGAGACGTTGATAACGAGAAAAATTCAAAAATAAAAAGGAAAAAAAGCATTTGAAAAACTCGTGCCTTGTCAACATAATGAGGATACTGCAAGAGAATGTATAACGCCAAAAAAGTAAATCAACAAAGATGCCCTATTGACTCTTTAACACTGGTTTCTTTCTTCGTTCATCAAGCACATAATACGTTGTAGGAAGGGACGGTTCTTGAAAATTTAGATGTTCAAAAGTCAGAATTCGAAATTCACAACAGCTAAAAAAATAAGTTGGAGTTTATCTCCCGATTATAAGATCACCAGACGATAAACAAGAAATAAGAAGGCAAAAGATAAAGGACGAACTGACCGAAAGACTGATAAGACAAAGCAGATGAAATGGAGTACTACAGGTGAGGCAATTGCTGACAGTTGATTTTTGTAGGTATGGCATTATCGAAACAACAAAATAATTTAACGCCCTAATTTTTGGTCGGTAACGGTGTCTAACATGTTAGATTGTCTGCCGGTTGTACGTCGTTATTGTGTGTGGCAATAGCGCATAGTTGATATTTGCTTAGTTCTATCTAACAAACTTGGCGAAAGGCGAAGGAGAGTCACGATGTGAATAAGCAGGTGAAATGAAATAGCCAGTTTGATTTCCATCAGATAAAAGTAGTCGACATGGTCAAGAAAACAATCAGTAATAAGAGGAGAAAGATCTTGTGAAGCTTTCATTAGATCGCAATAATTCGAAAAGCCCTAAGCGTTACTAAAGAAAATGACGCGACTCCTATGCCTACAGTAACGAAGGGAAAGGTGCAAGAGAAAAAGTTCAACGCTATTTCCCGAATTTCTGACTCCATGGAAAGATTCAACAAATGATCGATTATGTGTTAGATACGATTTCCGTGAAAAATTGTGTTTGACAGCTGCCAGTCATTTTTTGTAAATATCTTATATAGTACACAACAAAAGAGTCTCAGCAGTTACAAGCAAGGGGACCAGTACATGGAACAACAAGATTATCATGCAAATCGAAGATGGAGCAAACTAAATATGAAGAAATCTCCTAAGGCGATGAAAGCGTAATCAATTAAAATTACAAGCCTTTTCGCTATCAACAGAGGTGCTAGAATTTCAACAAGGGCATCATAATGAGGGAGTGAAAGATTGTTCCATACGAGGAATCGAGGAAGATATAGAAGACATGTGGAAAAATTCAGCCCCAAAAAGCCGCTTTTGCATCAATATTTCTTCTATGCCGCTTTTGCAATAGCACCATTGAGCGTAAATCTAATTAAATTCGTTCTAGGAGAAGAATGAAAAAAATCAGGAGCGTTTGTTAGTCGTCAAATACAGACCACGGAGATTTTTATATAAAGCCTAGAAGCCCAGAACAAATTGACTTTGCCCACCACCTTGCACCAGTATCAAGTAAGAAGTTCACTAAATAAAAACTAAATGCATGAAAACACCACTTCTGCCAGGATGAAGCGGCTCCAAATTATCTATGAGTTTACAAATAAGGGATCGTTCAGACCGCGCACAAAGGCGCACGAAGTCGCACAAAGGCGCACGAAGGCGCGTCTCGTCTCGTCTCGTTTGTCTCGACACACACACACGCCTTCGTGCGCGTTCGTGCGCCTTTGTGCGCGGTCTGAACGATCCCTAAATACCTAATACGATGCGCCGTCTCGACGCGACAGTGTCTCCAGATCTCAAGCTTGCAGCGTGTCCCAATAGCATTCTTACGTAGTTTGAACGTTAACCTTTAGGGATCGTTCAGAACGCGCACATAGGCGCACAAAGGCGCACAAAGGCGCACAAAGGCCCCGTATGTTTGCCTTCATTATCGCTCGAATTGAAAAACAAGGTTTGTGCGCCTTTGTGCGCGGTCTGAACGATCTCTTAGGTATCATATAGTATAGCTGGTTTAGCTCAGATTTACAGCATAAAGCAAATCATCGACCACCTTCTATTACTGTAAGGTTACGGTATTTCTTCCAGCGTATGTACTTCGTTGTGATGTCTGACATATCAGCAAATTTGCGATAGACATTGAGACTTGTGGGTCTTCTGCCTCCAATAAAGTCACTTAGGTGAGGGTCCTGCCACTTTGATTAGCACTAAAACCCAAGAAACCAAACTTTCGTAGCCTTAGTCAAGATAGCGAAGGAAACCGTGATCTGTTTGCAATAACCCGGCGGAAATATTTTGCCATAGGGATTCCCTACAAAAGCTAATGAGTAATAAATACTAGCCAGCTGATCTGGTTAACAGACAAATCAATAGCAAGATTGCTGTTCTTAATAAAAGAAAAAATGAGGTGCTCCTTTTCTTACGCTACCTACCCTCTGACAGGGTAAACCTCTCACATGGATGAATTTTAGTTATGAAATTAGAAGTGACGCGACAGCAATCGATGAAGAAGAAGAAAGAACCGGTCTCTCGATCAAAAGTCACTGTTATGCCTCCCGAAACGATATAATATACCCAAATAATCTAAGAGGACACGCATGCCTGTTATGGAAGCACAAATCAGAAAAAAAATCCCGCAAGTTAGACACATTTACTGTGATAACACATGACTTTGACTGTGATAAAAGGATAGCGAAGAAATCGACCTGGTTCACCACTAACAAAAAGCAACCGTAAAAAAGCCTTACATGGCGACACTTGGGATGTCTCGATCATCTCATAATTGTCAATCTATAGCAGAAGACATCAAAGTGAAAAGTGGCTGGCAGTCATACGTTATTAGCAGGGTTCTCAAGGGAGGACTTGCTAAAACAGTTTCGCACCAATTTGACAACCACTAACCTCAAACGAGAGCACATATCCTCATCCAGCTTTACTTTATTAAGTTGCATTACAAGTAGCTGTACTTCTTTCGGATTTTTTTTTTGGAGTGCGCTATTTGAGAACGCATTCTTTACAAACTTCACTTTCAACTCCTGAAAAGTTCCCCTTGAAGCTCTAGCCCGCTCTCTCAAATTCTGCTTGAATTCGGTTTACTGATTAATCTTCGCATGCTTTTGATAACTTACATACAACAATAAATATCACAAACGTACATGACTACCGTAACACCGACAGCTAAGGCCTCTCACGCGATTTGACGATTTGCCAGATGTCTTTCAATACTCGAGATTACAAAAGCATATTTTTGAATAACTTTTGCTGATAAATCGTCCTTTCTTTTACATATTAAAAACGCACTTACGATCAGCCGTATACACATGGAGCAGTGCCAAATCGCGGATCAAAAACGCTTCGATGTGCCCCGTGCTTAACCCTAGCTCAAGTGATAGCATAAGTCCTTCCCATTCAATGTTCCCATTGAAGTCAAGCAGTGAGGTAAAAATGGAGTGCTAACGAGGCTTATACTGATGTGGGTGAAAGGCCCAACATACAACTGGGATGATATGAGGAAGAAGTAGAAGAAAAAAACAAAACGCTGGCTGCAGCAGCTACACTCTTCGTCAAGATTAAGCAACAGAGAATAATCAACTCGAAAAAAAAACCGTTATCTTACTGATCTCACCGCTTTGACACGGCGTTGATTTTAGGAGATAGAACACGCGAGCTCGCCTATAGTAGAGCCAGCCACAGTATGTTAAAAAGAAAAATGAAGCGACTGTTGAGTAAGCGACTTGAGTCGTATCAAAGATGGACAGTACAAAAATTCAATCGCTACTAAGACATACCATCGGCAAGGCTAAGAAAAGAAAGTTCGTGAATTACTTATAGCGCATAAGCTCTTGGAACGGTGAACGAAAAAATACGAGCCAGACTATACAGCATAGGCCAACAACACGATTCCATGTCTGTAAGATTTATTCTACAGAATCTCATCAATAATACAACCCTAACACTCACAAAAAACAGAACACACGCCACGCAATAATTTTGATATAATTTACATTGATAAAACAGAATTTAGTTAATGCAGACAACGATGGAAAGGCAAATAATGACGAGAGCTTGAGTTGACACGTCAAAATCCTAAACATTCACATACCATTAACTAGAATCAACACTGCATTTATTGATATGAGGCTGTACATACCAAGTAGTTATTATAAGAAATCTGTAGCTAAAACCTAGTCTCTTATTCTAGCAATCGTCCCTCAGGAAACATAGCTAAAGGAAGCATGCTCAAGACGTAATGCTTTGACAACCAATAAATGATGAAATAAATAGAACCGTGGGGTTAAGCTTAGAATGGGCGGTAAGTCTGACGATTGCGCACTAGACGATCGTTCTTCAGACGAGTTACGATATGGTACCAGCCAAGAGTTTCACAGACCTCAAATATAGAACACGATTTGCACATAGAAAAATTGCATTCGTAAAGGAATTACCTCAATGAGGGCCAGTTCAAGGTTCGATGTATCCTTACTGCTGGATCTCATATCCTCGATCAACTTCTGTAAGTATGAGCAAGCTCTGCCGTAATGAGCATGGGCAATTGAGTGCTTTGCGGAGAGGAGGAGGACCTAAATACGCTTATAACAAGGTTCATCTGTAGACTCCTTTGACTCAGTTTACCCACCTTGGGGTCATCAGCGGCTATCCAGCTGAGGAGATCGTGATATGCAGCGTCAATTTCTTTCAGCGTAGGTTTTACTTCTTCCTTCTGGAAATAAGCAATTGGGGGAAAAGATATACCGCAGGATGGGGATTTCGATATTAATGGAACATATTGTAAAAAAAAAAGAATACAATGTTCAACTTTTTGACAAAAAATCGGGAATAATTCTCCTCTCAATGAACAATTCTCACTTCTTCAGGAAGTTTAACGGCATCCCCGTCTGAATCATCCGACAGCGGCTCCAATTTCTCGCTCTTCACTGCTTTCTCTGACTTATCAGCCTTCGCAGTTTTTTCCTCTTCCTAAAATCAGTGATAATACTGCTTGAAAAGATAAACAAGAATATAGCTAACCTTAGATGAACTGAGACCAAATACTGGCGCCAGAGGTTTGTGGAAAACGTCCGCTAAATCATCAGTCATTTTGAGATATAAATCAACAACCATGTGTGCGCGAGCCAACAGGCAGTCAATTATAGCCGCTTTACGCTCGTCCATATTCCTAAAACAATGTAACCGCTGACCAATGCGCAAGCAATTCTCGTGTGGTCGAGAAAACACACTTTTTGAGAGAAATTTGATCTAAATTATGATCTTGTCTGGCTCCTAAGTACTTCAGTACTTCGTCAACTCGACACTGCTCAAGAATTTGTTGGATAATCAAGCGCATCGTTTCGGTCTCTGTTGTAGAACGCTGAAAGAAGAGAGGATAGTAGGCGACTAGGCAGAGTGCGGTTCCGTACCTTCTTGTCCATGAGAAGTTTCATCTTTGTGAGGAGCAGCGGTAGATGGGTAGGATATTTTGCAATAAGCTCGGAGTACAATTTATCAACGGCGATTGGATCCTTGAGTTTGACGAGCCAGGAGATTTGCGCATCACGGATTGCATCTAAAATCAGAGGTTGTGGAAATTGCGTTTCGAGATGAGGCAGATAACCAGGCCTCTGATTATATCAGAGGTCAATTACAAACAATCCAGGTAAAACTAACAAACTCGTGTGAAAAAGCGAAACCACAATCCGAAGCCAAACCTCACCATTCATATCTTTCTCTTCTTGTCCACTAGTATCAGCCTTCTTTTCTCGTAGCGTTACCATTGAAAGTGCTTTGCTTGGCCTCGTACTATACTCGGTAAAGAAATAACAGACACCCGATTTATCTGCCTAAACCCCAGTAATGGCTTTCCCTTTCAACATGGTGATGGTAGCAGTCGAAATGGCCAATTCCTAGCAGCTGCTTATAGTTTAAAGGCAGCGTACACCTAAAACTGCAGTTGCAGATGCAACAGCAGTTGCAACAGCAACTGCAACTGCAATTGCAGCTTACGCTGTCATGGATTCGTCCGGAGGAGGCGGAGTGAAAGAAAAGGGGTGGAGTGGAAGAAAATTGAGGGGGTTTTCTCCGCTCCGAAGCAACATTGGGAGACCGGACCAACGCAGTTGGTCTTCTTCTGGGCCCCGTATACACACGGTATAGAAAGATCTAGAAAATTAGGTAACTCAAATTTTGGGTGTACGCTGCCTTAAAAGGCATATGGTTGAAGACAAGTTTTCAGTAAAACTTATTCCATGGCACTAAGGCACTCCCTTAATCCCATGTGTCCAGCTTTGCCTTTCTCTAACTACTCAGCTAGTAGTAACTGGTCAACTCAACTTCTGTACATTTCCTTTCAAACAGACATACCTGCTTCAGTTCAGTATCGCTCATCACAACGAGACTACCAGTAAGAAATGAACCTCCAACAACAGGGATAAGTTTTGGCACTCTAAATAGGACATAGTCGAGTCAGCAAAATATGAACACTCGTTCAAAGTCGCCAGCCTTACTTGTCGTCAGGGATACTTCCCGCGTAAAACGTAGCCTGTTGCGAAGGAGCTAGGGCTTTATTGGACCATTTAAATGCTGCAAAAAATGTACTAATGTACTACAAATGAAAGTGCAAATGTTCTCACCATCATCTCCGCCGTTAGGTGCGGATGTGATATCTAAGTTGATAGCCGGTGAAATGTGAACCCGTACGCTACAAATCGAGACGGGTATTGGTATCATAAAGAATTACGATAGAACATACTGTAGAGGCGAATCCATTAACAACTCTAGCTGACTAGTTTCAGGATGACGAACTTGCACATGTGCGGTATACTCTCCTTTCTCCACTTTGTATGTGTACTGAACGATATCATAGTTTGAACTTTACATATTTTCCATAACCTACTCTCTCGGGATAGCTGCTTGAAGCTCCAATAAACTCCTTCGAAGATGAGAAAAGTTGCATAAGTATACAGTCATAAGGTGATTCATATAGATAGGATGTTACGCCAGGAAGATCCAGTCGAATCTCACAGGACTTCTGAGCTGAAAAAACACGCTAGTAAAAAAACCCTCGCCGTGGAATACTATGAGGATATTACAGGGAAATGCAAAAAACCAATTGGTTCCGCGACGACAGGGTTGAAACTCACTAGTGAATTTATAAACGAGTAAAAGTCGATGGATTTGTTTTCCATTCGGCATCAAATCCCTGGGACCAAGAGGTTCTATCTTTGCCGATGTCGGCTTCACCGGAATGTGGAGCGTACTGACAAAGAGATAAGTATTTTCCTTAAATTGTTTTGGTATAAAACCAAACAAACTTGAAAGATATTGTTGGTTTGATTTCAACAGGACGGAATGGAGCTGCTCGCACGCGAATTGGGGCGTAGGGGGAGCCGTGTACCTGGAGATGAATCGTGTCCACAACAGTAAAGATGTGAAATATAACAATTTCTGAGTTACCAAGTTCATAACTTGGGGTCTCTGCACACCAAAGAACTTCGTGAGGACTCGCACACTGCCTTCGACATCAGAACGAGTCCAACTGCGCACAAGGCAAACTTCAAGCGTTCGATCGCCTACGACTGAGAATGTCTTAGTCCACTCGTGCGAATCAGTACCCAGTATCTAAAACACGAGCACTTTAGAAATGTCAAAAACGGCTGACTGCTCACTTTGTATGATTCACTGTTCCTGTAGCATTTATCATCTTCAAGCTGCACACAGTGCAGTGTGAACCTATCGAATGGTTTACGAGCTAGGTCTTGCACGAAAATTTCTGCAAAGAACAGAAAAGATGCATGGATGAACCTGTAAAGAAGAGTGATATTCTTACGGCATATGGTCGCTTCTGGAGGCACGTGGATGAACTGACGGATAGGAATAGTACCAACATTTTTGAAAGTGCGATCAACACAGAAGTCAACCTCATCGACGGTCTCGGGTGTTATAATAGTGATAGGAACACGGAACACAGGTCCCATTGCAAAATTGTCCGCGTACATTCCGCGCAGCTAAAATTGTCAACTTCGCAATGATTCCGACCAGATCAGAAGAATGACGCAAAGAAAAATCTAACACTATCCATCAAAAAGTATCAAAAATATTTGAAGATCTGGACTGCGAATCATAGCTTACTCACTTCAGTAAAGTAAACACCCCCACGAGCAAGTTGAGTTGGATCGACCTTCAAAGTGAAACTTCTGCCCTCAGATGTCAGCATGAAGAGGCTAGGATGTTGTACATAATCAACGTCTGATTGGAGAACAATGTTCATGGAGAAGTCGGCTTGACATGCATTATCTATAAAAAAAAACCGACTACTATAATAACTGGATGCAACCTAACCGCATACCGCTGAATTCCTTGAACTTCGGTTCAACAGTGACTGCGTACTCTTGGACTTCTTTCGACTCTTTCAGTTCCCTGATGTATACACCTGCGAACAGCACATAAAATCAAAACGATTATTTGCAAAGAAAGTGGCACCTCTCTTGCTCTTGTTGAGATTTGTAACGCGGATTTTGATGTCCACAATAGTATGTAGGGGGAAGTCCATCGCGTTATTCTCGTACAAGTTCAATGCATCGTAGATCTAAAAAGCATCAATTAAGGCAATCATACCAAATGACAACTCAATCAATTGCTGCTATAGAAAAGTGTAATCACCTGAATCAATCCGCATCCAGTCCCAAAAGGCAATGATGATTCGTCCGTAATTTGCCTAGCGGTGTTCTCCAGCGAAAGACGAATTCGGAACGGATTCCACTGGCTCCCATCCGCTCGCAATTTCGAAAGCATACAGGCTATAACAAAATTAATCTAAAGACATAGAATTTGCCTTCTTTGAGCTCGCAAAGACCTTAGAAAACAAAAAAGTGCGACGATAATTGGAAGAGGGTGAAGGTTGAGTTAACGCATAGATAACTCAAATGCTTACCAATCGCTCCCGCAGCATTTGGTGAGCTCATGCTTGTACCGTTCATCATTTGCTTCGCCTTACGACAAAAACGAGGAACACCGGCGAATGCAGCTCCCGGAGCACACATCGATACACCAAGAGATCCATCGACGCTAAAGAAGAATGATGAAGATACAAGTAACAGCAGATTTAGCTCTTACCAAGGACCACGAGCACTCCATGGATATAAAACATTCTTCACTTCATTGAACACCCCATAGAGGGTCTCGGCTTGCTTAGGGCAGATACGTGCACCAATACCTGAAGAAGACATGAAGCGGAGTTTATTGCATTCTATTGCTTATCCAGCTTGATTATAGATAAAGGACCACGAGATAAGTTATGCAGATCACGTTGTAAATACCTCCCAATGAAAACAAGAGTAGTGACGTTACCCTATATGAGATCATCGGCCAAATGAAGCTTATTTCTCATAGGCAGGCCGAAGCGGAGATTTAATCACTCAAACATATTCCTAATATGGTTTGTGTCCAAGCGTTCTTTGCATGAATATATCACGCATGCCTTTCGTTCCTTTGGGCCGCATTTGGCGCTTTTTTCCAGTTCAACTCCTTCTTTACTAAAACGTAAAGGTAGAAATGGAAAGCGTTGCGGCATGTGGTCGATCATATTGCCGAAAAAATTTGCTGTTTTATGCGAAGAATCGGATATAACGTGAGCGTATATTGATAAAGTGATGCTTGCGTGCATGATGATTTCAAGATCAAAAACCAAAAGAGATCTCTGTGCCCTAACTCAGAAGGCATGGACAACCGTGGTAAACCGGAATGAGAACACACCAGTGATGCATTCACACGCTTTAGCCAAGTAATAACACTTGGAAAAAAACGACACATCGCGTAGTGATGTACCGTAAGCTTTCCAGTGCTACATATTCGCAACATCGTAAGATTATCAAAGAAAGGAAGGTCCAGATCTAAGTCAAAGAGAAATCTTCTTGTCTGAACACAAGTGCAAACCAAGAGAATAATCAAATGGAGGTTTGAATGCAGATTGTTGTGATATAATAAGACGTGAGGATCAATAAACTGCTTCCGAATTGTAAAAATGACTTTGAAATTTCCTACCGAGCACTCCCGGCGTTGTTCCTCCAGGCGAACCAACAGTACTGAGAGCAGGTCCGCTGTTTCCAGCAGATGCAACGAAGACGATGTTATGTTGGTATACAACCCTTTGTATTTCTTCTATTATACGCCTGAAATGGGAGAGGGGAGTCAGATTGAGATTAAGTGATAACAGCAGTGAATGTACCCGGAAGCAGGAAAGTGTGATCCTTCACCAAATGACATATTGATGATATCCACTTTCATTTCGACGCAAAGGTTGAGTGCACGTATGAGAGCAGTTCCCGTCTCCATGGAATCGATGCGATTATCGCCAATCATCATAGAAACTATCTATAAAGGCGATTTGTAATGAAAGATAGAAAATGGGCCTTACACATACCTGAGCTCCTGGCGCAAGCCCTGATGCTCCAGCTTCATATGGAGAATAGGCAGCAGCTATACATGCTACATGTGTTCCATGGGCTCCACTCGGAACACAGATTTCAAGGCGATTTCCCGCATTTTCAATCCGAAAGGTGTAGCAGGCCTCATCTATGCTTTTTCATCAAGATACCACCGTTTTCTGCGAACAATTACCTCTGGTTGAAAGCTTGGCAAAATGACCTGTCTGCCGAAATTCTCCCATGGGATGACAAAGAGCAAGGCGTCCACGGAATGATGTATCTATGCAAGCCCTGCAAAAGTAGCATGAATGATGTTAACCCTAATCAGAAAGCGTAATTCAGTGGAGATTAATAATCTGACGAAACAAAAAGATGCAAATGACTTTTCAAAGAGGATTAAGACGCATGGCTTACATCCAGTTGTGTCCATCATGCCAGACTATACAATCCGCAACAGGTCCCTTATCTTCCAGTTTGTCCATGGATTTTAAAAAATCCACCTGACATGCTAGGTTCTCGCGATCGTGCTTATCCTTCTGGAAACATAATCTTACTTACATTATACAGGGTAGTGAACAGCAAAACTTGCCACATTGTCGCTAAATCCTCCCACAGATTCCTCATGTCCTAAAAGCTGACGAAGAGCGTCCGCTTTCGCCAATTGATGAGCCGAATCCCAAGCTTCTTTCTGCCAGTCTTCCTGGCAAGACACTTAATGAAATTATTGAATTCAGTTGCAAAACGACAGACCTTCACTGTTTTGCGCAACGTTTTGGGATACAACTCGTAAATAGGTTTAATTCCAAGGTGCCATTTACCCGTAGGATTCACCCAATCTTCAGGAATCTATAATCGCATTTTGTAGTCACAGAAAAAGAGGATACCAGGATTACCTTCAACTTGCGCCCAGTCAATCCTGTTACTACGCCATTTTGTGCCGACTTTACTAGGCTTGTGTCCACATCCCCTGCACCACTACAGTCGATACAATCAACAATTTTACGAGCTCCCAAACTGGTTCTCTATAATTGAGAAAAAGTGATGCTAGAAGAAGGATTAAAAACGACAAATGCAGAATTTGATGAATGATGTAATTTTGCTGCCAATAAAAAACATGCTCATGTTGTATAGGATTAAGGGAGAAATCAAATTACCTCCAAACATGGCAGTGATGGGTCCACTCCAGTGTCCAGGATGGCAATCAAAACGTTACATCCGTCAGCGTATTTGCCATGTTTCTTCACGAACTCTGGCTGGAATATTATAATTTGCATAGAATCGACTATTTCAACCAAGAACTTCAGAACATGTCCCAAATATGCTTTATGTGAAATATCAAATGGAAGTAGTGAAACAGTAGAACTCATTTTATAAATGATAGCAACAAAATTTAGCGCACTGTTTCCAAGGCAGAACTGAATTCGTATTCCTGATGTCTACCCACTCCTATACACAGATAGCCAGTCTGGTGGTTCAATTTTACCGTACGTCAGTAGCACAAATTTTAGTCAAATTACATGAATCTGCGAACGATTTTGGACAGCCGTCAAAGTTACACTGCTGCATCTAAAGTTTTTGTTGGAAACTGACAGATATTTGGTCGTGATGGTCACTGTTTGCGTTTAGCACAAATTCGGCTAACATTTGAGTCATTTTTATACACTGAGATCAAACAACCTCAAAGGCTTTTGTTAATCTCGAGAACAATGAATATATAACACTGGTGCTCTTGCAATAGGAGCTAAGCGAAAAACACTGCACAGATCGATGGAAAGAAGAAAAGCACAGAATTCAAAAGGATACTACCTAACCCAAAAGAAGACAAACTAGTCCGCACCTGCTGGCTCTCGACCTTGTAGATAAAGGTATCTACTGGAAAGTTGTTGGCTGCAGGTTCAACCGCTTGTTCCACCGCCTCCTGGGTATCATCCATCGGCTAGAAGAAAACAGACACTGATACAAATTACCATAAACTCCTAAGCTCTCAGCCTTACGGCCCGAATACTTCAGACTTCAAACTGGGGTAAAACGATGATTCTTCGACGTTTAAAGCGAAATCGATATTATAAACAAAACTCGAAAGCTAAGAGGAATTAAGTATAAGGTTGTCAACTTACTCTACGATCACTAAACGCGCTTTTAACGGTGAGTAAAGTTCGAAATCCCTCAGTTTTGTAGGACAGCCTGACAACGCTTCTCAACGGACTTATTAAACCTCGGACAGCCACAAAACCATAGGCCAAAATCTTGACTTAAAAGACATTCCCATAACTGATTATGAGCTGAAGCTCTAGTATATACGAAAGAGAAAAAAAGCAAGAAAATGCATTATCTGACACAAGGAAAAAAAGAATTGCAAATTAATAAGAAAAGCAGAGGTGTCCTACTGATGCGCATTGATCAACAAACAGAAGTGGAGTTTCCAGATATGGAGATCAACGAATAATCTCTATGACGGTAAAATAAGGAACAACTTCATAAAGGAAGTAGTGCTGCCAAGAAGCCACTGATTACCCGGCAAGTTTTAGGATACGGTGACTGCAGTGTGGTTCCACAGACAAAGCTGTGCGACCGTCAGACAAATTCATGTGCGTGTCTGACAATGTTTGTCCGGTTCGCTCATTCACTATTGGTCATGTCAATGAATTGACCAATAGCAAATGGAGTGAAGCAGATGAACCGGTTGAATCGGATAACGCTGGCACCTGCGTGAGATGACTTCTTTGTAGATAAATTACGACGTATGCAGTTCATTCGATGGATTGAACTTTTTGATAGAACACAGTCTGACAGAATGCTTATAGATCTGGGACCTGTATGTTAGTGACTAATTCAGCTCCGCCTGCTTCACTAGTGTGCGACTTGAATTCGTTCATCTCGTGCAAATGCACTAAGATTGTCTTTGCTGCTTTCATTCCTGTAGCGGATGAACATAGTACAAAGTAGAGAACTATCTAGAAGCTTGCTTCACCAAGTTTCAGCGGTAGCGCCCAAATGATCTGGAAAATAACGCGTGAAATTGGATCACGAGACACTACGTCTATGATTTTGAGCCCTTAAGGTTTGTGAGAATCAAGGAAGTGTTCGCCCGCGGCTATCAAGCAAATTGTCTTACCTTAGCTCATTCAATAAACATCTTACAGAAAAAAAACACATTCTACCCTATCAAAAATGTGGGTAGTTTCTTTAGGAGACAGACTGCAGAGGCCCTACACTTGCTTCTACACGCGAGTCATCGCACGCAGAGACAGAATCACTGCGGACATTGTCGGCGTCTCCTAGATCGAGCGCTCTTTTAACGTCTGCAGTCTTCTTCCACGAACTATGGCACGCGCCATACGTGATCCGCTTGATCCACTTCACTACCGGTCAGTCTGCTGGTTTGACCAATAGTAAATAGTTGAAGCGGATCGAGCGGATCAAGTATGGCGCGTGCTTATCACGATGAGACGCAATGGCTTCCAGTCTCTGCATGCGATCCATTAATAGATACTAAAGTAAAAACTTTAGCACATGTCAAAAATATAACCACTGCGAGCACGCGAATCAAACTGTTGAGCTGTAAATTGAAATGAGACCATGGTCCGAGCGTATCAACAGACAAGAAGATAGCGTACCTAGGCCATATTGCCGGTGATAAGAAACGCACAGTTCAAAGACTTCTGTGGGATGATTCAATACACAAACTACCCTCCACGAGCAATCGTACTGAACCTCAAAGAATCGTGAATTTGATTAGTTTGTTTGGCTTGATTCGGTGGCTGCAACCGCAAGTGGTACGTGTGGCATATGTGCAACCCCGAGTTTTGAACTTGGGTAACTAAACTTTTTGAGATGATGTCGGTAAAGCAACACGTATTATCAGTAAGTATCACTCTATAGTAGATGTGATGAATTATAGAATCGGAAGACTTGAGCTGACGAACCGAGGCTTCGCTTGCATCTTTCCAATCTGTCATATTTCTCGAATGCTAAAGCGAACTCTTCTGGACTGCGGTATGAAGACTTCTCCCGGAATTCATAGGATTCAGCATCGTTGGGCAACCGCATACCGAGCAGTAGACGATTACTAAATAATAAGAACACGGACAGATTCCACTCAGCAAGGGACCACTGTGCAGTTGGCAGACATTTCCCGAGATGGACGGACCAGCAGAAAAGAAGCAAATCTTGTTTTCTTGTGAACATTTCCAGTGCGAAAGACGCTAAGAACTAAGAAAACGCTAAGAAAACGTGGCTAACTCTTGGGAGAAGCAAGATGATAGCTCTAGTCATAGGTGCGATAGGGGGAGCCGGGCCCTCTCCAGGTGAAGGGGGTCTCTGCTACTCCCATCCTTGTAAGGTGAAGGGGGTAAGTGAGCCCTGAGAGCAAAATGCCCCAACAAGTTACATACCATTCGAAAACTGAGGTCATATAGAATCGACATAGAACGTTGGCTTTTTTCTAGGTCTTCTGTGCCGCGAGATATGAGGGATTTTATGTGCTTCAAGAATTAACTGATTTTGTGTCCTCACTTTCTGCTCTCCAAATGAATGCTACGAGAAAGTCGACGGTCTACGTTTGTTAATGAAGACTTGCTCTTCAATACAGATAGATAATCAGCAGTGATTAGGTCTTCGTTTGGCAGAAATTTGCTGTTGAAAATGAAAATGATTTCAGGTAAAATGCAGTGTATCTCTCGGTAAAGGGCGGTTAAAAAGAACTCGACGGTCTACGTCGAGTCCCCTTTTCCTGGGCTTTCGAATGGTATATAGATTGCTGAGCGAAAAAACTTGCCAGTTTTCAAAAGTGGTGTGAAAGTATTTACTATTAGCTGGCTCCACCCAGCTCCCCCAATGTATTGGCTTTTATCGGTCACCAGAGCAAGTGCTTTTTAGAGCCGGGAAGCAAAAAAGCCCTAACATGCTTCACACCGTTCGAAAGCTGAGATTATGGAGAATCGACATAGACCGTCTCTTTTTTCATAGCTTCTCTGTAGAGCGAGATACGAGCGATTTTATACTCCTACTCACCAGCTAATTTTGTGTAATTATTTTGTAATTTATTTTTGAAAGAAAGAACAAAGATTAAAAAAAGGAGACGGTCTACGTTTACTGGCAAGGTCTTGCTCTGTGATGCAGTTAGAAAATCAGGCACCTTTATCCATTCTTCACGCAGAAATTTCTCGACAAAAACACACATCTTTTTGGGTAAAATCCCGTGTAACTCTAAGTAGAGGGGAGCTAGAGAAAAAGAGACGGTCTACGTCGAATCCTTTTTTTGTGGGCTTTCTAATGGTATACAGGTTGTCGGGTGAAAAAACTTGTGGTTTCTCAAAAATGAGGTGGAGATATTCAATAGTAACTTGCTCCACCCCGCTCCGGCTTTCTATGGGTTGCCGGAGCAAGACTTTTTTGGACTGGGAAAGCTTTGTGCACCAACACCTTATATACCATTCGATAGCTAAGAACGGGAGGAATCGACGTAGACCGTCTCTTTTTTCGTAGCTTCTCTGTGAAGCGAGATACGAGCAGTTTTATCTAGCTACAATATCAGCCAATTTTGGATAATTATATTTTCGAACCAAGAAGGTCTTTTTCGAACTTTTATATATGAATCGAAAGCATGAAAAACGAGTAATCTGACTGTTGTTTTGTTTGTTATTATCCTCTCTAGTGAAAAGAGATATGGTATGATTTATTGTCAGTAAACATGCATCCATCGCTAGTCGGTACAGATTTTTCTACTCTTGCTCAACTCTTTTTTGCAAAGTATGTATTCATTGATACAATGTTAATTATTCTAAAAATCACCTTTTACTTTTTGATTACGTTTCGTTATCAACGCCCTTTGAGCGCGCAGTCTCAAGCATGCGTTTTTTAACAAAACGTTGTTGTTTCATACTCTCTTGCAGTCTTGATGTCTGAGGGGAAGAACAGCTGGCGTTTCCTTTCCAAACAAAAGTTCCGTTGTAATAGCTGTTTGCCTTGATTAGTCTCAACCTCAGGTGAAAGGGGTCAGCCAGATGCCGGCCCTAAAGTGAAGGGGGTCAGAGAAATTTCTCCACCTATCGCATCTATGGCTCTAGTTGGCTTCTGCACTCTGGCCATAAGCAACACATGGGTGAGGGCGCAGTGCTGTTGCAGCCAGCCCTCTTCATACCCTAAGCTGTCTGACCGTAGGAAGAAATATTTACTTTATTTACAAACTAGCGACCAAATTCATCACAGAAACTGATGCTTATGCTTGAGGCGGCGAAGTTGATCGTGCTAATGTACACGTATGTGGCCTGGTATTACTCGATTGACGGTGTTGGCACGGCTAGCACGAACGCTGGCACAGAAACTGTGGACGAAGCCTGAGCTGGCTAATCTCAACAATCGAAGACATAATTCCAGGATGTCTGAACGCCTGCTCCTCAGAAAGAAGTACGTAACGCGAACACTGTTGAAAAAAGAGTAAACTCATCAACGAACCAAACGCAAAGTTACTATTCCTATCTTGGATAATCTGTAGTTGTACAGAATAGCAAGGAAACCTAGCCACTGTCTTTGGAAGCAGAGCTGAGTCAAGATCGTCTTTTACACACAAGAAATATTTTTGTGCATGAACTAGAAGCACCAGACTTGGTTTATTGCTTGAACTTTTAGTAGCCAATTCTATTACAAGTCTCATTTTGGACAATGAAAGTGTAGGTTATGCAAAACTAATGCTCAAGCTTGCTCGGAACGCTGCTATTACCAGCTTGCATTCACCTAGCTGTCATTAGAGCTGTGACAATTGGTGTTCGCTTTCAGATTTGGATTCTCACTTCAGACTATGATTAGTAATTCCAGCTACTGGCGTAAATCAGTACGCAAATTATTGAAATAGATGAAAACTCATGATTCAAGTGAAAACCCACAAAATGCAGCCTGCTCACCTTTCTTTATAATCTTACGAAGATGAAGAGAAAAACTCACCTCCGACTTTTCGAATTCAAAAATCTCCGTCACTACGATTACTTCAACGGGATCTGGATCCACGTTCGTCTTCTTTCTTAGGCTATTCATTCTCGCTGTCTTCGTGAACTTATCCACTTCCGTTTTCTTGGGAGTACCCATTCTCATCGTATTTGTGGACTTATCGACTTTCGTTTTGTTCTTGAGAGTACCCATTCTCATCGTATTTGTGGACTTATCCACTTTCAATTTGCTTCTGCGCGAATCATCCACTTTCAATTTGCTTCTGCGCGAATCCATTTTCGTTTCGTTGCTGACTGAAAGAAAACACAGCATACAGGGATCAAGATTTGCCAAATAAATATGGTTATTTACCTCTGTTGTAGCTTGGAGTTGTCCTTAACGTCGAAGATGAAGAGTTTCAAGCAGTCTACTCAACGCGGCGCGGTTATACTCAGCGCGCGCAGCGTACGTGGGCGGGGTTGCAAGCAGTGATCTACTCAACGCTGCGCGGCAAAATTTACGTGGTCAATTCATTTTTTTCATTTCCCCTGCTCAGTCCCTCCATATCGTGCGCAGATAAATTGATCATCTTTGCAAGCTGCAGAAGATATTTCTTCCACCGCTTCTTACAAGTGCAACGGCGGTTCTTTCGCGCACCGCATGCAGTCAGTGTAGAAAAACTCTGTGCTTTCAGAATTCGCTCCAACACATCGTTGTTCCTACTTGTTTCCTCTTGTTTGAGGCCGTACATCATCATATTTTCATAATCTAAAAGGAGACAATTTTATTTGCAGTCATGTCGTCTCATTCTGAATCTCAAATCGTCCATTCAAACGAAGACGTGGATTCAGACGAAGAGGGAGCTCTTCATATCGTTGAACCGGAAGAATACGAAGAAGATCAAGTTGATGAGGTACGTGTAGATAAACATACATTCGATGTCAATCACGTGCTCACCTTTCCGTAGTGTCTACGCATCCGCAGCGCATGAGCATTGCGCAGCGATCTGCGATCAATGCGGGATTTGAACGCTCAAATAATACGGTCGCGAACGCGGCACGGGGTCCTAGCGTTTGAGCTGGTCGGCAAGGGAGCACATCGTTGGCACCGACTGTATGTTTTTGTCATTTTTTAAAAATCTTTCCAGGCTTCAGCCAACGCTCCACCTCCTGAAGATCCTTCTCCGTATGTTTTCTCGCGATTAGATTCATTTTTGCCAGAAGCGTCTTTTGCAGACTGCCTGGAATTTCTGCGGCAGTTCTTGCGGACGCGATTGCGTTCGTTGAAGCAGAGAAGAAGAGAATCGCTGCTGCAAAATCTGCTGCTGAAGCTGATGCGGCCGCTGCTGATAATGCTGATACCACTCCAAAAGATATGATCATACCTCTTTTTATTTACGCTTTCGCAGTAACTGTTCATCATACAATTTCTTCCGCTTCAGTGGTGAACACATCAGCAACGCCACAGAAGGAGGGCGAACAGGAACATAATAACTCGATGGACGCTTGCAGCAAGGAAAGTAACAACGAGTACTTCTCTGCCTCGGAAGGGACTGGATCATCGAGCGGTTTCTTAAGCGCAGCCGAAGGAAGTGACTCGCTACAAGATGTCTCTAACACGTTTGCCGATGTAAGAATGTGGGCTCACGACAGAAATGTGGCACAACATAGTGCCACGGCTGTCAGTGAAGCTGTACCGGACATCCTTGAGAATAACGAAGCTGTGCCGGACATCCTTGAGAATAGCGAAGAGGTTGAAGCTGAACAGCATCCTGGTAAGTTCAAAATTCGCCTGCAATATTATGCGAAATTTGGTGTTGACTGTTTAAACACACATAAGGAGCAAACCAGGACAAGGTTGTGACGTCTAGGACAGCTGCAGTCTGTCCGAATCCCAATCAGGCGAAAAGGCAGGAAGTCCGCATCGCTAGGGTCCTGCGTCGCGTCTGCGGCGTGCTTGCCTGTTCTCTCTTCAATCTTTTCGTTCTCTGCGAGAGTGCGCATATGCAGCGCAAAGCCCTGGCGCTGCTGACGATTCGGCTTAATCCCGATTTGGACAGACTGCAAACGTGGCTCCAGCCGCGCTTGTTGCCGCCGAACTCTAACGAAGCCACCTTCTTCGGCTACGGGCTTTTGGAGTAGGCTTTAAGTCGGTTCGGGCGCAACGAGCCGGTTTCAAGCTTTTCTAAAGTGCAAGCTGTTTCCACAATGAATTCCCCATACACAAAAAAGCTAGTGCGCATTGCAATGCGAGCGAAAGCGCACATGCAGATGCACCGCCTAGTCATCCATCGCAGGACTTCCCACACTGCGGAGCACGCGCGTCGCGGCTAAAACGCGTGCTGCACAGTGTGTAGCTGTAGGCTGAGTGCCCGCAAGCGTATCTATTTAACGCGCGGCTGCCCTGTGGCCTGTTTGGTATCGCTTCCTAGTTACTCATGCAATAAGCAGTCGCACGAGCCACGTTCGCACCGTTCAACTTGTAGCGATACAGGTGATTTCATGCACTCAACTTTGCGAGAGCACGACTTGCTAGGTAGGTGCCAGACTAAGCGAATGTTTTGTTCAGCTGCAAAAGGCGCACAGAATTAACGTTAATTCTGCGCGGACGTGCAGCTGAAGCAGGCCTTAGCAGCAGCAGACATTATGCAGCAGATATTAATTCTTTGCGCCTTTTGCAGCGAACAAAATATTCGCTTAGTCTGGCACCTATTGGCGAGTGGTACTGGTACAGCGCCGCACGGCGCGGGCTTCGCAATAACGGCCAATGCGTGCGGTCGACGACTAAGGTAGGTGCCAGAGTAAGCGAATATTTTGTTCAGGTTGGGGTCCCGTGCAGAATTGACCATGCTGGAGTCAATCCAAGTGACGTCAATTCTGCACGGGACCCCAACTTGAACAAAATATTCGCTTACTCTGGCACCTACCTAAGAAAAGCCATAAATGTTGTTGTGTTTAGACGGAAACACCACTGCCGCTCCAGAATTGCGCAAACCTGAGAAGAGGGTGAGGGGTTTCATCGGAGAAGACGATAGCACATGCCAGCTCCGCCTGTCCGCCATGTGTCACAATGAATGCATGGTTATCCATTGCAGTCCGTACTGTGGTCCCATATGCGGAGTTTACTGGCGGTGTTATTTCCTCCACTATTTGTTAGTAATACGACTTTTTTACATATAAATTAAGCCTATATCTCCGACCAAAGACATCTTTCCGCTTCTGCATGTGTCTTGCAATGGTGCCGTTTCCATGTGGATCAATGATTATGTCAAAGTGGAACAGTCCGTGGATCGTTGCGTTTGGATAACGCATTCTGACAAATTCTCTGTGAGTGCTGTCAGTCCTCGAAGCATAAAAGGCGGCCACAACCTAAGTCCATTTTAGGCATTTGTGAATGAGCAGGGCAATGTTTCGTCCATCGTACATAATGCCGCGAGAATTGCGAACAATGACGAAAGAATCTACGCGAAAGTTTGTGAGTGACTATATTCAATATTGCACATACTGAACCTGAAGTCAAATCATAGCTTTGTGCGAGAACGACCACAACGCCATCATAGACGCGAACAGCATCATCTTCACGTCTAGCAACCAAACCGGTGCTTATCTCCTTTCACGTGGAATAGGTAAGTTGTACTCACTCTTGGTCAGCAAACGGAAGCACCGACTACGACCGACATTGTTCAGGACTCAGCGAAGTTGACTTGAAGAGCCTTGATTTTACACTGGACTGTCTAAACCGCGACGTTTCGGTCTACAACTTTTACAACTATGCCAGAACTGGACATCAGGTAATCAGTATTATATGTTTGTACTATGTATACATACTCATTCATATTGTGAATTACCGACGCAGGCATTGCGCGAGTGACGGCGACGCGGTTGAGCTGACGCTAATCTCCGGAAGGAGAGCAGAAGATTCGCGGACAGCTGAAACCGCGCTGCTTATTTGCAGTCGTAGTTAAAGTGGTGGTCGCTATAATAGCTTAAATCGCCCTGTATTGACAGATTAGCTATGCATGCTGCGAGCACTGTTTGGGCCTCTACGCGCGGCTTAGCGAACCGCCTTGGATTCGCATTTGATTCGGATCCGAGTCGGATGTACGGCACTTTGACCGCCTTTATTACCAGCATCGGCGTCTAGACCATAACCATGCGCTTTTGTGTACTATAATGAGTAGCTTTTCAGTATGGTGATGCTGCTCAGACTATCTTGCTGCAAAGCGAGATAAGGAAGAAAGAAACGGGAAGATTCGAAGTTGAAATGGATGGCAAGTGAAAACCTGGGTCATTCTTGTGCTCAATGTGACTATTACAGGCTACTTCGTAAGTGTGCTGGAAGGAGGAGAACTGGACATCAGCTTCCCTCCCACTCACATTCATGCGTCCAAGGATGGCAGCTCCATCTATATCAAAACTCGTATCATTGAGATGTGTGTTGAGGTAAGCCAAATATTACCAGTATTAAATGCCACGTTTCAAGAGTGTACACACTTTACCATTGACGGTGACGCTTAACGGAGAAACAAATGCGCGCCGCAGTTGGTATGGTTGGCGCCAGACTAACCGATTGCCTGCTTCAGCAGGACGTGGCGCAGTTACTGTCATTTTATGTCACGTTGTAGGAAAATCAAGTCAGCGTGCGCGATTTCACTCAACAAAAATCTTTACTGGTGAAGCCTTTCTATTATTATCTCATTCTGCGAGGCTTTTTACCAACTCTTCGAAACTTCTGCTGTTGCGAACATCGCAGAGCCACTCATATTTCCGGCCAACACGGCACCAAATGATATCAGCTTACTAGTTGCGCCTCGTCCTGCTGAAGCAGGCAGTCGGTTAGTCTGGCGCCTACCTATGGCACCCGCCATACTTGATCCGCTTGAACCACTTGATCCGCTTCATCCACTTCGCTATTGATCAAATCAGCAAACTGACCAATGGCGAAGTGGATCAAGTGGTTCAAGCGGATCAAGTATGGCGCATGCCTATGACGACGCAGATAGGGCGCGAAAGGTAACGATTTGTACTCTTGTTCAGAACAGCTAGTTCGCCTCCAGACTTTTCAATAAAAACGGAAATTGTCTTGATCGGTACGGGAACGATAGAGGCATAGGTAGAGGACCGTAGTTGCCGATAGGTTTAACCCTTGCAAACAGCCTACAGAATTAGTTCGTTGAGGTTGATTTGTTGTGAATGTCCGTGCCGGACCCCCCGTTTCGAGGCTTCAGGTTTATCGAGGGCACGCATTTTTGCCTACCGCGTCTCCTCCGCGACGCATTGGTTTTTACTCTGCGATAAGCGGCGTCGCAGAACATTGCCTTTTCTCCGTGGCTTGCGTGCGTTTCATCTGCAAAGCACTGACCACAGTTTTTGGAGAATTTTATTTGCAGGAGGGCAAAAGTGTTCGCATCAAGCTCGGTAACAAGCGTATTCACGCTTCTCTCACTGGGATGATGGTTTGCGATGGTACCCAGTCTGCTTCGATGGATGCTGAAGGACATCTGGTGACTTGCCCCGTGTCTTTGATTACTTTCAACAGTACCACCCGTCGTCCTCGTACTCCTCGCAAGCCTCGTAATGCTCCAACTGGTCGTAATGCTCATTCGCTTCCACCATCCGCTCATTAAGACACATTTCTGAGTTTTTGCTCATGTGGGATTTATGAATTAATTTGTTTGAGTTTATGAATGAGCGATGAAAATTATCTCAATGAATTCACTAGCTTGAGTGATGAATGCGAGGAACTAATGCGTAAAAGGAAAAATTGGTAGTTCACTGTTAGGAACTGAGGCGACCGCATTCAACGCTATTAATCGAGATTTCAAAATATGAGAAGAACTTCGCTTAAGGCTGTGTCTTATCTAGCCGTTGAAGATTTTTTATAATCTAGGAGAATCAATGAAAAAGCGAGTTGTGAGTAAGAAGTAAGATTTTTCCTCGGGTTATGTTCTTATCTCTGCAAAAAATTACATAAAAAATAAAAGTAACAAGTAGCTGTGAGATAACAGAAATAAATAAAATAGTAATAATGAGAGTCTCTGAGCGGAGAATGCAAAAGAAAAAATTGGCAACAATAGATTGAATAGTAGACTAAAGGTAGGCCATATGATCGAGCGAAATGTTCTACAGATTGGTGGAGAAATGCCTACAAACTCAAATATTTTTTCAAAAAAAAAACAAAAAAAAAACAAGGTACCGGTTCATAAATCCCACTTCACAAGTGTATTTAAGAGACCTTAATTTCCTCCACTGAATGGTTTCAGTTTGTCTCCTATGTGTCTTTACTGGGTTTCTCTTTGCTGTAAGTGAATTGCCGTGTATCATTTCTCCAGCGCTTCTTTTCTTCCTGTCTTTTGAACGTGTATTCGTCTTTATTGCTGAGATGCATATTTATTTATTTATTCTGTAAAATCTGTGAATCATGGGACACAATAAGTATGGGTGTTCCCATTTTTAGCACTGTCAGTAGTTTGCGCTGGAGATGTTATGTGCTGACAGTGTTGTTAATAAAGATGTTGATGTTACACTATTCAGATATGAAGGACATACAAATTAATACATGCTATACATAATTCTGTAAGTAATATATATACACAGGTTCATGTATAATCAACGTAGAATTTAGTTTTGGCACCATTGCAGAATTTGGATTCGCTCATCTCTATCTGAGCTGCCAATATCTGGACAGACACCTTTTTTAATTTTTGACTAATGAATTATAGGATTAGGTTCTGCAAACTGTCGATAACCAGTGACTTCTTCTTATTCAACAGATAAGGAAGAAATATACATTTATGACATTGTTAAATCATAATAATGAAGTGTGAGACTCGTACGCAGGGTCAGATAAAAACAATATAGAAGCAATTTATAATTGCATATAATCATAGTATCTATTAAGTTGATTACATTCAGTAGCATTTTCAAAGTGTAATCGTGTGTTTAGCGCCGCAATAGGGCTGAGAAATCCATGTTTCTCCAAAAAGAGATAAACTTCTTGTTTATATTTCTGCTCGAATTTGTGCAGGTCTCGTGCCAGAACCATCGTTGGATACTTCAGCGGCTGGCTGAATATGATGTACTCATACTCGCCTTGTGGGTTGAGTCCACCCATTTTTACGGGGAAATCTGAAAATTAGCCTCGCTTTGGATATCTTCCATGAAAGATGAGTAATCTCACAAGGACAATGATCCGAGGGGTGGCCAGTCATGTAGAATACCTCTCCAGGATCAGGACCCATCATTCGGCCAATGCCTGAGTTAGTAAATTCATAAATGGTAGAAGTAACGCAAAATAAATGGCAACCTTGAGTCGTTACTGTATCTCCCTTGTAGTGCGAATACTGAAGAGATGAAAATGTGGCAGTGAAATCTGTTTGAGTCAGTAGCTCAACTAAATTTGTTAATTGATCTAGAAAAAACGAGGATATGATATTAGAACTCACAGTAGTGAACTGCGCAATCTTCAGGGTGAATTGCTTTGGTATCTACAACCTATAACCGAACGATCAAACAAGCACAAATGATGTTTAAATACTTCAAGAACACAAGGTTTTTTGTTACAGAATTCAAATCAGATAAACGAAGGAATAACGAACCGTGTACCATTTTCCCATGAGCTTTTCGATTTGTACATCTCCCATAGAATGAAATAGTTGTGTGTATACTTTCTGCGCTACTGACTCAGCATTCAAAGAATTCATAATCTACAAAAGATGAGTATTTGCAGGATTTTTGCACGTCGACATTTCATTATTTCAAAAATCAGAATATAAATTTTTTTTTGAGAAAAACTGAGTGCTGCTTAGTCATCTGTAAAGTACCTGTGCTAGCTGATCCATTCCAAAATCCTTCCTTTGTTTGGGTCGACAGGAAGCGCTATAGTTTTCAAATAATCGTAGTACTGGAACGGTCCTTCCAGGAACAGGTATACCACCAATGAATGATCCTATAACTTTCTAAATCACATATTTATATTTTGACTTTATTCAGTAATTTTTAGGCTGCAAGTTGTGCTAGAATTACCAGACAAAATCTGGAGACAAAACTTTTGCTATAACAAGATATAAAAAACAAAACAAAATAGATTATTAATAGTTCGATCAAATATTGATGATTGATAAATAATGGCTGCATAAACTGATAATGGTTAGGGTTACATCGGTTAGATGCCAAACCTACTTTGGAAGCTACATAGTTTCTGCCAAAATTCCATAGCTGTAAGAGTTGTCAAAAAAGCTGCTTTGTAGAAAGCCAAGCCAAAACGCAAAAGCCTAAAGCCAAAACTACAAAACTAACCTGCATTTACGACACTTCCCAATAGAAGTATCAGCAAAAATCGCCTCAACCAATACATGGTTGTAGTAACTGCAAAATGATAACATTCTGAGAAACAAGAGAATGATCAAATATTTGGAACAATTTAACAAACAAGACAAATGGATACGAAGACTGTAGGAATCAAAAGTGCAAATGGACATAATCTTCAAATGTACGTTTCGTAAACTGTGAACAGTCATCGTGTCGGTATGACCTTGCATGACCTAATAACCGCGAATCATGCACTGCCGTTGTGAATTTGGAAATTAGAGGACGGACTTTATATGTATGTTTTGGCAATAAAACGTCTTTAATATTTACACCATAACTTGCCAATTCATCACGCATATTTTTGAGAGAAAAAACAACTAGACCAGGGAATTTGAAAGGCGTGATATCATTATATCAATCACACCTCACGTACCAAATGCAAATTATCAATTGTAGCAGAAACCAGCTGTGATAGAATTCTAGCAAAATGAGAGGCCTCACCTGTGCTGACCGCGACCTGTTTGAGGGATGACCAGATCCACTTTTATGAATGTTCGCAGCGATATAGGTGAAGGACGACCAACATTTGCGGTTTCTACCTCTATCAGTTTTGTATTTTGTTGGTGTAATCCTGATATTTTACCGTGGTAGTATATATTTTTAATTATTATGCTGACTGATACATTATGTTTGAAAAAGATTTCACTTTGTTTCAACTGAGCCACTCGCACTTTCGTCTTATCAAAGCATCCACATCTCCGATCTCTTTCTTGGAATTTTTCCTCGTGACCCACAATTTTTCAATTTGTTTGCACTATTGCATGAACTTGTTGGTATCCTTTCGCGGAGCTCCGTCTATACTTGCCTAAATTCGTCTAAATTTAGCCTTTCAAGTCTTTCTAACAACCACCTAGTTATACGAAAGAAAATTATTGGGTTGATGCACAGTTCTTGCACCAAAAAGTAGAAAAAATTCGTTTCAAAAACTCTTAAACAGACCAGTCAATTTGAATGCTCTTCGTTATGTATATCAAAAGTAGTAGTTTGATACATTTTTGGAAGAAGATCAGTATGCAAAATTAATACGATTTGAAAACATCGAAATTCATAACTGTTCTCAGACATCCAGTCACTACCAATTCCTCCTAGTCAAAAAGAGTAGATCATATAAGAGCAAAAATAAATTCAGCTTTCACTGACGTTACAGCAATTTTAGCAAGGAAGAATCGAATCACTTTTTGGGTACTTCTCTTGATCAGCTTATATTGTTGCCATATGCCCTCAGCAATTTTATTTCGAGCACATTCTAAAAGCGCAAAATTTCCTCTATTGTCTATTGGACTAGAAGATTTCATTGACCCTGGAGAAAGTGACAGAATTGGAATTTTGGTGCAAATATGCGTCAAACTAATATATTCCAGTATTCTGTAGAGTGATAAAAATTTTATTGCAAGGTTGATACTTGTCAATGGTTGTCGGGGTTCATGAAACACATCGTAAAATATTTACAATATCCAAGCTCACAATGAACAAAATTTAACTTACTACAATACATACTAAGGACCACTATCAAGGATAGTTTACAAAGAAAGACACTGAGGCTGATAGATCTCGTAAGTAAAGCAGTGAATACTCTTATTGGGCATTTCAACTTTAATATCTAGAATCTAAAATCTTCTATTCTATAGGACATTTTCTCTAAAGTTTCACTCTGCATTGAATAGTTGTGCACAGAAGCTCATTGAATGGATCCTTGTTGTCAAGTAAACGAATCACTAACTGATACGCTGTCTAAAATTTAACGCAGAAAAAAATGCTGGCTATAATGTTGTTGTAAATCCATTTACCATATCGTTATGAATCATCCGAAAGAATCGTGAGAACAAACGAGATGGATCGAGTGTGAACTCCAGAACCTGCCTTCCTGGCGAGAGAGGGCAAGATGGATTGTCCTCACACATGTCATAATTACTTCTAAAAAATTTCGTTTTCGAGAATGTCAACCATGTAATAGAGTTGTTTATAGATTCATATCTAACAGCATTCCGAAGCTTGGAAGGTACATCCATCCGCATCCAAACCATCCTGCTGTTCTTTTGTACAGTGAAACTTCCACGCCAAGGTTATCGTATCTAAAATCGTTTTTATGCGAAAACGTCCATCTTTGAAGTACTGGGTAGATATGGGGTTTTTTGGTTTTGAATTTTGCCTCCTTAACTATACACCACAATCAGATATAACATATAAAAGAAAATAATCCCATTGAGTTCATTCAAAATTATTGAAACACGATAGAGTATTGGCGGAGCCTCCATGTGAATTTTTTTTCAAATCTTTTGTGAATTCACTAATTACCATGGAATCAAGGTTTGAAGACATTTTATAATTACTTTCAAACTGGAAATAGGTTCCACCTACCTTCGTGGTGCAACGCTAGCGACATCGAGGAAAACTCGTACAGGAGATTCGAATTCTACCGGATAACGATCATCTCCATTCATGTTTGTAATGGCGCCTCCATGAAGTGTTACGAAAGTATCTAAAAGCAGTATATTTATTCTATTATTCAAGCAGTGGTAGTTTCTCAACAGTATCAAACGTTTTGCAATATGAACTATTCAATCAGCCATTAGGCGCAAAATGCGCATGGTCACTTTGATTTCGCTGAGCAAATATTGTCTGGATGCAGAACCAATGCAAGAATAAGGTGCTGAATGGATTTGGTGTAAACTTGGCGCAAACCAGCAAAGTTCAGCATACACTTGGACGAGACTCAGATTTCGGCTGAGTCTGGTCTTGATATTTCAGAAAAATACATGCTATGGAGAAAATTCGTAGCAGAAAAATGAGGTTAGAATATTGGATAAGCATGTATGAAGATATTTTTGAGGCTGAAACCCATAGAAAATATTCCATTACCTTCCTTGCACATGAAAAATGTTGGTTTAGTGGCGGTGCCGTTTGGAAGAGATTCACATTCTTCTCCATCCACATCGTGATCCATTATGGGAGCTTGCAGATAAGACTGAACTTTACCTCAATTTATAGCTCTGAGTATGGATAAAATATTTTACGAAAATTCTCAAGCACACAAAATTAAAAATTCTAAGAGGTTGTAATTGAGATTACCTGCGTCTAGACTATCCTCTACGCTAACTTCACCTCTTCGGTAACCTCTATATGTTTGCTCAGAATCATACTGAAAGGAGTTCTAATCAACCAACTTAATACAGTATAATTTTGTTTTATAATTCTAACCTGAGAACGAACTGCTTGAAAACTACTTCCAGGATCTAGATAGCTTGGAACGTGAGCAAAAACGAAGGGAATCGTTGATAATACTATACAAATGTTCATCTAAAGCTTTGTGCATCATTTGTCACTGGAGATACGAGGACCTTTTCAAGGCTAAGCGATTATAAGTGAGAATTTATGAACAACCTCCAAAGCGTGTAGAGCCCATTTTCAGAGATAATGGAGAAAAAAATTAGAATAATGTGTGCCATAGATAGAAACAGCAAGGCAAATGCATTACTTTATCGACTTCTTGCTAAAAAAAATCTTGCAAGAAAATTTTCTTGAGAGCACTGCTGAATATAGAAGAGCTGCGATCCGCTTTTATACGGCGAACGATAGTGTTTGAGCGCGGAGTCTCTGAACAACTCCACACTCACTCATGCCTCCCCCTCACGCCGGTGGGTCCCTTTGATGACCCTCATTCCAACCTTTGATATCTTTCTTTCATAAAGAACCACATAAAATTGCTGAGATATAAGCTCTAACAAGGATGTGTCAGAAATCGCACTGGCTTTTTGACTTGAGATAGGTATCGTATCGAACAGCTTGAAACCCTGATTCAAAAACATTTTTCCTTAGCTGCAGTACAAATTTGGGACAGGAGTTATGGGCAATTTGACCAAGAAATTTCACACTGCTTAGATACCCTGTGATACGTAGTTTTGCGAATGCTTGTTAAGCACTGTAGCATAACATTGAAGAAGCAGCGGAGGAAATACATAAAGCAGTGATAAACTGCTTCTTCCATATTCGAGCCCAAAACACACTATAATCCTACAAGGGACGCTTCCCTTGTAAAATTCATAATCCCTGAGTCTGATGGTCTGTGAGATACAGAACATAAAAGCGTGTTTTCGCTAAATGCAAACGTCAAAATGTCGAAAATATTTTCAAAAAAAGACAAAGGGTTCTATGGGCGCATATGGTTCGTGCAACGCAGAAGCTGAGAAGAAACAAAAAAAATACTACTTTTTACTGTGTACATCACACATCATCAGTTAAAACAAAAAAAGCAACAAGAGAATGTCAATCAGCTGAAAAAAACCAAAATTTCTGCTTTTGGCTGGCTCTACGCTTATATCCGATCTCAAATCTCGTCCCTATTGAGTTTTTTTGGATCTCGGCTCTTTTGTGAATATCCAATAAAAAAACATTTGCTCAAACTCGGCCAGTCTTTCAGGCTGTATGCTTATAAGAAGCAGCCAAACATCTTGACCTTTGCGAGAATCCACTTCATGAGTTGGTTTTTCAGGCGTATCAAACACCGTCCGCTCTTTTTGTGAATACTTTTTATAGAGATCGAGTGCTATAAAATACTTTAATCTCTAAAATTATTGACAAGTGAGACTATTCGTAAGTGCTTCGCGAGTTAGGCACAATTTCAAATCATCTGCAGCAGAGTCATCTACAAGATCCTGTGCGTATTCTTGTAGACATCCTGAACGAGCGCAAGCGATAGAAACATTTTTCACAATTAATGAGAAGGATATTTAATAGAGAAAATTGTAATAAGAGGCCAACAAGAGCAGGATGGATTGGTATTCAAAGATAACCGACGACCTGGATGTCAGTACTAACCAATTCTGTAGCCACCCTCTGGCGCTAAAATTGGCAACACTTTGAAACGCAGGAACTCGAGCAAAAACCCAGTCGCTCGAAAGCTGTGAAAATTGCAAATGGACCTGCACAAGCTAATGAGCGCACTCCAGACTCTTCGCACAATGTGCCAGTCTACAAAAGAATCGCACCCGACAAAGGGGTGCAGTCGCTCAGCGTCGAGTGCAAAAGCGTTTCGTCAACGACTTGCAAACACATCGTTAGATGAAGTCTTTATTCGACTGCTATTAACGTTGACTGCGGTTTCGGCTAACTGGAGATTATAGATAACGGAAGCGCATTGCTCAAAGAATCGCTGCAAATCGCAGCATTCCCAAAATCTGACTTGCGCACATTCATAATTCTAGTAAAAACTCTCTAACTATCCATCTAAAGTTTGCTGTTGAAACAAGTAAACAAACTAGACTACGACCTGCATAGTCTCACAAGTTTATAAACCGTCCTGAAAAACCCCATTTAGGTTTTAACCATACTCCATGATGATTTATTACTAGAACGATTATTAAAATATATAAAGCTTGTGATTATTAATTCACGGGTTAAACAGAGAGACATGAGAACGAAAAAAGCAGGAAGTGAATGATTCAAGGGTGACAACATCCTCCATTTTACACCATAAAAAGCCTGTTAGATCTTCTTTTACACAGGTGGTCCCGCTTATTCTGAGCTAAATCACATTCGTACTCGCATCAAATCAAATTTAATTATTAGCGTGATGCTTCATCATTCTTGATGTCAATTAAGATCTTAAAAAATGCATGTATGAGTTACTAAAAAAGAAAAATTATGCAATTAGGGTGACCATTGCACACAAATAAAAAGGAAAGCACAAACTCCCCAGAAATTATGGCGTCAGTGCTAGAAAAACAGATCACAATAATGGAGAAATTATGCGTACCTAAACAATATGCATAAAGTAATGATCGACCTATCATTATTGCTTATGGGCAATTGACAGACAACTAGCAAAACAAAAACAACAACAGGTAACAATTATTAAATCGACTACTTAGATGACAGATAGTTTTCCTCGGCCATCTAAAAGCGAAAAAGAGTTCGTATTTATATAATAAGAATAAGCTGCAGAAACCAACCTTATGAAGCACTTCTGAATTTTCCTTGCCTGTCTCCTCTACCAAAACTTTAAGAACACAACCTGGTTTTTGAAGCAATTCGTAAGCTGGTCCGAACTCAACAACCTCGCCATCTTTTAGCACCTAAACAGAAACATCAGTAATGATTTGAGCATAGTCATACACTATCGCCCTTACCAGAACTCTGCTTGAATCCATGATCGTATTCAATCTGTGAGCTATTGTCAGTACAGTAGCATCAGCAAAACTTTCGCGGATGGTTCTTTGAATAAGTGCATCCGTTCTAGAAGGAAAGGCAATTTTTACTTACGATACTGTGAACTCCATGGTGAAACTTACCGAGGATCAACATTTGCTGTGGCCTCGTCAATGACAATGATGCGCGAGTTACGTAGAAGTGCTCTCGCTAAGCAGACAAGCTGCCGCTGACCAACCTGTAACGATAAGTTATTGACAGACTGTATTATAGATAACGAAAAAGATGAGAGATAACAAGAAAATCAAGCGTTCGAAGACAGTGTGCAGACATGAGACGGTTAATCTGAGCAGTACCGCGGTATGCCTCTTACGTGAATGTTTTCAGGAAAATACCCCAGCTACGATTAGTCCGAGCAAAACTCATTTGCACCTCAGCGTCCACTGAGCTTCACTAAAATCCCCGTCCTGTTTCATTCAAATTACTGTATTACAAATGCATGATAGCTCTCCTCTGTTATCACCAATTACAGTTATGAACAAGAAGATAAGGGCTTTCAAGCGATTTCTCGCCCGGAATTTCGAAAAGCAAAAAAACTCAATTTCTACGCGTTTGGAAGATTGTACCTAGGTTCACGATAACATGGGTAAATGCAAAGCGGAAATGGACGATTTCGGACGCCGCTGTTCAAGAATAAAAACACAAACAAGGCAGGTACATTCTTCAAAGAAAAAACACATAAAGATGAACTTCCTTACAGAAAAATTTGTTCCACCTTCGTGCATTGGACTTTCCAAACCTCCAGCTAATTCCATTACTACGGGTTTGAGTTCAACCTGAATATGAACATGTTTACTCAAATCCACTCTGTACGCAGAACAAATAAACCTGTTCCAAGACACGCCACAATTCCTCATCAGTGTACTGATTGAAAGGATCGAGATTTCTTCGCAAGCTTCCAATGAAAAGAATCGGTTCCTACAAAAATTGTAGATCAAAATCAGAAAAGCATTGTGAGGTTATTGAGCACTTGTGGAATTATGGCGATTCCTCTTCGCAGCACTTTCAGGGGCAATGTAGCTGTGTCCACACCATCAATCATGACGGTTCCAGAGACGGGTGGGGTAAGACGAAATAGAGCTCGCAATAAGGAAGATTTTCCTGCACCAGTGCGCCCAACGATGCCAATCTCAAATCAGCATATTTGGGACAAATTTTAACTCGACAAAAAAATCACAAACCTTTTCCTTGGGCTTGATATCCAACGAAACGTTTTTCAAAACATATTCCCCATCTTCATCGTATTTCATACTCATGTCGGTGATCTAAAAGATTGTTTTGCCACTTTTCATACATATTAAATAGATTTTCAAAAGCGATACCGTAATGTGGCCTTCGCTGGGCCAGGATTTTGGTATTTCTTCAGCTTGAGTATTATCATGCTCAGACTCGAGTTCTGTGTACTGTACAATCCTTTCCACGGATACCATCTGTCAAATACAGATTTGTTCATAAGACATCCGACAAAGAGTACAGATGCTTACTCCATTCTGCAATTCAGCCGACTGCCGCATGATCCATGAGAAGAAACCAGTCAGCTGTACGGCATATACTAACATCAAAGCCACTTCTCCGGAACTCATGGTTACTACAGAAAAAAAAACGATGTAAAACGGCTGAGCAGGAATTGTTGTGAACCTACCGGTACTAATGACGGCACAGAAAGCCACGATTGAGACAAAGATAGCCACTAACCAATCTATACAAACAGCAAACAGCCGAGCCGTTGTAAGCGTTAGCCCGAATGTGGCGGTGTTAATATCCTTAAGCTGGTCTCCACATTCTAAGTTCTAAGATAAAACAAGCACTAAGACTGACCTGAGCTCTATAATACTCATGCAGAACTTCCTTCTGCTTGCCAAATGCTCTAACAGTATATAAACCATTCATAAATGCCGAGATATGTGAGTAAAGTGGACTACGCGCTGTAGATAAAGTATTGATCGGCATAAAAGTAATACGGATAATTAACACACTTGTTGCTTCCAGTCGTTTGACATCGCGCGACGATGCTAAGTACACTACCCGGAGCAGGAAGAAAAGCAAGACAAGTGGAAGAGTAGGCAAGAATACTATGGGATTGAGCAGAAGAATCACGAAGACGAAACCAAAAAAGTTCAGTGCTCCCTAAACCAAAATTTGTGATGGACAAGTCAAACTAAAAAACAAATTCAAGCACACCATCAGGAACTCGAAGAATACAAAGGATAATTGGTCATCCATTGTTCCTACATCTTTTGAAAAGCGGTTAAGGATGCGCCCTGCAAAGAAATACACAAGAGAATCACAACTGAGAACACACAACTAACCGATAGGATTTTTGTCGAAGAAAGCAATCTTTGTATTAACTACAGCCTTGAACATTTTCTTATGTAAAGCTATAGAGGCAATTGTTTGAGAAAACCGGAACCATACACATCTGAATTCCAAAGAAAAACCGATAATGATAGGTAACACGGATTTGAAAAGTCAGACCTGGCCACAGAGCCGACCACCAAAACAAGCGTCATGATTGTGTAAGAATACATGTAGTCATCTAGGCCAACGAAGTATTCCCGTCCAAAGAATACATACCGGTCCTTATCTACAGTTGTATTACTGATTCTAGCGGCAACATTCTTCTCTGCGGCATTTGTCCTAAACAAAATGTAAACTGACAACTAATTGCTACACAAGAGATATAAAAATGGACTGACCATTTATTGAGCCACCAATCGGTTAGATTGAAAAGCACCTGCACACCGAAGACAACGACAAGCAGCGGCAGGATTATGAAAGGGTTGGTGCACATCGTTTGGATATAAACCAAGTAAATTCGCCAGGAAACAGCTCCTGAAGCGAGTCTTTCAAAAAATAATTACAAGGCAAAGTTGTTTGAGAGAAATACAGAATTCTCATGGAAAAAGATGTGATCAAGCAGGACACAAGACAATTAGAGATAATCAGTAAGAGAACCAACAAGCACCTAACATTAGGGATCAGTGATAAAACCGCTTACCCGCAACTTTGTCTTCCTCGACGACCTCAGGAACATAGTCAGTCTTGCCCTCAAATGCATTGTCATCTTTTTCGCTGACATGACTGGGGGACCTCTCCAAACGATCAGGTTCTAAAGGACGAGTTATTTATTTGCTTCACTTTTGCCATTTACCACAGTGCTTTCAACTCTTATCTCTAGGGGATCAGGCATACTTCACGCGATTTCAATCGCGGCGCGATTTATGTCCAACTGTCCGTGACTCACTGTAAGCACATTTTGAACGTACAGATGATGGGGCATTTTATCAATCCACGTAAGTTATATTACTATGAGTGAGCAGTTTGTTAGCGTTGGATCTGAAGACTTCTGCTAAATCGCGCCTCGACTGAAATCGCGTAAAGTATATCCGGCCCTTAAAGCGACTGACCGAAATGATCTAGGCAAAAGTGAGACGCTTCTCGTGCACGCTTTGGCTGGCTATATAAAGTGGATAGTGTCAAATGCTATCACTGAACTTAGTAAGCAACACTAAAGACGATTGGAGAGGAAGACCAACTGAGTTGGTCCGGTCTCCCAATGTTGCTTCTGAGCGGAGAAAACCCCCCTCAATTTTCTTTCACTCCGCCCCTTTTCTTTCACTCCGCCTCCTCCGGAAGATTCCACAACAGCGTAAGCTTCAGTTGCCGTTGCAGTTGCTGTTGCAATGCTGTTGCATCTGCAACTGCAATTGCAACGGTGCAGTTGCTTTTTGCGGTGCGCCTCCTTCGGGCGACGAACCACGACAGCATATGCAGCAGTTGCAGTTGCAACTGCAGGCTGTCATGCTGTTGCAGCTGCTGGCATGCCGACGGGGACAAGCAGTGCGAAACTCGTCCGCCCTTGAAGAGAGGGTCCCCGGAAATCGGGGTTTTTTGGGACTTTTGGAGGAAGTCAATGACATGACTGTAATCAGCGGCACGGAAAGGCCCCAGAATGATAAAAACATCGAAGGTGAAATTTTGGGCGTACGGTGTCTTTAAGCAAAGCAGGAGGACCAAGATGGATGAAAAACACGCCCAGCAAGAGGAAAAATGACTAATATTTCCAATGACCTTGGATCACTCCTCATACAAGAAGTATCATTAATTGAACACAAAAGCCAGTACTAAAGCTACAAAGGCCAGAATATTGGATACTAATATGAGCTCAAAACCTATTATCAACATTTTAGACTTCGGAATGAGTTTGAGACCGCATTCTCCTCGATGTCATACACTATGAGATGAAATCAACTGAGACATAACAAAAGCTCCGTTCGTCGTCAAAATCAACTTGTCACCAGATCATAAAGATAAAATAAACGGAGTCGTTTGGGAGGGCGACAGCTTGTGCGGCTTGCAACTGCTGCAGATGTTTGCCAGAAAATGGAAAAAATTGTTATGATCTTGTTGCTAGAATGGAAGCGAATGCAACATAATCACAAGGTCTGCAGACTTAAAGCTACAATTCACGAATTTCGTAGATAAAGCACTCCCTTTTTCAAAAGAAAAATGGCTCGACAGCAGTGCATGATCGAAAGATTAGTCATGGAAGTTGTATATAAAATATTACACTGACAAGGAGATAGACACGAAGTGCGAATGCGGACAAAATGCATAGAAAGTGATTTAACTCCGACTCACCATCGCTCTCTGCTGCAGACATTCTAGAGATAGTGCGACGAGGACTATTATTGTGAGATACACACTCGGAAGAGGTTCGTCGCGCATATGATTTTTCTGTTTCCTTAAACATAGAAGAATGCTTAATGTTTTGCACCTTTTTCATTACGAACGTTTACGAGATAGTACTCTAAAAAATAGAAGCTATTAGCCAGTGCAACATTACCTGTATCAAGGCTGCGAACTGTTCCGCATGTAGTTTTTTCAATTCATCAAGGCTCCCTCTTGCCACTACCTGGATTTATAGATAGAAAAAATGACTATTAACAAAGATTATTCACCTCTCCATCTTTCATTAGCAAGACTAGCGTAGCACGATTTAGAAACTGTATTTGATGCGTGACCAACACAACTGTTTTGTTTCGCATATAACCGCATATGCACCTGAAAATAACATGTAGGTCCTTCAAAAAAGTCCATAAAATTTACCTCTCGAACAAAAAACGTCCGACTGTTGCATCAACTGCTGAGAGAGGATCGTCAAGCAGGAAAACGTCAGCCTCCGAGTATATAGCTCGAGCAAGACCGATACGAGCCTTCTGTCCGCCTAAAATAAATTCGATCTGAAGCAAGAGAAATCCAAAATGATATTCTTGATTTTGGCGTTCATCATTTGATCAAATAGTTGCTTGTATCCAGCTCTGTAAAGGCAGCGTCCATCTAACTTCGGATTCCATGTGTTTTTTTGGATCTCAACATTGCGTGACTCTATTTGCAATGTGAGATTTCAAAAGGTGCGGGTATTTAAAAAAGGCATAAGAGGTATAGGCTTTTTGGACAACTCGCATTGCAAGCACATTTTAGAGTGCTTAATGCAGAATATGCTAACCTGATAACGAGGTGCCTCGATCTCCTACGAGAACAGCGTCACCATGAGGAAACTGTGCGATGTCAGCGTTGAGAGCCGATATTTCTAAAGCTCTTCGGTACCTTTCCTAGATAGAAGTGATTTATGGATAAGACAATGGAAGGATTGTTTGCAAATGATGATATAAGCGGACGCACTTCGTCGAACTCATAACCAAATAGGATATTGTCTCGAATGGTTCCGCTAAAAATCCAAGCGTCTTGACTACAATAGGCAACTTTTCCCGTTATAGTAAGTTTGCCGCTTACGCGACGCGCCTCACAAAGCAGTGAAGATAATACAGATGACTGAAATAATTATAATTGAATGACTCATACAGAAATAATTAAAACATTTACTTTGCCCGATCCCACAGGTCCTATCACAGCAACGAGGTCCCCAGGCCCAGCCTCTAGCGAAAGATTTCGAACGGCAAAAATATCCTCGCCATCTTCCTGCAACATATGGATTATAATGAAGGGGAAATAAGAAACTCATGATCGAAAAAATGAGGAACTGGTCGGATAAAATGAGAAAATATGTACCTCTGCTACCTGCCAGGAGGTAGTAAGCGACTGAATGGTTATTCGACCATAATCCTGTGGTTTTTTCTCATGTATCAAATCATTAGCAATATTTCCATTTGATACCTGCTTGAGAAGTACCTAGAAAGACTCCAGTCATGAAGTACCTTAATTCGAATTATATATTCTAGTCTTACTTGTTGAGGTCAAACAATACACGATCTCAAAATCGAAATCCTGTGTTCGGAATTTGGAGAATTCGAATCTTACCTGTTTTTCACCTGCATCAGAAGACACGTAATGAGCGGACCGATCGGAATGATACAACGAAGACTCATGAGCAAATGATGAGAATTCCTCCAGTTCAAGGAATGCCTATTATGACAACTATTCTATCAGTACCAAAGAGTGGAATGGTATACCTGTATTCGCCTGATAGATACTCGTACTTCAAAGAGAAATTGCAACGAAAACGGGAGAAAAAGAGTAACAGGAAGACGGCAAGCGTTGTAAAGTGCACTCTGAATAGGTGATGATTGCAAGGAATACCAGAAGATGGCATCAAAGATAACTCACAGCAACAAAGATCTTTTCGGCATTGAGATCATTTCCAGTAAGAACAAAGCAAAGTACAGCAAATAACACAATAAGCTTTCCAGAAGACCAGAATAATCCCATCACAAGTGACTGATAAACGGCATTCGCCCGTACTTTGCTCATTTCACGTCTGGCATCAGAAAAGAGATTGTTATACAATTCACAACGGATGGAATAGATACCTGCGCAGGTCAGCAACGACCTCGGAAAATGCACCTTCCCATGCGTACATTTTTATAACACGAATACCATTCAAAATTTCATTCATGATGCTGATCCTTTTATCAGTTCGTGCGGCAATCTCTTTCCTGGAAGAATGCACAGTCGAGGACATAGTAAGATACTAGTAGAAAAAGAGATAAGGTAAGTGCGGTGCAGCATAAGACCTTATCTAGAACTATATGCAAAACATACCTGCAACGTCCCATTTGTCTGCTGAAGTAACCTTGCACAGGAATTAACACTATTAGAGCACCAAATCCTGAGACAAACTAGCAGATAAGTCATTACGCTGCGAAAAACGGATACTTGTCACTAACCTGCAAAAGCTGAAGGACCTATTTCTTGCCATAGGTAATAACTGTATGCGATAAGCATCAGAGGAGCTACCCACATGTAATGCAAAAAGATGAAACCCTGCGTAAAGAAAATTCAAAAATCCTTTGACTGGCATTGGATAATGCATTGTCCTACCATATCGAATTTGTTGACGTCCACGGACAGGAGATTCACCATATGTCCCACAGTGGTCTTGTGAAGTGCGGCACTTGACAATCGGACACCCTAGACAGAAAGGTAATCACATGCAAAAAACATAAAGAAATTTGCATATTACTTATTAGGTTATATAAGTCCATGAATCGCACTACTACACTGCTTATCAACGAAAAACAACAATATCAACAGGAAGTTGCGCCTTATCAAAAACAAACACTGTTATCAAACAATGCCTATAATCATAGATAGCAACTAATGAAAACGGAAAATCTGTGACCTGAACACCAGAAAAACTCACTTTATTCACGAGCATTCCACTGGCAGCAATCTTCAGCTCAAGACCTACTTTTTGGAGTCCATAAAAGTACGGATGATGAATCAACGCAAAAAATGCAGCTGTCATGGCGACACCTCCAGCAGCTAAGATAGGTAGCATAAATTTCACAAACTTCAGCAAAGTAAGATACTCAATCGCTTACCCACGAAGGCTTCCACTTCAGTCAGGGGAGCATCGAAGCGAAAGTAGCGGATAAGTCGTCCCATGAAAAGAGGCTGACATAGTTTGACTGACTCCTGGAAGCGAAAGTGATGTATGAGCGAGCAGTGGTCGAGCTGACAGTCTACAACTATGAACTGGAGCCCCCTTGTAACAAAGCTTCACCTATACTGTGTCAAGAAAAATCTTGAAATTCCCGGCCCCACGAATCAAATTTGCTAAGGAGGAATTTGAAGACCGCGTGTTTGATTGAGTTGTCAGATAGAATCAATCAATTCCTGCACGTGTACCACGTGAAAATCGCACATGTTAGTCATTCAAGGACTGTATGACGTCTCAAATTTGCAGCAAAGCCAGCAAAGTATTATTTAAGACAGCACGAGAAGGGCTGAAAGATCAAGGCGTGAGTGTTTTTTTTTGTTGAGGCATGCTTACTGTTGATAAAAAACCATGATTAAAGGACGCCAGAAATATCGGAATCGGATACTAAAAAAATCACCTCTATAAACAGCAAAATTCCAAATTGTGCGATCTCTTTCCAGTACGTCCTTCGAATAGCAGTCATCAAATTCGGCGGTCGATTGTCTTTTGCAGCCATTTCTTGTTCCGTCTCCCATGCTCTTAAATGATAACTACATGTTGAAAACAAACGTTGCCCAAGTGATAAGACGCTCTCGCGCATTAGCAAAGACTTTCATTTTTATGAAAAATGGTTGAGCTCGTAATCTCGAGGTTGTATTATAAACCTGGTCAATCGTTCCGTGGCTGATTCGGATTCGTGTTCTGGTAAAGGCTCGAACATATCGTCGACTTCGAGAGTTTTCCGATATCCCTTGTAAAACAGGCCGGTCATGAATCTGAATGTCCTCTTTATATACGAAAATTTTGGATCTCTTGTCAAGATAAAAACACCTACAGAAATGTTATCCTAGAGAATATATTAGCAGTTGCTTCTGGATTAGGCTTAAGTGAATTATCAGCACTCTTTTCAGGTTTATCCAAAAGCGGTTGAGCCGGCTCACACCCGTTTTCAAGGTGAGCCTTACCCATGTTTCTGAAAGTGAAAGCTTATCGCATCACGATGGAAAGTAAAAGAATTTGCTATAGAACAAAGTCTGAAAACAAGATTAAAGGTAAACAACAGAGTCAAATATACGTCTCGACAGCATTATGTGATGAGATAACGGAAACTAAGTAGCTCAGCAGTGTTTCAAGCAAGTAGTCTCCCTCCCACCAGTGAACAGACATATGGACGCCCTCTTACGCAATGTTGCAGACGCCATATAAAAAAATTTGTGCTTCGACAAACAGCGGGAGTCGGTCGCGGATTGTGGGGACCATCAGTCACACTTTTTGTTTACACGCAGAACGCCAAAGATCCAGGACAACTCTCAAAGTTCTGCAAACTCAGTCTGTTCAATCTGATTTATCTGTTGACAACACCAATTTCCAACTGTAGTAAAGTTATTAAGGGGTTATGCTCGGCAAAGGTCAAGTGACGTTTGGTAGCATGTATATTGAGCTAGTAGTCATTGCTACAAGTAAGCTTGATGAACTTTGGCTGCTTGAGTGTATCAAGTCATAGTTGCCGTAATTCCTACCATAATCGCATCACATCCGAGTCCGACCTGGATCCGAGCGCGCGAGATTTGAATACCATCGCACGGCATGCGCACATTACAACAAACAGAAGCGATCACATTATCGGCGATTGCATGCCTCGGGTAGATTCACATCGCGATGTAAGCGAATGAATCAAAAGTTTGATTATATGAGGTGTGCGATTGTCACTGGTGCGCTCCCACCTCCTGCCATATATCAACTTACCATTTGGATCCTTAATAGGTCACAAATTTGGCAAAGATGTCAGGCATTCATCAAATACGGTCTCTATTCTTTTTCTGATAAGTGTATAAAAAGTCGCAAGTGGACTACTATCGTACGGTCTTGCAGGTTGCAGACAATTTAGCAGTCCCTGCGTCAACACCACCTGCGCGGGAAAGATCGCCATAATATAATGCAACGACACTTGCGCATGAAAGGCCCTAATCCGTTAATTTCCGAGATTTGCGCCATAGCGAGCCACCGTTGTTGGCAAAAACTTCATAGCTGTCACATCTGTCTGCTAGAATGTAACCTGATACGGGAAAGTTGCAACATCCATCAAAAAAATTGTCGATGACAAGCCTCAGTGTGCATGAGACCACTGACAACATTGATACCGTAGGCATTAGTGGAAGGTGAAGCCGGAAGAAGGCATTACAATAGCATCTAGAAGAGTTTGTTTCGTAATTTTTATTATACTGTTTGCAAACACAATGTTTATTCTTTTTCTGAAAAAATGATGCAGATGCTTACATGCATCTGCGTACATGATTTTCAAAAAATTGGTCCAAGCTCAACCACCTAGCTGGAATCTGCCTTCCCCTAGAAAATTATCTGTAGAGGGTTCTTATTCTATTTTGTTGAACGGGCGAGTACATATTTGAGCAAGTCAAAAACATGATGAAGAAAAGCCAAAGCGGAGACATAGACCAGAATGAAAATGCTGAACAATCAAATGCACGGCCATCTCTAGGAACGAAAATGGAGGACGAAGGGAAAGAAATTCACAGCAGTGGATAATGAACTGACCTAATTTGCAAAATCCTGGAGAACTCAATGAAAGAGTTGCGCACTATCCAGGCATCGTACTCAAAGCAAAACAATCGGCACATATTTGTTACTTGCAAAAAATGAAACTGCTGTCACAGGTTATAACATCCAAATATCCGAGGAGCAAAATGAAAATAACGGTGAGAGAAGATAATTCTGATGTAGTGAAAGTGAGAGTCATAGATACAATAGAATCAGTCACGATAGAGAGGGTTTTGCATGATATACGCACACGATCCATCAGATTCGCGACGAAGGCGTGGTGACAACGAATTCGAGGACACTCCTGACCGTCCAGAACGAGCTGACGCACTGCAATTTAAACAATGATGGGACAGACAACTTATATGAGTCACAAGGACCGCCTCTACGCTTATGGTTTATACCCTGGGAGGAATTCGAGGCTAGCATTGGCTTACAGTCCAGAATCAAAGACATAAGCCTATCGATTAGTCACTTGAGGGACCTAGAACCTGTGGGGTGTATGTCAAGAGGCGCGATTCTTATTGCCAGATGGGCCGCGTATAGCACTATTTAGTGTTTTACAAAGTTCTAAAATCACTTGAAATCTCCAACGAAGTATTTTTGATAATTGCACGGGTTGCTCCATCTCATCATCCCGAAATCGATTCCAAACAAAATTGTTGAAGGTCAAAAACCTTTGAAAAATGCAGTTAATACCAATTTTGTAAATAATCCGGTCAGTTTTCTAGCAGAAGTCGCCAAACTTATCAGGTGGTTACTTCAAACAGCTAGTAAGCCATGGAGTTTGTCCGGCACTTTTTGAACCCTCCCATAGCCCGAAACTGAGGTTTTAATTTGGTGACAGCCAGAAAAATCGCGCCTCTTGACCGTCTCCCGAACCTGTGCCCCTCCCCCCTCCCCCACCTTCCCGCTACCCAGATGTCTCTCTATATCCTTCTCCTTATTTCACATCTGTTTCCTCGTCATGTAAAGAAGATGCACAATAACCATCACGTGAAGGCTTTTATGAATTTGCAGCTTCACTCGTCCTCATTTGACCATTCATTTTGTGTAATTGCACCGATTTTTGCGAACAATGGCAGAGTTCGTCCGAATATGAGACTCTAGGCCATTTTACATGGTAATTGTGTGGTAACTTTTCGTCAACTGGCACCAAATTGCTTCATCCCAAATGTGGTGGACACAAAGCGACTGGGTAAATGAGGACGACCATACACTGCACTGAGATTGGAAATGAGTAGATGGAACGTTCTTATGAGTAGCGCGTTCTACAAAGTAGAAAGTACATTTACAAGTCGTAAACTCTAGATAGGCACCAGCCAGTATGTTTATGTGAAACAGTTTGGATGTTTGACTGCGCAATAGTCTGTCATAAATCGCTGAGCAAGAAATTTCAACAGGAAGCCTAGGTACTAAACTGATGGCGGCAACGTTATCTGGAGTTAACTCGCTATCCAAGGTTGTCTTACCTGCTGTATCTGTCCGGAAAAGCAGGCTCATATGTAATGGTTTCGGTGTATGGACTCACAGGACGGCCGTCATGTATCGAAACCCAGCGAGATTTTTTTATAATCTAAATCAACCGAATAGATCTACAAACAAATTAGCAAAGTCTGGTTACCTTTTTCATAGGTACACCATTAGAGCCAATGCTTGAATTGCTGCGTGGTGAAAAGCTGATACTTCTTGGAGAAATATTCGCACTGTGTGAGGGGGAAGCGGCATACTGCGATCGTGGCGAACTACCTGAAATCAGCGTTTCTTTACGTAAAAGAGAAGATCTAAATCATTTGACCATTTTGCGACGATATCCAGAGCTCATTATCGCGTTCCAAATGCTTGAGGTTCACATTCGAAACGATTGTTCTGTTTGCAAAGAAATAGTACCACTTCCGCGTCTTTTCCAACATGAAGTAATTATTTTATTTCTGCAGTTTGCAACGGAATGCACCGAAAAGTAAAATATAACCGGTATTTCCGCTGCAGTATTTTTCGTGCAAAAGACGCTTTCAAGTGATTGATGCCGGGCATTTTGCCCTTTGAAAGGGAAAATGAACGTTCCGTTAGTGCATGATTGACTATTGACTGAAGAACGCATTCTATCCTCAAAATTTTTTTTCTTTAGAAAGAAAAGGACATTATGCCAAGTAAGAACGTTGCGTGCCGTTGGTAAAAATATCTGGTGCAAAAACTTGTGCATAGAGGGTTACAGAAGGCTTAGCTATGGTTGTCGTTACTGTCGTTAGGCCAGATTGGTACGCTTCCGAACGCGCTTGCCTCGCTTGCTGCACAGAACTGCTCCTATTCCGGCTTTTCATGTTTACCTGCTCTCTTGCACTTCAATTTACCCACTTTAAACGATTTTCATCCACAGTCCTACACTCGGTTGGCTGCATTTTTTCTAGGCGTGATTATCCTGCCTTTTTAATTTACCAACAAATCAAGGAGGAGAAAATTGCTATAAAGTACAGGTAACGATCGTAAGAAACAAGCTGTATAACTACGACGAACACTAGTGCAGGAGTTGTAGATGTAATTGACACAGGAGCTGTAGAAGTAATTGAGACCCCTATACGATAACACATGGAAAATCAAAACGATACTAACACAGTAGAAAAAGCCATCGCAGCCTTTTTTGTCATCCTGAATTAATTTATCATTTGAGCATAAATTGCCCTTATGTTAGCGCTATACGGCTTCTTGAAACACGCAAATTAGTTGCTGAGCTATAACGCAGAAAGCGTCGCATAAACATTTGCTTCCTAAAGTCCCAAACTGCGATCATCCATTTAGACAATAGGTGACTGAAAACGCCTCACAGACGCTGTTTTACATGCCTGAACTTACTTCCCTTCTAGAGACGCAAGAAATCCAGAATGAAGTGACGTGCAAGTTCTGATCTGTTGCGTACAAAATGCGTGAGGCGTGCTCATGAATTCTCGTCTCAGAATGGGTCAAATGTGAAAGACCCAAGCAGACATGAACCACTCGTGGGTGCTCAAAATTTCAATCCCGCAGATCTCCTCAGGGCACCGCTGCGTTGCATGCCTCTCGTGCTTTCGCTCTCTTTTTTTTTTCGAATTCTCATCCTCAGTTTTTTTTTCTGCCCGACGCATCAGTAGGGGATGTACTGAGGAGGTGATTATGGAGAATTATCCATATGTGATACCTATAGATAATCCTCCGTAACCAACACACATGTGCAACCTACGGGAGTGGAAACATGTTTCGGTTAGAGAGTAATTTTCATGGACAGCTACACAAACTACATTTGAGAAGGTAAGATCCAACACTTGCGCATTGATGTTTTTTGCAAAAATTCAAAGGAATACCTCTATGACGTGGGCTATTCGAGGGAGACGCCGAATGCACATCTATTCGCGGAATGTTGATTGGTTGAATTGGTTTGAGGAGATGTCCATGACGATGGTCGCCTACGGGAGTGACAGGACGGACTGGTGATACCGGACGAATTGGCTCAGACGGCTGCAACTATTCTCTGATCACACACCAAGTCAGCCTAATCGGTGTCAGCAGTTATTTCAGCTTGGTCTTGAGCAAACATCAGGAATGTGCTTCCTGTTTTCACGTATAAGCACTGCGATAGTTGGCAAACAAAGGCACAGGTTCATTTGAAACATGCTTGCGCAAGTTCTTTGACTTAAGACCCCCAATTAGTAAACACAAACCAAAAAGATCACTCACATTCTTCTCGATTTTAACGACCACATCACCGTTTTCGTCTCGTCCATATGTACGCCGTTCGGTATATTCTTGGCTGGAGTACTGTCTTCGCGGCTGAACATTTCAGACGATAAAACCGTTGTGCGAATTTCACAGCTCCTCGCGGAACACGTGAATGTTCTGAGGAACTATCGAAACAGCTACAGTTACCAAGGAGAACAAGAAGTGGAAAATACATGAATCTGGGTGAACAAAGTTACATCAACATGATATATATACTGACAAAGTCATGCAGAAATGATGTCGCCGCAAAAGCGCGTTGAAAACGCATCGAGTTCAAAGCGAGAAGAGGGAGAGATTATGCCTATAAGGACACGTAATTCGCGCCACCGCGTTTGGCTCAAATCATGTCATTTCGGGAGTCATTTTCGCGTTTGGCGCAAATCATGTCATTTCGAGAGTCATTTTCAATATTGTTTCCGTGGAGATTAAGATTTGAAGCTAGAAAAGATTCGAGCGAAACTCTCTGGAATGTCAGGGCATAAGGCCCCGAACAGACTTCGCTCAGAAGGCCCAAAAGCGCCCAAAAGAGCTCGGAAGCAAAGCGCCCAAATCTCCCTACCTCTCTTCACTTCCTCGTGTGAGCGCTTCTGAGCGTTTTTGGGCGCTTTTGAGCGCTTTTGAGCGCTTTTGAGCGAAGTCTGACCGGAGCCTAATGCTGAATTTCACAGAACCTAATATCATTACAGGTTGGCAGAACCTGTCGGAATTGATCAAATCGATAGCAAATAGAAAAGAAGAAGGGTAGACAAATAAGAAGGAAAAACGAATGACATGTGTATTCGACTGCTATCACATCGTTGTTAGTATGTAGTTGAATATTGCTATGATATGGTTCTGACAATTTCCATTATGTGAAATAAAAGGGAAACAATGCCAACTGCTGCTTTGGAAAACTGTGCAAGGACAAAAATGATTCTAATACCTCGCTATGTGGTGTACCACCAACTCGTCGTTCGAATGTTTCGATCGTGTGTGCCTCTTCCTGTCCAAGCTCCTAGAAGAATTATAAATATATCGCTCTACAGTATATGCTTTGTGCTTAGAGAGTTTTTATCGGGACTACGTTCGAACTCCAGATGGCTTACCTCAAAACGTCCTCCCTGATAAGGTCGTACCGACATCGGAGTGTGAAAGACAGTGTGCTGAGCGGTGGAGTTCGACGGGAATACGTGGTGCTCGAAATTGTATGCTCACACTGCGATTTCTCTATCCTCGTCGTCAACGCACTATTTCGTTAATATTTGCCCACCATTCCTCTGTTCTCTTAGAACAAACAACGCAATCGTTGTTTGTTGAACGAGTTGACGTTTTTCTTTTCATAATTGTAACCACTTCGAAAATATCTGAAAGTAAAATCTGTGCGTGCACGTCATATTTACGCGAAGTGAGTAAAGTAAATGGGCAGAGAAGTAAAAACAGCGATGACTTTACAAAATGTGCTCAATGTTTAATCGCTAGATCTCACGTGCAAATGCGCTACGGGTGAAAGGGCGCATCCATCTTTTTCTTACCTGAGGACCAGTAGCAATGGATGGAGTCTATGCAGTTGTAAAGCACTGCAGGGTTTTGATCAAGTAACAATCGGTATATCGATGAGAGTTGCCCAAACTGACCTAAAGTCGACTAAAGCAATGTCTGGGGTTCAAAATATAATTAGAAACCTTTTTCCAGCATTTTTTCAATTATCAAAACTGTCCTCTTGGACGCCTTCCCTACTATCTCAAGCAAACGACTGAAACCATAGCTGACCCAATCCCCTTGACTTGAAGACATTGGCAGGCAAGGTGTCGGTATGTAGAATTCTATCGTCCACTGAAAGTGGACGTTCACACACGTACTCGCACAAGTGCGAAGTCATAACATTGCTCCAGAAGCGAGATATTCGCTCATGAAGATGGAAGAATCGAGTCTGGAAAAGCCTTGCCCTCCTGTGAACTTCCTGCTCTGACAGTTGAAGTCGTAAGGTCCCACAGCGACTCTGCTCAAGGCTCACAGTCACTTTTAGTGTTTCGATATCACCATACGTGAGAAGAAAAACCATTGGAACAGAGATGAAAACCAAGGAACTGCGGTTTTTGGAAGAGCGTGCCTGTCGCGCGGGGTTGCGCCATCGTCACGATTTTTCGAATGCCCTATACCTATTAGGCCTCGGGCATACCTCACGCGACTTCAGTCGCCATGCGATTTGGCAATACTCCAAATGTTCATAACTCATCCTACGGGGTTTCTGAATGCACGGAAGATGGGGCGTTTTATCAACCTACGAAAGTTATGCATGCTGTGCACTTGGGGTCTACCAGTATTGAACTTGAAGACATCTGGCAAATTGCCAGATCGCGTGGCGACTAAAATCGCTTGAGGTATGTCCCTTGCCTTACGGTTATACTTGCGCAATGGTGCAGAGGTTCAGTTTGGTGATGGGACCTTGTCGCTACTTTAACAGTGGCAACTCTTGGTTCGTCTGTTCTCTCGAAGCATCCTTGCAGTTTGGATCGCTGACAAATGATGTGAAATCCCCTGTGTAGTACCGCGTCCTGGGCTGTCTTGGATCGTTGTCAAGTGTTGCGAAATACTCTCTGCCTTGACATCTCCTACAAATGTTCGGTGCCCCTTGCATTCCATTCGATGGATCTGACATCGATGGAAAAGCCTTTCACGCGAAAATCTTCAGTTTTAATCCCGCCCTACAGTACTAGTCAGCAATGGGTTGAACTTGGTTATGTCCCACTGGAGACAAAAAAGGGAGGTACAAGCGAATAATTTTGGAAGAGTGGTGAACAGTAGAACTGTAGAGTTCAAGCAGGCAGCCCCATAATTCAAAAGTACTGGTCCCAGTAGATTTGGATAAAGATGAAATTCGTAAGACCTTGACGCTCAAAATAGAATTTCGTTGTTAAGGGGCACCCTTCAGCAAAATCCGGTCTGTTTATGGTGCAAAACTAAAATCGCAAAGAAATCCAAAACTGGCACTTCACACACTTCGCATTTTATATCAAGAAGGGGCATTAGCTCTAAATTTCATCCCCATTGTGACTGCTTTTTGTGACAGTTAGAAGTTCCAAAATTGAATTACCACTGTTCTGGATTTTCATTCGGGAATCGGCTTTCGTTTATTGTTTGAGAACTTACAAACAACGAATTTGAAATATAAGAGGGATTTTCAAAGAAAACGGAGCTAAGACAATGGGATAAGATGTTCTCTATTGACACACTCTACCAAAGATGGGAAACAATGTTTTAACAAGATTTTTCCCCAAAGTCAGTAAAGGATTTTTCTAGTTAAATTTATTATCTATAGAAACATCCCTCCACTAGCCAATTCTCAATAGATGAGACTACTTATGAGACATCTGACGCCATAGCTGTCCTCTTTCTCCGAATATAGAAAAAGAAGCGGCACATTTTCGAGGTAAATATCAATGTTTACGAGGTCACCGCTCACGATTACACCTCTTCTACTTCGTTTGACGTCAAGACTTTTTCTCTACGCCGAAGCTTTCCTATCCTCATAATGCTTCTAATACATATTTTTAATTGTCAAGAAATAAATACGTAATAAGAACTGTGATAGCAAAAGCAAGCAGCTTACTTTAGATGGCATCTTTAGTGCCAGCGCTAATTGCTTTCTTTGTTCTCGCTCCATTAGGTTCTGCCAAGTCATTGCATCTATCTCCATCCGGCCAAGATCAAAAACTTGCACCTGTCTTAGTTTTTCAATGGTCACAGTTAACCGAAATATAATATGACCTTCATGAAACAGTCTGTTGCCAAAGACTCACAAAGCAGTATTGTAACTAAAGTTTTGTAAGTAGTAAGGCTCCCGAAATTTTCCTTGTGTTTTGCAGTTCATCTATTGCAATAACAAGAAATTCATTAAGACGATAATACACAATTACTGCAAAAGTCGTGAACTATGGCTGGCTTTCTGAATTAATGACCGCCCATACTTTCTGTGCGCGACATGGGGCCGCATCATTAACATCTCCGCTGAGGAGGGGATCGCAGCTCAAAAAAAAAGCTTCGTATTCTGAAGCTCCAGATATCTGGATTTTTACGCCGTATAACCTATCCGTAGGTATTCTCACCATCCTTCACTATGAACTTATTGTGCAAGGGCAAGAAGCTGTACAAGCCGCATTTTCCAGCTTTTTGTATGATCCCCTGACGATCCCAGGTGGCCGGCCGTCTTCTCTTCAAAGTCATTTTTTCGAAGTCAACAAAAACCTTCCAAAGTTGTACTGTTCGTCTAATCCAACACTGCTAAGCTTTTTGCTGATAAGAACAAATGAATTTTTCAAATATCGAATTTTTCAACAAACCCCAACTCACTTGTGGTTCATTTCAAGTTTCATGATTCCAAAACACCATTTGTTCTTATCAGCAACATGCTTAGCGGCTGAGTTAGATAATCGGTACAACTTTGGAATGTTTTCGTTGACTCCGAAGAAAGAAAAATGAATTTAAAGAAAAGACGGTCGGCCGCTGGGGATCATCAGGGGATCATACAAAAAGCTGGAATATGCGGCACGTACAGCTTCTCGGTCCTGTTCAATATGTTCATAGTGAAGGATGGTGAGAATACCTACGGATAGGTTATACGGCGTAAAATTATAGATATCTGGAGCTTTAGATGAAGCTCTCTTTCATGCTGCGATCCCCTCCAGGGCGGGTGTTAAAGGCACCTTCCACCCAAATTCTCGACTTCCAGGTTTGTTACTTCCATGCTGTCAAAAGCTCAAGACCCTCAACTTAGGGGTGGACGGTGCCTTCAATGCATGCAGCTAGTGGTGTCAAAACAGTACAGCGAGCACTCTTTTTGCGCCGCAGCTTCCATGCCCGTAGGCCAGAGTTACCAGCATTTTATTTTGCGTAATTTGCAGCCTGTTCTCAAGGTAATTTTATACATAATTATTTGATACCCTTTCGGCTCATTCAAATTACTACTTGTGCAAGCCTTGAGATCCTACATATCAAGTTCATGCAAAAAAGCAAATCTACCTAATTCTTTGATTTTAGCTGCTTCAAATCTTGACATTTAGCTTTTTCTTACCCATAACTTAGTACTTACCGCTTCAAACGAATCGCATTCAGGGTCGGGTGTCAACGCTTTTGAAGTAAATCGTGACTGGTGTCTATTAGCACATTTCCCAGGGCATCAGCTTGTGGTACGAAACCTGTTTGCTTCAAAGCTTTCATCATGAAACGGGGTATTCTCTGCTAGTTCTAAACAATATGGGAAGTCATTGCTCAGCTTCACGCTGAAGTTGGTCTCATATCAGCGATTCAGCTCACGCTCTTGTATATTGTATATTTTTCTTCAGGTCATGTTTTCATGTCTCAATGGCAAAAATTCATGCATAAGTGGATAAATTTCTTGAAGAAGATATCTCATCACATCAATCAATCAAACTCAAACAACCCAAATTTCCGCTTCCCTATTTTGCCTATTACAGCGTATGTACCTGCGAAGAAGGTTTTAGTACCATATTTTTGCGATCACAGTAACATTCCCTATGGCACAGTGTTGTCCAAATCTGTTGCTGCGTAGTGTTGCTTATTCTCGAGTCAATCTTCTTTATGAACGAGCAAGAGAGCTTACTCTCAAGCCGTGTGGACAGGTTATTTATCGGCTCCTGTGTGGCCATTGGCCTGTGAATTAGTCACCTCGATAATACATTCTTCTAAAGGTTACGTGGTCAAGGTGAGCAGCATCTAGCGCCTTAGCGCCGCGTTTATATAGCTACAAAAGAGTCACTGAGGTGCCTCTCGAAACTTGACACTCAAGTAGGCAATCAAGGAGCATTGTAGGCTAAGGTTCCAAACGAGAGAAGATGACTTCAACCGGCTTCCGTCGAAGGTCTCCATGAAGAAGCTGTATAGCTTACAGTACAGACTGATTCACTGACATCGTCGTCATCGCCGCGTTAGTGTCGCGCCCGCGCTCTTCAGCGGTACTCCACCGTGGCAATTTTCCACTTTTTCACAAGGTTACGCGAGCGACGAAATATCCGGCCGGGGTATTCGCACCCTAATTGCAACCTCAACTAGCGCCAACCTCGATCCGTAGCTGCCGCCACCGCTGTGTGGCGGCGGCGAGCCGTTACAGCTACCCTACCCTACCCAGCTCACGCGGTAAACACAGCGATTATCCGTTGCGAGATCATCAGCGTGGCCCTGATCAACTGCGATCAGCCCTCGTTCTCCTAATTTGAACTCTCACCGTGCCGTACTCATGGCTACTATCCCGTTGATGGGCCTCAAAATCACTTTGTTTGTACATCTCTATAGTACAAACCTCATATATACTCCAAACATTTTATATGATTATCTGTGTCATTGCACACAATGCACGTTTTTCCCGTCTTCATCCTGTTTTTTCGGACTCGCTCGAACTGAGCGGTTTACTGTGCTTGTTGATGTTTTCTGTCCACTTTAGGAATTAAACAGCACTTTTGCGATATGAGTCTTCTATTCCTGCATGGATAAAAATTCAAGGGCCAGTCTAAGATGCGAAGGCAGAGACGAACATAGCGTGTAATGACACATATGACCATATAAAATGACAGAACTAGAATAGATTTCAAGTACCCAAAGGTTCTAGAGACCCTAGAAGGTATAGGTTCTCGTCTATTTAGCGTTAGACCTCATGTAGTGTCCAATCCGCGGTTTGCATAGCGATAGATGTAATCGTCAAAAAAGCTTGACAAGTGGAATGAGATTTGCGTTGAAATGCTAGTTCTCTCTGAAGCTGATTCACTGCTGATTTAATACATAAGCAGAGCGATACATCAGGAAAAACCATTGTGGCACATTCCAGTCCGACAGTGGCATTTCTCCTGCTTTATGAAAATCGTGTTCCGTCTTCGATTTTGAGTAATACCCTATGGTATACGAATATTATCATGATCTCACGGCAAGTTCTAGTTGCCTGGGCATCCGGCTTGAACCTGATACTCTTCATCCGGGAGTTCATGTAAAAATTCCTTCTCGTATGTACTCCGTTGTGAGCGTGTTTTTGTAAATTCCACCCATACTTGAAAAAATACGATGCAAATCTGCTAGACAAATGACAATTGTCCTTTCCTTATATGTGCTTGAAAACTGCCACAGTGGAACAATTATCCAGTTCAGCAAGATAATCCTGAATAGACGACCGCATATAACAAAAAAGTCACTTTGAAGTGCACTTTACGCTTGGTAGGATATTCCCATTGAGTTAGCTTTGTGTTTTTCCGATATTCTCTAGTTTCTGTTAAAGCTTATTCATATCTGCAGTCTGAATCTTCTCTCTTTTTTGTTTTTATTGTTCCGTTTCATATCTTGGTACAAAATTGATACCTCATCTGTCTTCCTTTGATGGTACCTTTTCGTGAACCAAGATTTTCCCCACTTCTGCAAGGCAATTTTTATATCTCAAATTTGATGTTAGAGACAAAGTCAGCAATGCCTGGTAAAGTATCCTCTATAATTTACTTGGCCAAAGCCAGTCAGGTGATGGGCATCACAATCACCGAACAAGACAAGAATTTGGACTCATAGATTGTAGCAATCCTTCGGAGCTCTTAGCCATCGATCCTCCTTCTGTACATTTTTCGCGATAAATGTACTTTTTGTGAGAAATGTCACCCATTCATATGAGGCAGTGGCGTACCCAGGATTTCGGCTCGGGGGGGGGGGGGGGGGAGGGGGCGGCAAAAAATTTTTTCAAATGAAGGTGCGTGGCGTTAGCCACGCACTCCGAAAAAATTTTAGGCGTACTTTTCAAAATTTTCAAAATTTCAAAAAAAATCAAAAAGCGGGCCCCCAACCCCTAAAATTTTGAAAAAGGGGGCGTGGCGTCAGCCACGCCCCGAAAAAAATTTTTTATAAAGCTAATTTGAATTTTTAAAACATTTTAAAAACTATTTTAATTGTTTACAAAAATAAACAAGTCACTTGCACATTTTTATAACGCATGTAAGTAACTTTCAAAAATTTCGCGACCCATTCTCCCCCCCCCCCCCCCCACGCTCCCCCTTCGGTACGCCACTGATATGAGGTACCACTGAAACCATACTTCTACGTTTTTTTAATCATGATTGAAGGCACTCGCCTGTATATTACGATTCACACCACTGTAAATTGAATTCAAGTTGTGCAAAAAATTTTCAGTGGTAAAATGAAGGCTCTTCTGAGCAGTGAAGAAAAAGTATTGAAATTGCGAACAAGACAATTTTCGGAGTTCCGTCATTAGTTGTCCTCTATGAATCCATGCTGCCTACTTTTCAACTAAAATAATGGATTCGCAACGCGACACACTGATCCAGTTCATTGCAGGGCAATCCCATTTTCTGCGAACGGTAGTGTCCACGAGGGCATGAACAACTCGTTCGGCGATCAAAGCACATCATGGAGTGTTGAAGAGAACTCTATCAAATGGGTTGCTGAATTGCTAATCCATAATTCGTCTACAAATGAGTGAGTATCACTGTTGCCTAATAAGATTTACCTCAAATAGGAGTCCTTGAGAGGGCTGGCATGCCCAAACATAAGACCCGCGCATACCTCGCGCGGTTTCAGTCGGCGCAAGATTTGGCGATTTGCCACATTCCTTCCAGAATGAATAATACATACAACATATATATACAACATATACATACATATATACATCTATACCAACCTGTTACGGCACAATAAAACTGAACAATACATACAACATTTGCATGCCGATGAGGCCTGTCTTTGTAGTTCAGAATGCGCTTGTGGCGATGGGTTTTACAAGGTAAGTTCGCTTGGTCGAAGTGATTCGGAAGTTGATGTACACTGATGGATAGAACTTAAACCGCTGTTCTCAAATATACCTTCACTATCTGCAACGCGTTCTTCTAGAAAGAGTTATGAGCTTGTATATATAATGGAAGTGTGATAGAAAAGAAATGGCGACCTGTGAATAAACAACTCGCATAACACTCGAAAACGTTCGGATAAAACCTTAATAGAATTACAATGTACAAGGTGGTCTTGTGCCTGGACACTTTTGTCTAGAAATTATCATGATTTTGCGACTCGAGATGCACGAAAATTTGGCATTAAAAAAGCTCATAACTCTCCTCAGAATAATGCATCGCAGATATAGAAGGTATATCTGAAATCAGTGTTTCAAGCTCTATCCATTGGTATAGACCATTTTTCAAACTGCCACTTCGACCCCGCAGAGTTCCATTGTGAGGTCTTGGACATAATTTAGGCGGTTTCGTCGGGTGCCTGGCGTTAGGTACCCAGCCGAAGTGCGGGCGTTAGGTACCCAGCTATTAGTGGTATACACTATGCCACGCCCCTTGGTTGCTTTAACAGCGGGTACCTAACGATACACCGAGTCACAGCTGCTAGAACAGCTCAACTTGCTCGCCAAGGCGTTGGCATTTGTGACCCACAGAAAAAAGATAGTTCGAGGAAATCAAAAAAATATTGCGTGAATGAAAGCACAAGTTTGTATACAAGGTTTTTTCTATTGCTTCTTTTTTTAACCAATTTTAGAACACAGAATGTCGGTGATGAAAATTAAAAACAGGGTTAACCTTTTATGATCACTTCATAAAATTTTACAAAAGAAATTGTGATAATATGATCTAACTATGATGTCAAGGGGAATATCAAAAAAGTAAACTTTGTAGAATTCCAACAAACCAAAATTCGGTCATTGCTGGGGCCAACAGATTTATGGGACATTACATTGACACACATTTTTTCTTTATTTTGGGAGATTTTACATCCCGTATAAAAATTTTATTGATAATATAGTCTATCGTGCCTATGTTTTCTTTAGTGCTTTTTTGAAGGACTTTCATATTGCAACTGTTTCATATTCCTTCTCTTTTATAACAGCCAAAATATGATCAATTTATTTAACTAAAGCTATGAATTTTTTGTAACTCACCGAAAAGCGAAAGATTTTGTCAATAACTGCTCTCAGTAAAGTTTCTTTATTCTTTCTTTTCATTCTATTGTCACACACTCATCCGAAATTGGCATAGCTTCATAACGTAAAGTTTTCATTGATTTGAACAGATCTAGTGCCCTACCTATAAATTAATGGGTCACATACTCCTCCATAAAGTTCCGATGACAAGTTCTCGTAGAAGCTTTTCTGCCAATCGTTTCACTTCCCATTGTCAAAAATATATTTGAGGCAGTCTCTTGAGGCTAAGGAATAATTCTTGTAATTCGTTGCCAGGGGCATCTCCGGAAGTGCGTTTTGCTTCATTAGAATCACTTTTGGTTTATTGGAAATCTACAAAGTTTACTTTTTTGAAATTCACGCTGACATTATCGGTTAGATCAGATTATCACAAACTCTTTCGCAAAACTTTATGAAGTGCTCATAAAAGCTTTACCCTTTTTTCAAATTTCATCACCAAATTTCTGTGATTCTAAAATTGTTAAAGAAAGAAGCAATAAAAAACTCTTGTACAAACTTGCGCTTTTATTCGCGCAATTTTTCTTTATTGATATCCTCCAAATATCTTTTTTATGTGGGTCGCAAGCGCCAGAGCTTTAGCGAGCAAGGTGAGCTGTTCCAGCAGCTGTGGTTCGGTGTATCGTTAGGTATCCGCTGTTAAAGCAACCAAGGGGCGTGGCTTAGTGTATACCACTAATAGCTGGGAACCTAACGCCCGCACCTCGGCTGGGTACCTAACGCCCGCCCCCCGGTTTCGTCGCCTCGCATTCTCCCGATAAAACAACTCTTACGAATCATTGCATGTTGATCACCTTGCATTTTGGCTGTGTTAGTTAGTCACGATTAGTTGTTGGAAAACTATCACGACCGAAATGCAGGAGGATTGGCATGCAGTGTACTCGTAACAGTATTGTTGAGAAAATCGCGAGGCGGTAAAATCGCATGAACTACGCGCGAGGCCTTAGGGCGCATTCATACCGCGCCCGCAGCCGCCGCTAGCAGCCCGTAGCAGCCGCTGGCAGCCGCTGGCAGCCCGTAGCAGCCGCCAGCAGTCCTAGCAGCCTACAGCAGCCGCCAGCAGCCGCTGGCAGCCCGTAGCAGCCGCCAGCAGTCCTAGCAGCCTACAGCAGCCGCCAGCAGCCCGTAGCCGCCGCTGGCCGCTTTTGTTATGGAAGCGCAAAATCATCAAATTCTTACTACTTTGAGTGCGCCCACCCACGTTCTTCCACGCTTCTTTCCTTTCTGTTGTCGCAATTCGATCTCATACATATGGTTATCCTGTTGATGGCCCTCTCGCAGTCGAACCATATTTCGCCAAAGTTTCTTCGCGGTGTTCTGTTCTGACTTAGGATGCGTCCAGTTTCTGCAGTGTTTATTTTTTATGTATGGTTCTGCTTCAAAACAGATCCTTGGCCTGTGCTTTTTTTGAATAACTCTGTAATGTGTGAGAATGGAATTGCACATTAGCCGCAGTAGGAAGAAAGAAGCATGGGAGATGGAAAGCATGGGCAGGCGCACCAAAGTAGTAAGAATTTGATGATTTTGAGCATCTATGACACAAGCGGCCAGCGGCAGCTACGGGCTGCTGGCGGCTGCTGCGGGCTGTCAGCGGCTGCTACGGGCTGCCAGCGGCTGCTACGGGCTGCTAGCAGCGGCTGCCGGCGCGGTATTCATACCCCGAGGGGTCCCACAAATCGCGGTAGCTACGCGATTTGGCGATTTGGTAGATGCTCAAATCCACTGTGTGGAATTTAAGTCCGTAGCCATAGACGCGTAGCCTCTGTAAGCTTATGCTACATATCAAATCTTGCTTACCAAAAATGGGCCGAGAATTACGGGCAATCGTTGCAATTCGGAATCAGGCGAGGTATTGTGCCTCACAAAATTCCAGCCACTACTTTTTTGGAAATATTTTTGGCAATGCCAATCGTCTACAACTGTCAACGTATGCGCTTTGATATGCCCAAAATAGGGCAGTTTATCAATTCACAAAAGTTATATTCGCTATGCACTTGTGTCTGCAAGAGTCGAATCCGACGACATCTGGCAAATCGCCAAAACGCATAGCGAGATATCGCCTGTTTGCCCGGTACGTTAGGCCTCGGGCATAGTTCATGCGACTTTAACGCCGCGATCCTTCCAACAAGACAAATGCCTCGTAACGCGGGTGTTCTTTCATTACCACAGAAAAGGGAACCCGCTATTGGGACAGACTGTAAGCTATCACATCTGCTATGAAACTCGCTTTAGAACCGATCCAACAGCTCAAAATACTGCTCTGACATTTGTGCACCATCTCATCATCAATCACTCGAAGATTCTCATGCCTATTATTTTCGTCTTCTTTAGGTCTGCTCATTATCTCCCCATTTTGGCATTGAACACCTCGGTCTACACCAACATCAGTCTTATAGTGTTCTACTGTATTGTCCTACCTCTGAATGTATTCCTCTTCGCCTCTATCGTTCCAGAGTTGACGCGAAGCTCTGTTATGAAGTCAGTCCTCCATACTTTGCAGCTGTTTCAGCCGTAAGTTCCTTTTTTCAGATTGAAACTTCTCGTCGCTACACTAGTTGCTGTAAACATTTTATGGAGCGTGACATGGCTTTTTCTTTCGGTAGCTGTCACCATCATTCAGGTGATTTTTGTTGCGTACTATACTCTGACGATGAGCAAATTGCAGGAAAGCGATGAGGTTATGTTTATTCTAAATGCTGAAGAAGACGGTGTCTACCTACAAAAAAGCATATGGGAGATTGTTGCACATCAGCTTATCGAAAATCTTCTCAGCGTCCAGTCTATAGTCATCTTCGCCATATCCATAGATCGATACCTAAACCTGTTTAGTGTGAGTTTACGTAATCTACATTGCATTCGACTGTACAATGTAACGGAATAGGCACTATCCTCATTGTAACAACAAATGGAAATCACTTACTTCACTATAGAACAGGAAAAGGCGACAAAACGCTATAGACTTCCGGTATCGGACGGCATGACAACTGCCGTTTTTCGATTAGAGCGCGATATCTACCGTCCGGCACTTGTCGTGCCGTCCCGTGACGATATCCGGTAACGGGACGGCATGACAAGTGCCGGATTAGGGGGGGGGGGGGAGCGCATCTTGAATGTGTTTTCATTTATGAAATAGTGTTAAGCTTTATTTTCAACTCCATTGTGTTACTGAGTTTTCCGAAGTTTCAAAGTCATGAGTTCTTTAAAGACCCAATTTCTCAAAGGACGTTGCCGTGCCTTCCGTTTAAACTTGGCTCATCCTTAAAAATCTAGAACTGCCGTGATGTTCATAACGTGACTAAAACTTCATCAAAAATTGTTTACACAAGTTACTCTTCGTTATCTGTCCTCAATTTGTTGCTCTTACAATCTGTGAAAAAAATGATAACTGTTTGTCGCATTCGAATGAAAACTAGGGGCCGCATGCACTAACATCCCTGCGGCGAGGGGAGCGGCGTCCCCAATGATGAAAAAGCCGCAGCGGCGTCCGCACGCGGTCCCTTCATAACGGGGGACGCCGCTCCCCTCGCCGCAAAAATGTTAGTGCATACGGGCCTAGGATTGTTTTTGAACTCTTACTTTTCTTGTATCCTTACTTATGTAATCTCTAAAGTGTTAACTGTAAAACCTATACCAGTTCGCATATAGTAGCACCAAAAATCACATTCGACGGCGATCAAAAATCCCGGCCTTTGCCAAACTTTGCATACAGGGGTTATTTGACATGCTGATCACGAAAATCGTACTCATTTTGCATGAAAGGATCATTTTTGTGGGGTTACGGTAGGTATACGGTAAGGGGTCAAAATCAAGGATTCGCCTGAAATTTGGTTCAGAGGGGTTATTCGACCCGCTGATCACGAATATCACATCCGTTCCTCACCATAGAGCCATATGGTGGAGTTGCGGTAGGTATACGGTGTGGGGTTCAAAGTCTCAGATCCGCCTGAAATTTGGTCTAGAGGGGCTATTCGACCCGCTGATCACTAAATGATGTTTATTTTGCATGGTGGGGCATTTTCGAGGGGTTACGGTAGCTATACAGTATAGGGCCAAAACCTCAGAATTCGCTAAAACCTTGCATAGGGGGGTTGTTGGACGTGCTGATCACGAAAATGATGGTATTTTCGCAGGTAGGGGTTTCGCAAGAACATGATGCTTTCCACGCAGCAGCGCCGCGTGCGACACACTCTGCGTCGGCTTGCCTAAGCAAAACAGGAGGGGGAAAGATTGGAGACCCTGACCCTCGTACCATAATCCTACCGTAACACTTTTTTTCAGGGTCCTTGAGTTTAGTAGCAATGACATGTGTACAGTGCTCGTTTGGCGAGTACTCTCAATAAATTATAGCACTGTTTTTGTAAATTTTATTTTCCTTAAGAAAAGACTTCACTGTGTGTCGAGAAAAAAGAAAGATTTTTGAGTATTCATTTGCAGAGATGATAAATGTAGACAGTTACTCTCACACGATAAAAGTCTGGCACAATGTACATACCACCATTAGAATCTACTTGTCCTCACCAAGTAAAAGGGTGCAATTACACAAGAAATCTTGCCATATGTTCAAACTGGCTATAGACTTGAATGATGTGATGAATTTGAAAGCAGTGTCAGTGCAAATCTGAGTGCTGTCTAATTTTCTCTTTTGGGTACTTGTTTGGGCTACCCAAGGAGCAGTTCATTCAGTCAAATTGCGGCTAAGACTACAATAAATCTTCATCCAGACCGTATTTTCTACCATACTAGAGGCCGCTAACTGGTGTCCTGGAAAGGGTGCGTTAGTGGAAGAATGATTCGAATCTGAAGACTATTCATTAATTGCTCTAACCGCACACGATCATTATTCTTTAATAACTAAACTCTAGGAAGATTATGGACTACCAGAGCGATTTCAATAAGTTACCCAAACGCATGTAAAAGGAGAGAAGTGGGGTAAACGCTGTCATCTTCCAAAATCAGGTTCAATTCAGTATGGAGAATGCTGTTCAACCAGTCCCTAAATCTTTTGCTTACAACCCTTTTGTAGTGAGAATAAACTCGGGGAGACTTTGAACCACTAAACATAACATACACTCAAAACGTATTATTTCGATTACAATACGATGATTACAATAATAATTCAAAACAATATAACTCAAGTAGCTGAATGAAGAACATGAGACTACATCTTTGAAGCGGTCTTCAACGAATCCTTCCAATACCCTAGGACAGGGTCCCAAATCACATGCGCAACGAAATCTCCAAGTTAGGGCGAACAGGCATTAAGTAGATTAATAGGTTAAGTAGATTTAGACAGATAAAGAGCCAGTTAAGTAGATCTAGATGGCGCCATGAAAAAGTAGAATTGCAGCTCCGTTGAAGGACGCAGCAGGATTGGTAGATATCGCGCTCTAATCGAAAAACGGCAGTTGTCATGCCGTCCCGATACCGGAAGTCAACGCTATCTCAGGGATTCGCTCCGTGCGGGCGGGTTGCCACGCCGCAGCGAGCGGGCGCCGGTGTTGCGGGCCGTAGCGGTATCGCAGCGCGCCCGCATGACGGTGGGTTGCCGCACGCACGGGGGTTGATAATTTTGGACACTTATTCGGGGTTATTTTTGTTGCTTGTTGATGTGTGGTGCTTGAATGTACTCCATTAATGCGTTAAATGTTTATTTTGTAAACCAAAACATCATAACATTACAATTCGACAGAATCGCGCAAGCAAGAATGTATAACTGTCCTGTAAAAGAACAAACTAACAACTGAACAAGAACAGAAAGCAAGATAAGAGACAAGACGAACTGTCAATTCCTATGCTGCGCGTTACAATCTCTCATATAACATTTGATATTATATACAAATATAACACAAAACAATAGTCCGTAAGGTTGCTTCAAATTCTGCGTTTCCGCTCGTTTCTTAAAGGTAACCTTCATCCAAAATAGTTATTTTTTCCATGCTCTGAGAAATAAAACTGTCAAACAAACACAGCACGCCAACAGTGATATAAGGAATCACCTTTGCTTCGATCTTCAGCCTTTATCCATTTGTATTTTGCTGCAAGTAATTGCGCATCTCATTGGAACAAATAAGATTGCTATCATACCTCGTTGTGTGATCCAATAAAGACATCCTTGAGGATCTAGAAATGAAGGGTTTTCTGATTAATGTCGTAGGACCACTTCGAATAAAACGTCGTGCTATCACACCTAACCTTCGTATCCGCTGAAAGAATTGGGCATATTATCAAGGCAAGCGAGTCAAGGAACCATACCTTGTCGTGTAGTCCAATAGAATCTTGAGGTAGTAGAAAATTTAACTGAGTGTTCGTGGCAATCGATGTTATGGGTTCCATCTATAGAAAGCGTCGGATTATCACAAGTGAGCGTAGGCAGAATGTCACACATCGAATTGAGGTGCGAAGTCTCTATGGTAAACGTCAGTTATGGCAAAGGTCAATCAATGAATGACACGGACAAAAAACTCAAACAAACAAAAATACCATGGAAAAAGACGAGGTCATAGTATCCCAGAATGCTCTACCATCAATATTGAAAAAGAAATACGCATGAGAGGGCGATAAAACTATTGCAGCATAGCATCCAAAACGATGACAAATACAGCATAAGAGAAGTCCTACATAAGCTAGAGAAGATTCAAGTATAGAAGCTTTTGTTGTAAAACAATCTCAAAGGAGAAAGTTAAGAAGATCTGCGCATCAATTACCGTGCCTTTTCTTTTTGAAACAGTCCGTAATTGCGCGTCAGGGCAGCGTTCCTTTACGCGCTGCCACAGAAAAGACATGGTTGCCCGCTCGCATGCCTAAACTCATGCGGCGCGCTCGCACGGGGGCTCGAATGACCCTTATAATTAGGCTGCCCGCACGCACGGAAGGGCTACTTCGCAGCCCGCCCGCACGACCCAATGCTCTGAGATGGTAGGTGCCAGAGTAAGCGAATATTTTGTTCAAGTTGGGGTCCCGCGCAGAACTGGCATCACTAATCATTGTGGCATAATGCCAACTTGGCGTTGTGCCACAATGATTAGTAACGCCAGTTCTGCGCGGGACCCCAACTTGAACAAAATATTCGCTTACTCTGGCACCTACCTATAGAACATGCCGCGTCCAGTGGGTTTTGGGCGCGAAATTCAAATGGCGCAGCTCCCCAATCGATAAGGCCGATTTGGCTGCTGAAGCCAAACGTTTTTGAACGCCGCGAGAGGTCTTGCGAGGCGGATGTGCTGTTCAAACGTATTCATTGCGATTGAAACAGACTGTGTACAAGCAAGTCTGAGATTATAGTCCAAAGAATTGATACAACGAGCCTTTGTTCAAGCTATAATAGAATGAGGTCCTATAACTTAACCCAATCCCTGAGAGGTTATTAGAGAGATATCCCCTCTCCCCAACATCATTTCGAGCAATCTCCTCTCCCTCCTATTATGCTATTTTCGCAAACTTTCGGACTTTTTCTAGCTTAATTTTTGCAATAACTTCATTAGTACGTCACTATGTGACTTGATAATGTTTGTATTCCAGAGTTACGCGACCAACTGTGAAAATATATTTGCAAAGATGTTCCTGGTAATTGTGCCTTTCCTGACAGCAGCTACAGTATTTGACCATCGCGTGTTAGCTCTGGTCCTCCCAGCAGAGAGTGCAGTCTTTTGCAGGTCAGAACAGTTTCAGTAAATTGCACTCGGTATGTGTTTTATGTCGCTAACGCGCAGATCTCAATAGAAATCAGTCCGAAACCTAAGATGGGCATACCTCTCGCGATTTCAGTCGCCATACGATTTGGCCATTTGCCATATCTCTTCAAACCCAACACCCGCAGACCACAAATGCTTGGTGTAATCAGTTTTAGTGAATGGATAAAATGTGCTATTTCCTGAGCTCAAATTGAGGTTGCGACGATTCACAAGGAACTGGAGTATTGCCAAGTCGCGTAGCGACTGAAATGCAGTAAGGGAACTTAGGAACCCGATCCTAATTAACTCGATTCGGGGATTACCCGCAGTAGGATACAGTCATGCTCGCTCTCCGATTGCTCCCTAGGACATGGCGACAATCTAACAAGGGAAGGATACCAGCATTAGTTGGCAGTTGAAGGTGGGATGTTCATTAGATGCGCCTTTGAACGCTGATTTCAAATCTGCTTCCCTTTTTTGCGGAATAAGTTTCCGAAAGAAGTTATGAGCGCTTGAATGTCCAGAATTGGCAAGCACTGAGTGGCTTAAAATCAGTGGAAAGCTCTAAAACAACACCTATGCAATTTCCAACGACTTTGTTCCTTCCTTGCAAACAATATACTCGATACAAAAATGATTTTCCACTCTATAGTTTTTTTGTACAGTTTTTCGCCAATTTTAGACCACCTGAACCTTGACAAATTTGGACATTTGAACGCCCACAACTTCTTTCGGAAACTTATTCCGCAAAAGAGGAAAGCAGATTTGGAATCAGCGTTCAAGGACGCGTCTACTGATGTACTTCTCATCTTCAATCGCCGACTAATGTTGGTATCCTTCCCTTGTAAGCCCCGCCCCTGACAGCCTGTTTTGGAACCTGGCCAAGGAATGCTGAAAATCCCAATTGAATTTCACTGAAACTGGCTCTTAGCCAAGAACCTTGAAAATGATCGTACGAAGGTAAATTAGGTTCAAACGAAAGAGAAGAAGCTGTGTCGTCATTATTACGTATCTGTTGATTGAAACTAATGGAACACAACATTCATTGTTGTTCAAAAGTTTATTCAAATGTCAAGTTTAGACAAAACACTGAGATTTATTTAAGAAACTCTGAAGACTTCCAAAATAATTTATTTGAGTGCTAATTCCGGGCAAAAGATTAGAAAATTATTTGAGAAAAGACATTTCAAAAACTTCTCAAAAATTCATTTATTTAAGTGCTGAAATTCGGGCAAAAAAACTGGAGAATCAATCAAGAAATGACAGTTTAGAAACTTCTCAAAATAATATTTATTTATGCGGTGAAATTCGGGTAAAAGACATTTAAAAAAATGACATTCAGTAATCACAACTATCAGAGTTGCCTGAAAAGACAGATATGAAAATAAAAATTGATATTATTAATAGTAATTTTCATACTTTACGCTCCTCAGGAAAATTTCGCCTCAAACTGTTCTTCCAACCTTTTTTGCCGTAGGTTAAGGTTCTGCTTACATTTTGGCGGATGTTCTTCGCACATCAGAGTTGTCTGCCTTCAACAGACTGTCTTTGATCAGCATTATCAATAGTGAAGCCTCTAAACCGTCATCCTTGAATGATTTTCTTTTCTCACGCAAATTTCAGCACACAAACAAATACTTTTGAAAATTTCAACTTTCATTCATTGAATAATTTCATATTCTTTTGAATAAACATTTGAACACAAGTAAGCTATTATTCTGATAAGCTTCTAAACTGTCATCTTGAATGGTTTCCTGGCTCCGAATTTCAGCACTTTTTCATTTCCTGAATGGTTTTCTAGTCTTTCGCCCGAATTTCACCACTTAAATGAACTATTTCTTGAGAAGTTTTTGAGCTGCCATTTCTCAAATGATTCCTTAGTCTTTTGCCCGTTCAATTTGAAATTAGCACTCAAATTGTTTTTGATAAGCCTGACAATTTCTCTAATATTAAGCCAGTGTTTTGTGTGTTGACATTTAAATAAACTTTTGAACAAAAAAAGAAGAATGTTGGGTTCCATCATTTCAATCAGTAGATATGTAGTAATGACGGCACAGTTCTTCTTTTTCGTTTGAACTTAAGTTCACCTTTGTACGATCATTTTGAAGGTTCTTGGCTAAGAGCCAGTTTTAGTGACCTGAGGTTCAATTGGGATTTTCAGCATTCCTTGGCCAGGTTCCAAAACAGGCTCTTAGGGGGGCGGGGCTTAGATTGTCGCCTTGTCCTAGGGAGCAGTCGGAGATAGCAAGCATGACTGTATCTTGCAGTCACTCCCCGAATCGAGCTAATTAGGCTTGGGTTCCTAAGTTCCGTTCCCCACTAAAATCGCTTGAAGTATGTGCGGGGCCTAGGGCTGAAGCTGCGCATGCGCAGCACCAAAGGTCTGCGTCACATGTGCGTGTCCAAAGCACAGGCAGCCACAGCCTAAAGAAAGCAATATAGCATTTGAAAAATCGTGACGATGGCTCGACCGCGCGCGACACGCACGCCACTTCGCATTTTCTTGGTTTCCATTTCTAGTTGGATGGTTTTTGCTTACGTATGATAATATTTAGACACTGGGGGTGAATAAGCTGAGCGTTAAGGTGATGTTTTCTTGTATGAGCGTTTTATGCTCATGTAGGCGCAAAGTCCGCAGTAAAATCCGTTGTCATGATTATAAGAGAACTTTAGGCAGGAAGGGAGTACATGCTAAGCGGCATTACGTGACCTATCATGCGTGTTAGGCTTACTTGTAGTATCCGGGGTAGAATACGCAGTGCGCTATGTACTCCAACTGCTGCAACGCAAATTTGACACTACACTGTCGAGCGCAAGAAAATGGACAGCAGTATGCAGATAGCTGCAGCAGTGCGGCCGGTTACGTGTCTACCGCGCAGGCAAGACTTTACGGCGTTTGTCGGAAAAGATTATTTAGATGACACTGTCTACTACCGGAAAAAGACGGGTGACCTTTGAGCGCGAACACGGTTGGTAGAAGGCTGGTCCCTGACGAAGGCGGTCGGTTCATTTTGCGAAGCGGGTGCGAACGCGGCATTCGAACATCTTTCATCAGCTCGTACGCCGGACCGCCTTCGTCTGGGAACTAGCCTTTATTGGTAAAGTCGACTACGAAATCGCCCGGGTAGCTGTAGGCTGAACGCAAGCGAGCGTGCCTGCAACGCGGCTGCCGAATACGGGCGCTATGATGACTCGTGCGCACGAATGCCAATGTTAGCCCGCGAGAGACATACTCGCGGGCATTCAGCCCGGGCGATTATGTGCAGTCAACTATAGCTGCCGGGTGCCGCGTTCGCGCCCGCTTAATTAAGTTGGGCGATGCTTTTGCCCGGCATAAACTTAACATTCGATGAAGCATCAAATCACGTTTTTTTGAGACAGTTTGCGTTGAGGAAGTTATTACTTCTGTAAATAGATCGCAATCAGTGCGGTGACGACTGCAAGAATTTTGTTGATTTTCCTGGAATGATAGTGTAGTAGCTGCAGTGCTGGTAGGAAGATCCAAAATTAGAAGTGTTTGAAGAAAGCGTGCTGAACTGCAGAAAAGAGCTACTCTTTTGCGTTTACAGACTATGTCTTCTCCTCTGTCCATCCCTGCTTGCGGTGACATTGCTTTTGATAGCATTGTTCCCGACAGAGTCCAAGAATGGGTTCGAACCACGATTTCCAATGTCAATGAGCATGTAAGTCAAGTAGTTCAAACTTTCAGTTTCATTCTCAGATTCGTGCTACCTGTCTAGTTTTGTAATGGCTAACATGAAAGAGATGCCTGTCTATGAGAGCAAATAGTCGGCAATAACTGAGGTATCAGGCAAACGCTCTCTGGTTGATGACGTGGAACAGGCTAGCACGAATCTGGGAGATGGTAAAATAACAGCACATTTTTTAGAGCGCTACCACGAGTGATGCTTTTGGTCGCTATTCTTGATGTCTTCTGGAGAACAGCATTTTTCTTTCAACTTATTGAAGTTGATTTTGAATTTCATATCATTACGGGAAGCCAGACTGGCGATCATATGCTACAAAACTTCTTGAATGCGACGTATGAGGTATGATCCAATACTTTTGGTGCTCCTTAGTTCTCAAACGCTTTGAAAATTTATTTTGTTTCTCTATTTTGCTAAGTCACTATTTCCAGGTTGCAGTATTGAACATAACTGTCTTGAAGAAGATTTCCTTGTATAACATTTTTCACTATTTCCAGGTTGCAGTTTTCATCGTTCACTTCTCCACATTTTATCTTCCTATACTGCTCATGGTTTTCGTTCGACATTATCGGACACAAGTAAGATTTTTTTCTTGCAGAGTCCATGCAAAATCGAATACAGGTCGGCGATACCCCATTAGTGTAGCACAGTGGCAGCATAGGGCTGGTACATCATTTTATACTCGTCCTGCCCGCAATATCTCGTAGCATCCTGCAGCGGTCTTGTACTGGTGCTCTGCCAGCATGACTGTAAACACAGCTTTTATTCGTACTAAAACTTTTGTTCCGCACGCTGAAACGTTTCTTGTCTCAGCTCCATAAGGCCTCGGGCATAGTTCACGCGATTTCATCGCTTAGCGATTCTCCAGACACCTGTTACGAGTTCATTGCATGCCGATCTCTGCATTTCGATTGTGGTTTTCCGACACGACTAATCGTGGCTAACTATCACAATCGAAATGCAATGCCATCGACATGCAATGGACTCGTAACAGTTGTCTCGTCGGGAGAATCGAAAGGCGGCGAACTCGCGTGAACTATGCGCGACACCCAACGGCTTATATTAGAAACTTATGCGTTACGTATCAAATCAGATTCTTGGTTCATTGAGGATAGGAGTTGTGAATCTGACGAATGAGCAGTTAATGTCACACTAACGTAAAGTTTGACTTGCTGGATAGAATACTAATCGATAGCGATAGGGAGAGGCAAGTTTTTGAGAACGTATGAAACGCATCACTTTCGACACAGTGACATCTAGTAACGTCGTATGGACGAACGGAGTTCAAAAAAGTTTAGAAGACAGAAATAGATATCAGACTGCTATTAAAGTTGTCGGCGATGCGGGACGGCGCGTCATCGCATGCAGTGGCAGAACGATGGCATGCTGTTGCATGCGACTTGCATCGTTTGCGTCCTGCTGGCACTGTGCCGAGCACGGGATGCGCACACGCCAGCATGACGCATCTTGTGAGAGGCACTCTGCACTTTTGGCAATTTTGGACTTGAAAAATACTAGAATCGAGACGCTGTATCAACACCAATCCGGATAGAGGGGAGACAAGGCAGCTCAAACGTGGCGGTTTCTTTAACAAGGGAATTTGAGAAGCATTGGTGGATTCTAACAGCTTGCGCATCTAGAAAATTTCCCTTTTAATCCTTTGCTCCTCTAGTCCTCTATCTTTCTTGTCTCCTTCCCCAGACGAGACGCAAGACAACACTTTGTCCGCTTAGCGGATAAGACATCACATCACAATCAAAATCTAGTTTTAATTCGCGCATGAAACATCTGTTAAAAAGTCTCTTTTTCGTTTATGTCTCAAATTATAGGAATAATTTTACAGGCTTTAGTAACCTTTATCGTGCATCATCTTGCTATCATTTATGATCTATCACTAAGCGTAGATTAGGAAAACAATGCCTCTTTGTTTTTTCCGCGTTTTCATAGCCACAGTCTCCAAAGAATAAATCAAAAGAGCAAAGGCTACTTAATTAATCATCTGGCCATTCATTTTCACATCAATGAAATTTGAAGAATTCTTGGTGTGGGAGTGAGATTAGATCTGGCAACTACTGTACACACGATTGTAGGAAAAAATCATGTTCTAATTTATCAACAAACTTTCAACATTTACAAAATTGTCTTTGTTTATGGTTGCCTTCACTACCTGAAACCATGAGTGTCGGCAATCGGCCAACACTTCATAACGGAAAAAGGCAAAAAATTCTGTTCTTTTATTTCCATTTTTCCTTCCTAAAATTCATTTCGATGGTGACCTTGTGTTTCCTTTATCATTCTGAGTGTTCTTTTTGTTTATCAGCTGCAGAATTTATTTGCAGAGTTCGTCGCGTTTCTCGCAGATATCCGCGATGTTATGCTGCAGATCGGACACGGTCGTTGACTATCGTTGCGAGACAATGCGATCAATCCTGGCTGATCAGAAAAAACGACGAAGTATGATGATGTCAGTGCATTAACATGCTGCACTAGCAAAGAAATGCACTTTTATCCGAACATCAACAAAAATGAGGTTGCCAAAAAATTTCGCCTTACGAGACTGTCCAACTCGCTCGGGAATGCTATTTTTGCAACACAATCGCAGGCTGTAATCTTCGACATCTTAGTGTTAGTATCAAGCTACTAATTTCGTACAATTTCATCTCCATTTATAGCTTCAAAACTTTCCATTCACCTGTATAACATGAGAATTAACAGTGTTGGTGTGTGAAATTCGCATGTACTTTTCACTATCTTTCACCGTTTGATATCATTTTTATACAGTGTAAATGCGTAGCAGTCTTCTTTAGAAGATTGCTCTGTTTGAAGAGATTTCCGCCTTTTTTTCTACCCATTTCAGAAGCAGATTGGATCTCTATTGCCTTACTTCATCATAAAGTTGTGTCAATAGCATGTGTTACCTTGATCGAAGGCGGATCGTTAGAAAGTTCAAGAAAACTTGTCTTGCTTTGCCATACCGTACGGATGGCAGATCCCTATTCGAGATACATTTGAAAAAAAAAAACGTCTTCAGTGAGGTCGAGGTCATGATATCTCACACTTGTAAAGCTTCTCTAGACCTGAAAAAAATCACAAGCAGAATGATGCAAAAACTATTTACGATAAAATCACTTGCAAAAAATACAAACTTCTTGCGGAAATGAGCAGAGAAGAATTTGATATTTATGTACTTGCGCCCTCTGTTCCGACGTTTTGTGTATGTTAACTGGAAATTGCTCAGACATTTCAGAAATGCTTGACAGACATGATTTCTGTTAACAATCAGTTCAACAGTTTACTGCATACTTGCGGTTTCTGCATTAGGCTAATTGTGTTGGTATGTGCGTCAAATACCACGTTTGGAAAGAAGTCGGCGATTACTTTTCAAAACGTGTATAACCTGAGAATGTGAACAATGCTGGCCACAAACTACTTCGCAAAATCTATGGGGCTCTCCTCAAAATAGCAGGTCCCTTCGGTTGGAGCTAGGTGCTTACCTTTAAGGTAAGAAAGTGAGCCTATCAAATAAAACTTGAATTTGAAAGACCCAAAATGGAAAATAATATACCTGTTATTTGGGCATTGTCGTGTAATTCATTATTACAATCTCTCAACGAGAATCGCAGAATTTCCCAAACAAATTATTTGGTGAGGATGTCTGCTCACATGGCCTATATGGCCAGAAGCCAAATTCAGCGAATTGTTCTTTTCACCACTTCAAAGTCAGATCTTTTCTCCACTTCAAAGTCAATATTTCGCATTTACACAGACAAGAAACAGCAGTGCGTAAACACTTCATTTGGCTGTGCAGAGATCGTTCCAAATATAGCGTAAATGGGCACGGAAATAGCGTCGTCATCCGCTTTGAATGACGTTGTTAATGAGCAAAAAACAGACGTTTAAGCGCTGAGCTTGGAATGTTTAGATGTGATGTTGTAAGTGCTAAAAATGATGGTAGAAAAAAGACTTTGGAGTGTGTTTTTCACACGTACAGAATTTTGATCCCTAGCACTATGATGATCATCGAGGCGCTGTGGTACTAGTTATTACCTCTCAAATATTGAAGTAAACAGGTGTTTAAAATCATAGTTAACCTTTTCGTCGTCTGACTAGACCTTTGCCTAGACTTAAAGACAGTGAAGACCAACATTCCAATGTCCAAAAACTTCTTCTCAAGTGCGTAAATTTTTCAACCATCAACACGAGACCGTTTGGCTACGTTCCCGCATTAGGTCGCTGCAGTTACACAATAGAAACAATGAAAGGCGTTTTGTTACAACACTCGGCTACTTAAGCGCTGCTCGAATTATTTCGTTTTCATATTTCATTCAGCAGGCGCAGAAACATCCAGAACTTCTCTGCAAGTACTGTAACTTCGAAGTTATTCTACGGTAACATTACCATAATCTAATGGTTATTGGTTATTTTGCAAAACATACTTTACACTAACAAGGCTGGTGTGTAAATCGTGTCTTGACCCCATATCTGACATAGATTTACCTTTATATAGAGCATTTCTCATCTGTTTGTTGCCTATTTGTGTCTGTTTGCGACATTTCTTCTATTCGAACACTGAACCCGTTTCGATGTGTGTGTTTCACATACCGATTGCAAAAGAATTGTTTTGCCTTGACTCAAGTCAGATATCTAAAAAGAGCACAAAAGATTTTTTTGCCGTCTTAGGCAACTGACTGCATTCGATCTTTCTTGATATCTAGCCGAATTCAAGCTGTTTTACATAGCTTACATAGTCCTGCTTTAAATTTCAAAAACTCGATTTGATGCATCTGAAAAGGCATAATTTGCTTCAGTTTTTTTTCGTAAACTCTATATGGTTTTGCGTAGCCTCATTTCAATGGCAGCTTTTCAAAAACATTTTGCAAATGATTGATTATATGTTGTGGTCTTAGTTGTAGTGCAATCCATCTGTTCCTTGGCCCCTGAAAATAACACCTTTTACTCTATATTTTCTGGTGTTTGATTACTATGACGATCTCAATAAACGACAAGAACACGTATACTATGAAAAGCTACCGAAACGCACATCACACGTCATCCCACCTGACTCACCGCGGATGTTTGTTGCTGGCGCGAGTGTCAAAAGGACCTGTGCAAAGAGAGCGCTATATTTATCGTCAAAGTCATGCACTCAGACACTCATCCAGTGTTCCCAAGGAACGGTGTTGGTCAGCTCGCCGGACAGGTTTCAAAGCGCCGGGGTTATGTAATCGTTTTTTTCCGTCGTCCGAACAGGAATCGCCTCCCCCAGACACCACAGACAATGGTACTCTTCCCTATTTGGCCATGTTGCTTGTAGCCTTTATTTGCATAAGTGAAAACGCAAGAGGAAAGTGCTTATAAGGTGTGGTCGAGTTTTGCTCGGCCGAGGTCTCCCAGAGCATCTTGACCGTCCTGGACCGACCCCATTCACTTTCGCAGACACTTCTGCATTCGCACAGGTAATCGCGGCCCGCGGCTGTCCTTTCGACCAAGGAACATCGTTCGTTGCGATAGTGGCGACGACGATGCAGCGCAACTTCTCTGGAGCGAAAACGTTCCATTTATGTACAGGTTCCGCTCAAGTGGCCTTCTTTCGCATGTTTTCTCGTTAATTACGACACCATCAGAGATAAGCGATAAAACCTCAATGAAGTCATAACGGCTTTACCGTTCCATTCGTTTCACTATCGGATTTTTCGCTTTCGCCGCGGATGACACAACATTTTCTGGCTACACTCACAAAATCAGGAAGTCACCCAAGCTGTTTAGTTCTCATTTGCAGAGAGTTTTTTCTTTAATTTCTCAAACCTGTTCGGATCTTAGTCAGCCTGCGTACGTCCGAGGTTTTCTGGTACTCGTGGGACAGGGGTAGAGGGTCAGAGGATATAAGACTACTTGTAATGAGATGTAAACGGACTTGCAGCCAATTTTCGCTACTTTTCCAAGTCTAGCGTTTTGAAATTTTTGGGGTAATAAATTACTACACCTGCAAAATTATTTTGAAATTTGATCCAAAAAATTGCACAAATCAAAGCTTTATTCTTACCGTAACCTAAATGCAACCTAGTCTGCTCACCTTTCACCACCTGGTAACAACGTTTAAACTAGTTATGTATGTGTACGAAGCTTAATTAGCACTGTCACGCTTGACCGAAATGTAGCAACGTTTACCTTATGAATGTGTATACTTCACGCAGCATTTAGTCACTGAACTAATATTTTCATTTCTTAGTAATGCATTAGGCATTGTTCCATATTTGGCACAGTTCCACAACCACGATCTCAGCGTAGGAATTTCCGAAATTATGGGGGTGTCTAATTAGGATATTCAGTTCATGGGATAAATTGAAATAGAATGTGAAATATCTCGCGGTATTACAAAATATATTGCACTTCTATTTTTTCCTCTTATACTTGGGCCTATAAATACTTGCAGACAAATCTAATCGTATTTTACAAATCTTGACGTGGAAGCCAGAAGCTAAAATGTGAATTCTCTCGTGATGCTACAAAATACCTTGCACTTCTATTTTTTCACTTCTATTTGCTACTCCTCCTGCTCATTTCTATTTCTTGACGGTGCATGAATTAGTGGCACTCATTTCTACCTCGTATGTTGTTTGAACAAAGCTTTTTTCGGGCCCATACAATTCCAACCGAAAATTATTTTTCCTTGCTCTTGCGAGTTCAGTATTTTTGCGTTATTCTCGCAAAGTTGTAAAAAGACAGAAAAATAGGACGTTTGTAATCACGTCATTGTCTAAGCAAGTATACGCCTTTAAGGTACGACCAGGTACACTTGTGGAGACGGTCATCCAGCCAGACACGTCTTAGTAAATATTTACGGTTTTATTCGTTGACAGTACTTAGGAAGTACGAGAAGTTTGCTCATTTGCTATCATGATTTTCGTGCCGAGGTGATAAACTACTTGTTTGACTTGCTCCGGCTATTTCATATGATAAAATAACTTTTGGTAGACTTCAAATTTTCGATCCATCTATCTTTGCTTTCGTATATACCAATGATTTAGCCACGTATACTTCGTATAATTTCGTCAGGTTTTTTTTCTGGCAGTTTCATTTCAAACTAAAAATTTCCTATTTCAGATATGAGCATTGCGATACTCAACGACCCCCAACTATCTACCGATGTCTACGATTTGCTAATTTCACAGACAGCACCAAGTTCTATAGCACCATCACGTCAACAATGTCACGACTCTGTCACCAGCATCAGCTTATGCACAATTTGCGAGCAACGCTCCATTTCGATGCCGACGTCATTATCGCTTTTGCTGCGACATTCATGATAGCAACAGTCATGTTATAGGATTGAAGAATTGATATATGATCTCAACGATAATGATTCGGAATTATTCTGATGGGTTCTGTAATAAATTGTTGTTACTACGAGAGTTTGCGAATGTTACAAGACGTAATGAACAGTATTTATCTACGGTGGAGTCGTCACTTGTTGTAACTCAGTGAAACTGCACATCATGCGCGGAACCTCACGACTGCTTACAAACAGCAACAAGAAAACTATTCTGATAAACTTTTGAATGATATCTATTCAACTTTATTTTGCTAATTGACGTTCAAAAGGTGGAGAAAACAAGAAGGATTTTCCACAATTTGACAACTTGCAAGGCACAAGTCGTGAAAAAAAAAACATTCGCAAGTTCTCGCTGCGCGCGTTGTGCAGTACACATATTGAATTACACATGCTTGGTTTCAAAATAAGAAAAACAGTACTTTAGTAGGCGAATCTATTTGAAAAAGCCTGCGAATCTTTGGCGGTATCAGCTTGTTACAAAATGATGTTCCAAATGTTTAATTGCATCACTATATTATCCAAAATTCGCGGCCCAGATACAATTTATGCAAACGTTGGAATTACTTCAAATGCATATTCACGTGATATTTTTTGACCTGCAAGGTGTTCCTGAGCTTCATCTTATCTCTGCAAGTTTTTGCCAACAACCATTATGCATACATTCGTAACGACAATGTTATGATTTAGGACACAATTCATAGTGCAACTGCAAGCGAGTTTGAAACCACCACTAAGCCATTATATATCAATCTTGAACTGTAATATGTTTCCTCTGCACTACTCATTCAAACTCGTCAAGTGCTATCAACCGGTTTGTATAAAAACTAGTCTACTGCTAGGAACAGATGTTCTCGATTTGAAAGCGAAACGAAACTGATGGCAATAGTATTAATAACCATAAGCGTGAGATGGCTGAGTAAAGCTTTGCAGAATTAGGTAGTTCGCTTCACAGTCAAATCATTTCATATGATCATGTGTGCACCCGCACACACCGTCCATCTTTGGCGTCCTCGTCCTGGATTTGCAATCGCAAAACGCACGAGACTGAGCGATTGCTATCGCTTACATCACTATGAAGTGAATAGTACCTAAAAAGGAAAGAAAACGTTGGAAACACTCTGAAGACATCTGCATAAAGGGTTGTCCCCTCCAAGAATCCAGGATGGGAACGCCAAGGGGGACGGTGTATGTAATGTCACACATGATCATACAAAATGATTCGACTGTATTCATCCTTTTATTGACCGTGTAAGTTGCATCCGCCAAGACATACTGCAGTTGCACGTTTTTAGAGGGTCCACTTTGTGGTCCTAGGTTGTTTAAACAGGAGCACGCCGGTTGCAATAAATCAACGCACCCTCAGACCTCAGCACCATTCACCTTGGGCAGGAACACGAAGTTAGGGCCGTCTCTTAACATAGACTTAGGTGCCGTGCTCTATGGCAACCAGCCTGCTCCACTTCAATTTTGAAATCGTCTGCCAGACGTTCACCGATATGATGACTATGGTAAGTTCCAACTCAATTTAGGCTGAAACTGAACCAGCAATCTAAAGGTGCTATTGGCAGCAGCGTTCGCTTGACCGCGCCGCAGTTTCCCGCTATGTGCACATTTTTGAATTGCGCTTACGATTCTTTATATATTAGACTAGCGACCCTACGGGTCGCTAGCAAGTGGGTCAGGGCAGATACAATATAAGGGCTTAGTTGTGACTAAAAATATTTCTGAATAAGTTTTCTGTTCTTTTCCTGAGAACATTTTTGCGAAAAGGATTCCACAAAAGGATAACTGCTCGAAGAAGCGATAATCTCCACAAATCATTCAGCATTTCTCGAAATTCCTGCTACAACCATGCATGATATTATTCTTATCTAGTTTACACCCTCTTTATGCAATTCCCCTCCTCACAAAAACATTCAGATACCCCCCCCCCCCACATTTCTAAGAGAATTTGCTCTTTCAGTTCTTCTCAACAAGTTCCATAAAAGATCGTTAAGTAGCAGAACATCTATCGTTTTGGAAGTAGAAATACACCATAAGAATTAGTGTACTACAAAAAACACTTTTCTCTCAGAATCAATTTCGACAGCAACGAAATCAATCGTCTAAGAACTTTGCTAAAGAATCCTTATTTTTTCGCTGAAGGAATATGAAGCTTTACTACAAAAGGGAGCCACCTAAAGACCGTCAATCATAAGAACTGCACAAACGTACTTGAAATTTCTTTCCCTGTCCGATCAAATTGCCCTACGTGCCGCTTGAAGACCGTTTAAGAATTATAAGGACCGCCCCAAACATTCAAAAATCTGTTTCCCTGCCCGATCGGGTTGCCCTACGTGCCGCTTACAGACCGATAGTAACTATTCAAAAAGAAGGTTTATTCCCTATGTGCCGCTTAAAGACCGTTTGAAAATTATAAGAACTGCCCCAAACATACAAAAATCTGTTTCCCTGCCCGATCGGGTTGCCCTACGTGCCGCTTACAGACCGATAGTAACTATTCAAAAATAAAGTTTATTCCCTACGTGCCGCTTGAAGACCGAAAAAATTACAAGAACTGCCCCAAACATCAAAAAAATCTGTTTCCCTGCCCGATCGGGTTGCCCTACGTGCCGCTTACAGACCGATAGTAACTATTCAAAAAGAAAGCTTATTCCCTACGTGCCGCTTGAAGACCGTTCAAAAATTACGAGAACTGCCCCAAACATTAAAAAAATCTGTTTCCCTGCCCGATCGGGTTGCCCTACGTGCCGCTTACAGACCGATAGTAACTATTCAAAAAGAAAGCTTATTCCCTACGTGCCGCTTGAAGACCGTTCAAAAATTACGAGAACTGCCCCAAACATTAAAAAAATCTGTTTCCCTGCCCGATCGGGTTGCCCTACGTGCCGCTTACAAACCAATATTATCTATCTAAAAGACAGTTCATGCCCTACGTGCCGCTTGAAGACCGTTTAAAAATTATAAAAACAGCCCCAACATGCAAAAATCTGTTTCTCTGCTCGATCGGGTTTCAACAGACTTTTGTATACCAAAACGGTGACAAGTTTTCCTCTCTTGCACAGCAAACCTGCAGAGAATACAGGGCCTAAATATCACTCATCTCAGATCTCAGTAAAATAAAAACAAAATTCCTCACTCATCTTTCGTTTGTTATGTTAGTTCTTTCAGACGTTCCGTTACATCTGCTCATTTGTATCTGCTATTTGTACCTACAGGCGGATGTCATATTTGGAGTAAAATCTCTCTCACTGAGTGTTCAAGATACTAAACACCTCACACAGAAGAGTCGGATTTGTAATGAACTCACGATCAGTTTTAGCTCCGATGTTACCGGGAGTACGCTTGGCAAATTTCTACCTCAAGATTACCCTCTCCATAGAAAACAAGTTTTCGGCGATAACAATCTTATTAGAAGCAAATATCAAAGATCCGGTCAGATTAGATTCCCCTCTCCTTAGAAACCAAATCATCGGCGATGACAATCTCTTATTAAGATATTCTCGAATGAGAAGAATCCAGAACAACAGTTACTGGAAGAAATTCTAGAATGAACGTGGAAATTAGAACAGTTCCTAGGATGGTCAAAACTGCAGACGTGAAAAATAATGACGATATCGATCGAAAACACGCCCGAAACATGCCGTTATGCATGTGTGTTGTTTCAGTTGCCCATACTTACGAAATTTGGCACCGTTCCAAAGGCTTACGAAAATCTGGCATCGTGCCAACTGACTTACTCACCGCTAATGGCAGCAATCCAATTCCAAAGATCAGTGTATTTCATCATAATTTTTACGTCTGCGCCCTCCTCGTTTGCCATAATCCAACTATCAGAGGGTTAATGGGTAAACAACGAATTCGTTATATATTACGTAGTATTAGATTAGATTGGACTGGCGGGAGCGCTTCGCAACGATTCGCGCCCTTTGCAGTCTGTGTCTCTTCATTTTAGTCTATCTCGCTGCGGTGGCAACGCGGACGCGCTGCTCCACTTGGAATGGTTCCACCGGGTTGAAAAAGACTGTACTATAAGGGTTGTTTTTGGCTTTTGTTGAACTGTGAGATGATTGCCGATATCGTCGCTGCCTATTAAAAGGCAATGAGGACAGCATTATGATGGGTATCGGGTAAACGCCTGATTGTACCCTGACTTGCGTAATGGTGCGCAAATTATGGTTGTGACAGAGTCAAGATCCAACTGGATATGTTCACCTGTTCCATGACTTCTACATAATGCTTTCTTTCATGCCTAAACTTCCGTTGCTCCTATCGAGAAAAAACTCCCACTGTCGAGTCAAAATTGGCTGCGGATGGCGTCACTTGACCCAAGAGTGAATTCCTCTACGCGCGCTGTGGTCCGGTTAGCATCATGTGAGCAGTTGTGGGGATTAACTTCGACCCACAAAAATTTTTCTGCATCACCGGTAACTAGGGACGCGAACGCGGTATCATTAGCCGCAGAGCGCGCCAGAAGCAGAGTCTACAACGGTGAAGATATGGGCTGCTGCATAACGAAGGCGCAATATCTTCGGGTGATAACGCGGCTTCATTAGCCGCAGAGCATAAGGCGCAGGAATTACAACGGTTAGGATACACGCGCGCAGCCTTCGCGCCTGCTCAACTAATGCTGCTTCTGCACCTTCGTCATGCAGTAGTATTTACGCACGCTCCAAGTTCGCACCTGCTCAACCAATAATACTTTTGCGCTAACCTTTACTTGCCATTCTCTTCTACAACATACGGTATGTATCGAAACTGCGAAGGACGGTACTTGCCTAAAAACTCTTGTGGATAGCGAAAGGGGATTAAGAGTCCGCCTTTTTGGCTTTATGGCGGTACGCATCCCATGACAATTGGGCACCACGTCTTAGCCTCACCTTGTCCTTTTGGCTTGTCTTATCCTTCATAGACATCTTCGTCATAGATCATGAGTTTGTGAACGTCGTTCACGTATATTGTCTTCTTCTAAATAAATTAAGTTTTGATGCTTACGAGGATGGGAGTTACCTAGCAAAATGGAAGACTTATAAGCCGATTCTTACTGAGATCTCCAACAAGGTATTCCCATTGAGATTTCCGATACGGGAATACAACAAGCTTCAGACAGCTTTACAGCATGAGAAAGTAATTCCTCTCCATGAAGAAAAAAGATGATTATCCTAACCATCGCTAGATAATGGGCAAGGCATTTATTCTATAAATCTATGTAGCGAATGAATCTTCGGTGAGGACACACATATCACAATAATATAACACAAGAATTTGTTGTCTCGTGAACACAGGAATGTGGCGCAGTGATGAATCGCATATGATGCAAAGAGCTTATACATGTACTGGAAAAGACACGATCACGAGATAAATTTGAAGCTCGTCGGACGAATTTACTCGCTACAGGGCTTCACCTAGCGAAAAAAGAGGTGGTAGATTCAGGAATCTACCGTGGCAAGGTAGCGGTGGTGTCAGGAGAGTCGCCGAACGAGTCTTCGGACATTGGGGCCTTTCTGCGTTCGTTGTACTGACGGAACATGGCAGCGATGATCTCTCCTGCTAGCATGTCACCACCATTAGTCTGGAAAGAACAAAAATATTAACAAGGCGGTAATCATAGCGTCCCTATCTTGCCGACATCTCCTAACAACATTTGCGCGTAAAAAGAACGCTTGTAATGCCGGCGATTCGCGCGCGCAATATGGCCGCAAACCGCAAATCTTCAAGTTGCTCCTAATTCATTTGCGTGCAAATGTTGTCTGCAAAAGTGGTACTAAAGACACTCTAAAACTATCAGCTACTAGTCTATACAGAGTTTCCCTTACTTGTATGAGTCGGAGAAGGAAAACACCGTCGGAGGTGAGATAGTTGCGGACAAATCCGCCCACTTTTTCCTCCTCCATCCGCGATGGCGGCTCGCTGATCTCACCCATGCATCGAAGGTACCTGACATAGAAGATATTAAGATATCAACAATTTAACTGCTCTAAACAGCTATGTAAAAAGGGGACCCACTTGGTGACGAAGCCGCGCTGGAAGTTCTTGCCAGCTAAAGCGACCAACCAGTAAACGAGCGAGATCACCGAAAGCACACCAACAAGTATAAACCAAAACCTAGAAAAGAAAACCCTATAAAAATCTACTCAACGTGTTTTTGGTTACTATCTTACCACAAGAAAACGTAGATTTTCTCAGTGAACATATTGATCATCAGTACACACTGAACAGTCCAGCGATGCAATGCACCAAGAACACGAACCTAAAACGAGTAAATAAATTTTTTTCTACTGAAAAATTGATATTAAAATACTTACCGTAAAATCGCACATGGTTACTCTTGGAAAATGACCGGTCACATTCCATTCACGACCGCTCCAGATGTCGCGGAAAATCTCCCATCCCCAGAATGTATTGTTAGTGCCGAGAAATGCGGAGAAGATAGCGAACTGAACTTCTCAATTCAGTGAACAATTCGGAATTTTCTTAGAAAAGCTGTGTCTACTTACCTGAGCGAAGATATTGAAGACGTATAAGAATTTAGTAAATACGTAGACGGCGGAGAGATAGGAACCAGATTTTCGCATTTTTGACATCATTCCAGCTTCTAAGATGAAAATAGAATAGAGATTTAGAGAAATACTTGAAATCTGTTGTATCTACTATAGTTTTATGCACCTTGGGGAGCACATGTTGTTTATGAGGAAACATTTTTTTAATACAATTATTACAATAGTGATAGTTTTTGTATTTTTTGACTTCAATAGCCCACGCTTCAGAATTGAACTTCACTACAAAAGTTAACCGCTGCTTTATCGACAGTACAAAATTGAAAATATAATTTCTCTAGCGAAACAGATTTCCTACAAAATCTCAGGTCTGGAAAATTTGAATGCAACAAAGCAAACCTTGTTTCAACTCTCTCTGCAACTCAAGCGCCTCTTGTAAGTGAACAGCAGCTTTGAAGACCTAAATTTTATTTTTCACAGCATAACTCTTTGTAAGACCAATGAAAATTTACCTGATTTTCTCGCTCTTTCACTGTGACGTTCTTCTTGACCTTGGCTGTATTTTCCAAAACATCCTTGACGTTTATACCTGCAAAATAAAAACATAATGTGGATCTAAAGAGCATGCAAGTGATTTTGCTACTAAATCTTACCCGTAGAGCTATTTAGGGCCTTCCATACGATGCATGGTAGATAGAACATGAAAGCTTGCAACGCCAACATCAACGGTACCCATTGGTAGTAACCGATTACCTAAATAATCATTTTACAGAACGATAACCTCATATTCTACCCTTACAGCGTTGTCTCTTTCGATGAAGTCCTCATTGGGATGTTCGTCGTCTGGCAAGAAGTACGATCCCTTAATGAAGCAGTAGGTCTCCGCATATCTGAACATTATTATCTAATCCTTATAGACCAAGAAGACAATGAAAAGTAGCAGAGAGCTAGAACTCACTTCTCCCAAGCTCCGGTGAATTGTGCAGGCACCCAGCACTGGAAAAAATGTGAACAGTCTATGACAAAAGAAGGATACCGAAACAATTCAATAAAGTTGTATGACTAGGAGGAAGTTTTTCAATGAAACTCTGCTTTTCTTACTTAATGAGCGATTCTCTGTAAGAAGTTATGGGCGAAATAACGAATATGAAATTCTCAATGAATAAAGCGCAGCAAATAGCCAAAGAGCTCGTAAACACAATGTTTATGAGTATTCTTACTACAAAAGAAAAACACCTTCCACTGTTGAACCGCTTATAGTTGAAAATTTTCTTTCAAAATCTGACAAACTGAGAGTTTCAAACTCTCATATGTTATACTAAGGAATAATTCAGCAGATACGAAGAGTATATCTAGAATCAACCTTTCATAGTGCAGCCGCTACCAAGTGGCCACACCAACCTGGTTTTTTATGGCAAAAAATGTTCGCCAAAGCAAATGGTAACTATTTGATACACCGATCTAATCACAGGAACATTCTTCTCATGAACTGTGAGGTGTCTCTAGATGAAAAATATAGAGCCGAAGAAAAAAATAGCTTGAAGTAAGCATAAGAGGCTGTAACGTCTTACGTAAACAACTGAGAATATAGTAAATGATTTGTTGAGATATTTATAAATTGTGTTACGACGATTTTTCGAACAAGATTGCTGTAGTTAGAAAGGAAGATGAAAGATGAATAAGTTAGAAAATCAAGCTGATTGCCGACAGGTGGAGCCAAAGAATTTCTTGGAGAATGAGGAACAAAGAATGTCACAACAAACATCAGTCTCTGATAAAAGATATCTTTCCAAGTACTCAGATCCAAAGGGTCTCGAAAAATTTGCACTTGCGCAGTTCAGAGGAATTTTTTGACATTGTCATCATTCCAGTAGGATTACCGAGTAGATGCATCACTAATACAAAACAGACAAGGGAAAAGTTCACTTAAAAGCTTTGATACCTAAGGTATTACAACGGTGCACTGACAGTCTTCAGTAGCACAATTAACAAGCAAATTTCAACAGATCTGCAGCAAATGCACTTCTTGAACTACAAAATATAAGTCTTTTTTTTTTCCAAATGCATATCAAGGGAGGATTAACGGCAGTTGCAATAGATTTGCTGAAATTTGAACTGATCTGAATGCATGGGTTCAGTGAGCGCATTCTCGGAACCGGTCAATCATGGAAAAATTCAGTACGGATACAATGTTTAAAAACAACTCATTATTTCTCTACCGCAATGGTCGGGCAAGAAAAAGTTTCGGAAAAACTTGTCGCTGCTTCGATCATCTTCAAAAATCATTTTCGCCTTCCTTAGTTCTTTAATTTCCAAAAATAGCTCTAAAACAACTTACTTGTATCGGTTTTCCGACATATTGTGTTGCAGCCAGTGTGATAGCACCTAAGGCAACCAGCATAGCTGTGTATTGGTAATTGAGCCGGTCGATGAGGTCATTTGACTGATACGACCTGTAAATAAGAAAATTTCAATTTTTTTCCAGGATTTCTAGAGAAAAAATTTTAGGGCAGAATATTGGTGCAGGGAGGAGAGATATATCTATTATTTGATTTTAATCAGCAAGGTTTATTCGCAGCTGGAAAAATATTGATCGCGTATGGGCAAGATATCGAAAATGCTAATTTTTGCTGTGATTTTGATAAGCTTGACGCGTAAATTTAGTAATAGACAATTAGAAACACCTAACGGTCCATTTTCTGAACCATGTTTGTACTTCAGTCCAGTGCTCTTATTTTCCCAAATCATTCCCTTAGAGCGGAAGGTATTCATCGCGTGAACCCATAAAAAGCATCGTAAAACGTACCTGCGTATCTTACTGACATAGGGGACGATCGCTCCGATCATCCTTGCTCAGAAAACCCTAGAAATAGCTGAAAAATCAAAATAATCAATCTAACAAATGAATGATTTCACGAAACAACGACGAAAATTCAGGCAATCAGCTGTTAGGCTACTTTCTTGAGAAATCTAGCGGCTGTGATTTCAAGGACTGTAAAAAAGAGATTTTTCTTCCCAAAATAGCCAAGCATGACTATTTGCATTCTGTCAAGCAAACATGGCAATTCCATCTTCGACTTGACGGTAAGTGCCCGAATGTTGGTGCCGTACACACTTCTTCGCCGTCACATCATGTAATCGCATTAGAGATCACTAGAGTTGCGAGAAAAAATCGATCAGACACATGCATTAGATACTGTGTGCTACGGTAGTTATTGATCTACACTTTTGATTGGTAAAGCGGTGAAAAATAATTGTTAATAGTTGTTGGCTACTAGGATGGTGATGACTAAGCGATGCTTTTAGCATGACGAAGCGTCGTTCTATGGGTGTTAGCACTACTGATGCGAATATGGAAGAAACTAATTTTGCTTTGAGAACATTTTATGAAACGAGAGAGACAGTAAGAGTTTCGGCAAACAGGTAGAAGAGGTGAAGGAGAAGTGAGAAGTCCAAGTACCAGTTTGAGGAAGCACTTTGAAGAGTGCCAAGTTATAGAAAGGACACACGACCACGAACTCATATTAACTCAGCAATGCACACTGTCGTTTATGGAAAATGAGGAAAGTATTGATTTTTCGTGCAATCAAACGCGAAAACCAGTTGTGGGCCGTCGACGGTACGGAATCGCGTGTCGTCGTCGTCGTCGTCGTCGTTCATCGTCGATACCACTGTGTATCTCAATGCGGGCCCCCGTATATGCAAATTTAACACTCAGAAAATGTGCATAGAGAATGAAAATCGGACTGGGAACCGTACATGAGAACTGTAGTTCAGCTGACTGATGTTGGGCTAGCTCTATGGGGCGATGGAAGTTTTGTTATGTGATGTGTTCGATGATAAGTCTTGCGTCATTTTGCTTTGAAATCTCGGAGTTTTTCTTCCACATCTCAGCGAGATCCGCACGATCGATGAACGATAGCATTTGCGATTCTTTTCGTTATTCTGTGCGGAGTAAAGTACAGAAGAGAAAAATTCACAGAAACATTTTATGCAGCCGGCTGCGAAGTAAATGAAGCTAATCAAAGCAATTAGTTGGCGCGCTATGTTCAGTAAACCATAAATAAAAAACCAAAATTTCGATTTCCTGTCCTATACGGTAGCGAAAAGATCAGACCTTTAAAGCCATAAAAATCAATAAATTGACTAAATACAACTCAAAATTGACTTTGTCCCAATTTATACGAAAATCACTGCAATCTACCAAAAAAGATTACAATTTCTCTTCGAATAAATTGATACATTCCCCATAATTTATGCAGAAATAATCAATAGCATAGTGAGGACATGAAAATGTCGAGCGAAGGCCTCGCCGTAAATTAGGTGTGTCCATGAATGCCGACGAAAACAGTAACGTTTGTGTCAGCCGTCGGGTCCCAGGCATTTACGGAGGGTGATTAGGGGTGGGACCACTGGACCACTAGCAGTAAGGTCAGTCGCCGTATTACTGTGATCTGATCTAAGGGCCATGGCCGAGTACGGTAAAGTGTTCAGAAGATGTGAATGTATGATGATATGGTATGTTTGAGCGGTAAACATGTGGGTATGTGTTTAGCGTAGCTGAAAGTAAATTTAGACGAGTAGAAGGAAGCAGTTTGAGGTGTGGGAGAAGGAATAAAGCAAGGTATTTGCTATGTTGGAAATTTTCCAGAAAATATGTCAAAGAGAATTATTGGCAGGAATGACTGACAAATTATTCGAGTAGATAGTTTACCATAAACGTGCACATATGAATAGTGTAGTCCTCGTTGAAGAGATTATGGCAAGAGAGTGCCTCCCGTGTGTGCCGCGACTCCCTCACCCATACAAGGTCGAACGACAATCGTAATTGACGATCTGGCAAGGCTGGTCTCACACTAGCGAACAAAAGGGCATGAGAGCGCAGAGAATTCGACGATTCTTGAGTACAAGTTCACAGGTTCCACATATGAAATTCTTCAGAAGACCGTTTGAGAACGTGCCCGAGCAGTTGCGCCCAAACTGTATTGATTATCTCAAGAATACATAAAAAAAACGAGGAAAGATGCGCTAATATTGAACGCATTCCGCATGTCGCTATTTTACGAGCGATTCTTGATGAAAATTCCAGGACTCTCTAATTTCTGTGAACTATAAGATTCACGTAGAATTCACCGGAATTATAAGATGAAATGAATGATTGAGACCGTTCCAAACTGCTCGATCGCATCAGTCCCTGTATTGACCACGTCCTTTGAAGAAAAACATCCGAACACGTGTTGTGTTCCTTTGGATGACTGTCGCGAAATCTCCTTCCACAAAGACGGCATTGCTTTTGCATGTTTGACTGGTAAACAGGTTTTTCTGAATAGAATACTAACAAATAGCACCAAAAGAGGTGCTTTCTGCAGTAGTTGGTCAAGTTTTCAGCTGTCATAAAATCATAAAGTATTTTCTTAATAAACAGAGATGGTCATATAGGCGTGTTGCCGTTAAGATTTTGGATTTATTACGCATTTTCAAGCAATATTTAGTGCAGACTACTGTACACAATCCATTTTGCAGGAAGATTGGTATCTCGAATGGGCGAAGTCTGCTTGGAAGTTGATTTGGCTGACCGTTTACATTTATTGGCGATTCATCGCACGCAGAGACGGAATGTCACAGCGGACGCTGTCGACTTTCACTCATCGAGCGTTCTTTCTTCCCTCTTACCGCCTGCTGTCTCTCCCATTCAAGAACTATCTTAGTCGGGCACAAAAGCGTCTAGTCTGCGCATGTGATGAATCGCCTATACGGGTGTCCCAAAAAAATCACTGGTTGTAAATAACTCTCTTGTAATGAAGTGTTTCGAGAAGCTTTAGGTATCATTTTGTAGAGCGAGGTTGAACTTACAAAAGAAGCTCGTTGGGTGGAAGTGGCAATTCGGAAGGTGATGTATACCAATGGATGGAACGTTAAACGCCGTTCTAAAAATTACCTACAATATCTGCGACGCGTTTTTCTAAATGGACTTATGGGCTTTTTTGCATAAATAATGGAGGTGTGATCTAGTTGGAAATGACGACCTGTGGATAAACAGCATGGTCGGAAAACACTCGAAAACGTTCGCATGAACTCAAATTAGACCTACAATGCTTCCTAGGTGGTTTGCATAAGCTTGCACACTTTTGTGTAGAAATTATCATGATTTTGCGACACAAAACGCACGAAAATCTGGCATTAGAAAAGTTCATAACTCTCCTCAGAATAATGCATCGCAGATATATTAGGTTGGTGCAAAAGTTCTTTCCGCCCAAATTCAAAAATTCATAACTTGTTTGATTCTCAACGAGTCTGCAAGATCTAAATTTCGCTTGAGAGAGAAACTCATGCTCTTTGCACTTACCTGAACTGTTCGTTAATGTCTACAAATTAAGGAGATAGAAGCTCAAAACCAAAATCACCCAAAATTTGAATTTTTCGTGTAGGGTCATAAAAAATCGGAAACCTGCAACAAAAATCGGAGATGTCAGTATTGTAGGTTCTTTCACCAGCTCTTTCTAACGGAAAGTTTGCGCTGATTGAGCGTTTCTATCAAAAGTTATGAATTTCGAGCAAGCAATATAAAAGGGCGAATTTGTTTTTTGGCATTTTTCAGGGAAATCATAACTTTTTATAGAGATGCTCAATCAGCGCAAACTTTGCACCGTTAGAAAGAGCTGGTGAAAAAACCTACAATCCTGACTGCTCCGATTTTTGTTGCAAATTTCCGATTTTTTATGACCCTACACGAAAAGTTCAAATTTTGAGTGATTTTGGTTTTGAACTTCTATCTCCTTAAGTTGTGAACTTTTACAAACAGTTCAGGAACAGATGCAAAGTGCATGAGTTTCTCTCTTAAGCAAAATCTAGATCTTGCATTTTCGTTGAGAATTCCACAAGTTATGAATTTTTGAATTTGGGCGGAAAGAACTTTTGCACCAACCTAATAGAAAGTATATCTGAAATCAGCGTTTTAACCTCTATCCATAGGTATAGATCACCTTCCGCATCGCCACTTCGATCAAGCAAACTTCCCTTGTTAGATATGCAGTATGGAGCGAATCATCTTTTGCTCTTCATTAATGTAGGATTACGGTACGAACTTGACAAGGATTTTAGGCCATTGGAGGCCATATTCTGCCTCGGAACAAAACCAAACAAGCCAAAACTCTTATATTAGGTCGGTCCGAAAGTTCGTGCCGTTTTTCAGACCCATGCACAAACCACTTAGAATAAAGATAGACCAACGCTGTAAGCACTATCTGATGCACAATTTCTTCCCCTTTCTAACAGTCGTGTATTTGTCTAGATCCCATCGATGACCGCGCAAATAATCGGCAAAATCTCCAATCCATGATTTTTACCCATCTTGAGTTTGGCTATTTTTTAAAATTTACATCTTCAACTTTTAGACTAGCTTTGATAAAAGTTGGATAGAATACGCAAAATGCAATACAATACAGTCTTCTGGCTTTTCTAGTCAGGTTCTCAAAATTTGTGAAGATATTTTTCTGATGGTATCAAATTCCATATTTGGGCATTTCAATCGTCACAGAACAACAAAGGACTGGCAATGAAGGTGTCATTCGATGCAGCTTTTTCTCATCCTTCTGAAATACTTCTTTTCTTTCTAATCTGTTTGATATTTGAGGACAAAGTCTTTACAATTTATGTTTTCAGACGCGTCCGAAGCTATACCCAAAAAATTCGGAATTGAATATTTTGAACCGCTAAAAGCTCAGTTGCTTGCTTATATTAGTGATAAATCATAATCTGTTTCTGGAAGTTTAAATTGCGAGGATTTGTCGCCGTTTGAAGCTAATGTGTAATTCGCTACTTTGCAGAACTAAGGGCTTCTGGGAATATTATCTTAAGGATCAATGAAAAGTTAGTTAATGAAGCTAAAATAATTCATATTGTATTGCATTTTGTTTATTCTATCCAACTGTTATAGAAGCTAGTCAAAAAGTTGAAAGTAGAAATTTTAGAAGAATAGCCAAACTCAAGATAGGTGAAAACCACGGGTTGATCCATGCCGACTAATGAGCGGAAGTTGAGGAAATCTGAACAAAAACATAACCGTTAAAAAGAGGAAGAAAATCTGCATCGGATAGAGCCCACAGCTTTTGTCTATCTTTATTATAAGTGGTTCAAGCATGGGCCTGAAAACGGCACGTACTTTCGGATCGACCTAATACTACTACGGTAATAAAAGCCGCTGATTTCGATATTGAAATTTCCATTTTACTATGATGATTCTTTCCTAAGTCATCTCCGGTAAATCGTAATAACTGAATTCCCAGCATTTGTCAGAAATGTAATTACCGTCAAGAAAGCTGAAAACACCCTTAAAAAGTTGTTAAGTGAAATCAGCATGCGTGAAAACCCTAGTACACGATTTTTCAGTCTTCTTGAAAAAATTTTGTTAGGTGGTATATTTCACATTCCATATGCTGGAAGTTCTTACCGTAATCCTATAGTGATGAAGAGCAATCGATGATCGCTCCATACTGTAAATCTAAGTTTAACCTCGCTCTACAAGATGGTACCTAAAGCTTCTCGAAACACTTCATTACAAGAAAGTTGTCTACAATCAAACAGTAGGTACATTCTTTGGAACACCCTGTATTTGGCAACACTGATGTAGAGCAGCGGGTACATATGTAGATGTATAACTCCGCATGTAAACTTATTTCTTTACCAGAACAATTTTGTAAGACTTCAAAAAAAGGACTGTTTACTTCGGGCAGACAAACCACTGATTTCAAAGGCACCGTCCACTGAATCTGAGCTTGTTATAAGCTACCAGAGTAGATCTGGTTAAATCAAGACTTTGGTAACATGGTCTAACTATAGCTTTGAGACTGGTGTCTCGGGAAGATCACAGTGATATTGAATCTGCTCCAAATGGCGTCTTATCAGAGTATCGTTTGCTCATAAGTGGAAAAGAATGAGAGTTATGCTGGCGAAAGTTTCAGAGGATATTCTGGTACTTTGCTTGTAAGAAATGCAATGTTCCTAAATCCAGGGAAATCAATTCCTGTGGCCGTATTCATCATTGATACCTTGAGGTAAATTCTACCTCCAGGTAGTTCTAACACTCATTATCAGCAAGTACCCGTATTCACAAAGTACCTTGAGGTAAATTGTCAATATAATTTTGCTGATAAGTGATAAAACTACCTGGAGGTAGAATTTACCCCTCAAGGTATCAATGATGAATACGGCCACTGAAGAAACACAATCAATTCCTGAAGAAACACAGCCATAGACAAGCCTATTTCAAGACAAAGACAAAACTAAATAAAAAAAATTATTTTTAGAACTTTGATAACCTGAAAGTGTTTAAGATTGCGAAGAAGTGCCAACATGTGCCTACCCTAATTTAGAAAGCCATCAAAACAAAAAGGTTTTGAAAGGAAGCGATTCTCCTGAGATAAGTTTAGAGCAGAAGCAATCTCCGGCAGGAGGTTGGCGTTGCGGTCCATGATCGAAGCTACCTCCTCTTTTATTTCCAGATTCTCACCAAGCCTTTCTCAATTCAGCTCTCTGAAAATATCTTCTATATCCTTAACAAATTAAATTGTGGATAGAAGTCTGTTTTTTAAATTACATCGAATTCACGAACAGCGACTACAACTCGCTTTTAGGTTAATGTGCGGAACATGATTTAGTACCAGTGGCGTACCGAGGGGGGGGGGGCGGGGGGGGGGGGGCGCGCGCGCCCCCCCCCCCCCGAGAACGGGTCGCGAAATTTTTGAAAGTTACTTACATGGGTTATAAAAATGTGCAAGTGACTTGTTTTTACTTGTAAATAATTGAAATAATTTTTAAAACTTTTTAAAAATTCATTTTAGCCTTATAAAAAGTTTTTTTTCGGGGGCGTGGCCTCAGCCACGCCCCCTTTTTCCAGATTTTAGGGGTCGGGGACCCGGAAAAATTTTGAGAAGCACCCCAAAAATTTTTCGGAGTGCGTGGCTAACGCCACGCACCTTCTTTAGAAAAAAATTTTTGTCGCGCCCCCCCGAGCCGAAATCCTGGGTACGCCACTGTTTAGTACTGTTATTTGTACCTCATTCAAAAAAAAAGAGTATCGGCGGTTCATAACACGCAAAGACTGGGCGCCGGCACCGCCGCGTCCAACCAAGATAGCTCGCGCTTGGGAGAGATCGCAGATGGTAAGACAAACGAAAGAGCGCTTGATCAGGGAAACGCCGATATGGCCGCAGTCTTTGCGTGCAAGGAATGGTCTGTACATACGCTGCTCAGACATTCACCTTGTCGAGGCAGTGCAGTATATTTTACAGATAAAATAGCTTACTACTTTAGGCTCAGATTCTTCTTTCTGGACGATATTCTCCAGAGATTTCTTGAAGAATCTGAATTCATCAGCCGGAGACATGGTCAGCCATCACAAAAAGTCCACATGCCATGAATGCTCCTGTGAGAAGTCAAATGCAATCTGGTGAGATGTCTTCTCCGCCGTTGCCCGCTTGGAAAGTATATAAGATAAAGGGACTGATGAAAAAAGCAGAACTGTCGCCCATGGCCATGTTCCCGCAACAGGCGTATCCATACTGTGAGGGTGCTTATGATTAGTGGACATCCTACAGACATCGTTTTCTTTTTAGACACCTGATTGAGCAGTATTTCACTGTCTCAACAACACAGGAAAACTTGGGCGCACTTCGAAATGCACTTGAAACCTAACGCTGGAGATAAGGTTCGTGTGCACACCAACGCCAGTCACTGTAATGTGGAAACCATAAATCGTGTAGAGACAATCGCATCCTTGTATCTCCTGGTACGTGAGTGTTCATTATCTGGATATTTGGTTGTTGAAATGCTGGAAGATTAGCTAATTTGGGGCTTGGGGGCCTCCAAGAAGCGTGATTTACCCATCACTCATCACTCTTTCCCGCGCGTGCGTGGTCCCGGCGCGAACTAATTTTTGCTTTTCTAAGCATGTTATCGAAGTTTTGCTGCTTTGTTCCATGTTGTTGGTAATAGGTTGCAATTTCGCTATCTGTTGGTCTATTAATTTGCGAGACTTCTGATTGTATGTTTCAGACTACGCTGCCGCCGGTGAAGCTTAAAATTGCAATGGTTGATGACGAATTTGACAATAGGGACTCCGAACCCGCTGCCGAAACCAGCAATAGCGGCGCTATCTGCGCTGAGGTTGGTCGCATTCCGGTGTCATCTTTTTGGGCACTCCTTATATTTATTACCTCTATCCGTAATGACAGAAATTTTGGAACTAAAAAGCCGAGGCGACGTTGCATTTTTTGCGAGGAACTCCTCCCGCCTAAAGGGCATGTATGCGTTTTGCAGACATGGTTCGAAAAATTCTACAGTTTTTACAAGGAAGAAACTAATTTTGGAGAAACGTGTGCAGTATTGAGTACGCGCCGTAGGGAACGGCCATAGGTTGCCGGCAACGGTTGTCTGTTGTCGGGGTTGTCTGTTGTCAGGGTTATCGGTGTTGTCGGGGTTGTCTGTTGTCGGGTTATCGGTGTTGTCGGGGTTGTCGGTGTTGTCGGGGTTGTCGGTGTTGTCGGGGTTGTCGGTGTTGTCGGGGTTGTCGGTGTTGTCGGGGTTGTCGGTGTTGTCGGGGGTTGTCGGCGTTGCTGAGGTTGCCGAGGTTGCCGGTCGTTGTAGGATCTCATGATAGCCTCCATGTTTCGCGTGCTCTCTAAGCTCTCTCTGACCCCGGCAACGACACGCTCGACAACCTCGGCAACCCCAACAACCTCGACAACCCCGACAACACCAACAACCCCGACAACCGTTGCCGGGAACCTATGACCGTTCCCATATTCGTACACTCAGTTTCGCATTATCTCGGCTCTTTCACCCGCTTTGAGGGCAATGATCAGACGAAACTAGAGAAGTATTGGAAGTATTGGCAAGACAGTACTTCATACAACTCGTGTTCAATGGGTCATGGGGAGAAAGATATGGGTCTACAGGGAAAATGTATCTTAACAGTCTTTTTTCTACATACTGGAAGTTCGAATATGTGGAACACCAGTAAATTCTCTTCATTAAGGATCCCTCGACTACTGTTAGCGGACCTAGCGCGCAAGTACTTCGACGTTGTCCACTTTCTACCGAAGTAAGTCTAACATAGAAACACAGAATTACTTTTCTGTAGATGTTATCTCTATGTTACAGGCGCTGAACGAACTGAGAAGAGACTTGACTAGGTATGTGGTTTTGCGCCGCATGTTGGAACAACTCAAGACTGCTCTGGAGCTGGTTTGTTGGTTCCTATAATTGAATTCCAGGAGTTTCCACTATGTTTCTTCTCCTCGCTCCCCTCGCCCTATCCTAGAAAATTCAAGTCTATTATCGCTAGCATGGTAACTTCTTTGGAGGGAGTTAATCATTTGCGATTTACTAACGCTCAATTTTAATCATTCACTTATTTTTACCCCCGTTTTTCTTATTAGTGATCAGTCAGTGAAGTTCACAACCTTGCCGAAGTTGCAGTACTCTGAGATCCAGCCAAGGCCTGGCACCAGCTGGCACGGGGCAAGCTGGATATCGTTTTTGGGACAAAACGCAAAAGGGATATGTTTTTGTCGACAAATTGCGGGTTTTTTAGTCGACGTTTCGTTTTGTGGGGTTTTTTACTTCGTAAAACTTAGCGAAAATCAAGGGGGACTTCGTTTTGAAAATTCCTTGGTGCCAGCTCGTGCCGAGCCCTGGATCCAGCTGTCTATTTTTAGAGCAACTGCGCTTGCGACCCTCGCGAGTGTATTGGTGCAAGACGCCGCGCTGAGTTTGAAGAATCGCTGGAGAAGAAGAAGTCAAGCGGACTATAGCTTGGTCACGATCTCATTACCAGTTGTGAATACTTTTTTGTGCTAATCTTTTTTGTGCTAAGCTGATTGCCGGTGATCTCGTTTCTGGTTCTTTCTGAATATGATATCGTTACCTTGTTGTATTAGATGCTTGAAGAACATTTTTGTTGTCACTTTTTTTCTGGTTTGGTATAGGGGCCTGCACGATCGCGAGAGTCGGACGTGCGTACGGCCATTGCGCCGCGCACGTCGGCTGTCACTAACAATAAGGCAGGTGCCAGACTTATCAGCTTCAGCCGGTTCGTTCGGTTCATAGGTCAAATTACACTGTCCAACAGCAAAGGTGGTGAACCGAATGAACCTGTTCAACATGATAAGTCTGGCACTTACCTGAGCCGTCGGATGCACATCTGACGTGCGCGGCGCAGTGGCCGTACGCAAGTCCGACTCTCGCGATCCTGCAGGTCCTTATATACACACCAAGCTGGTACCACTACGTTAATAACTGTTTATTCGATAGTAGCGGACCAGCCGCTGATTATCAACAGTGGACATGCGGAACAGCCGCTGACGATAGTGGTAATAATCGAAACAACACCATAACTGAGTACTCAGGCCCCTTTATGCCACTATTTTGGGCGTGGATAACCTGAATGCTCACTTATGACAAATAGTATTATACAGAATCAAGGATTGCCTAAATGAAAGTAGGCACCGCCAAGTAGACTATTAAGCTCAGTGGAGAGGTGACCTGACGGCTTAAGTGGTCAGTGAAAGAGTTTGTCAACGACAAGCTAGTAGAATACTGAATATAACATGCAAAATAACTCTGCAATAACAAAGGTTGTAAAATAGGCAAGTAATCTAGGACAGTGGGGCGCGCAACGGAAGCAGCGAAAACAAGAAAATATGAATCACAGAAGTTCACGTAGCGGTACAAAATAAAAATCTTCTTATCACAACATAGCTAAGTCACGTATATCACATTATTTCTGCAACGGCTTGTTGTCTCCGTCTGAGAATCGTACGGTGGTCGGCCATCGTGCCGTGTTCGGGCTTCGGGGCCAAGCGCGACGTGTCCATGAGTCCTTGATTTTCGGCGTTTGCGGTTAAACTGCAGTCTATCAAAAGCGTATTGCGTTGATCGCTTCTGCTTTTCGTTGGTATTACAGGTTGTGGAAGCTTCTTTGCCGGAATCGAACAATCGAGCTTCTTTACGCGGCATTTGGAAGTTGCGCGCCTCCGGCACCTTCGCAGCTGTGAGGCTTTGAATCGCATCGTGGGAAAACAGTTCAGAACTTTAGCATGTTTGGTCCTGTTTGATTTTATCGCTTTTCATTCCATTACCTAATTCTTCTGCTTAGATGCCATAATTGCTTTAGCTGACAAACACGGTTGTTCATTGACTATCATGCGTTCTTCTCCTTTGAGACAATCATCGATGGGTTTTTAAGTTTGCTTTGTTTGTAATTGTTTGAAAGCATCTGAGCTATTGCAATTTCTTTCGTAGATTTCTGCTTTCGAAGGGCTAGAAGTTTATAGCTCGAAAAACAATTCATGGTTTTGAGCAGTGCCCTCGAATCACAAAAAAGAAGCGCAATAAATTGGGAAATGCCTCTTTTCGGTTTTTATTTTAGATCGCGTTTAACACGTTGACGACCTTGTGTATCCACATGTATGTACGCCCTGATTCCCGTTTAGCATTTTCGTGCATCCGCGCATATGCACGCTAGTTTTTTAGGTGCAAACGAAAAGTTTTAAGGTAACTTCTATGCAGTAATACATTAGTGGCCTGAGTCTTAGGCCTAAGGCATACCTCGCGCGATTCGGCCAAATCGCGACGTTCACGCGACCTGGCAGTTTGCCAGATGTTTCCAGATTTATCGTGCGCGGTCCTCCAATACATGGGTGCGTAGCTTTTGTAATTTGTTGCGAACTGATCAAGTCCTGCCTTAACAAAGCGCTCCAACGACCAATTATGAACAGTTGTTCTGGTGACAAATCGCGCAGCGACTGGAATCGCGTGAGGTATGCCTTAGGCCTTACAAAACACAGGGCATCGCGGCAGCCGTTCAGAAGTTTTGGCCGCAAAATCGGATAACCAGTCCGTTTTTGATCTAGTCAATAACGCTAGTTACGTTTTCTCGAGAAGGTGAAAACTTTGTATAGCTCTTTTGAAATCAAACAAAGATGATTCAGGCAAAAACCATCTAGTTTAACAACGCTTTTCTCGAAGAGCGATTCCTCAGATATAGCCATTGCATGGATTACTGGAGGGAAAATCGATGCAAAAACCTTGATTTGTGTAAGTCCTGGTAAGGCTCTGTGATATACCTGTATGTCTGAACAAAGTTCGCATGTTTTATTAATAAGCGACAAAAAGACTCCCACATAATGTTTTCGTGCATACGCGCGTATGCACGGCCCAAATGCGCGAAGGACGTTAGTGGGAGTTTCGCCCAAAATGGCGCGGTCGTCAACGTGTTGAAGCTGCCTTTGAAATTACAAAATGATATTGCGAAGCGGCGAACGCTTATTTGTTCTGTAAAATCAGTTTTGAACTCTTATCTATTCTTAAAGCTTTCGAAATCAGGAGATTTTCTAGTGTTTGATGCGTTTTTATACGATGCGACTTCGCAAAGGTGAACATTTTGGGATACTTGTTTTGACAAATATTATACATTAAAGCTAGTTGGAGATGCCAATAAAATTTACCGTATTCCGCTTCGTTGAGCTACTTACCTCTCACTGAAGCTTTTCCAAAAGTGTTGAATGGAAATTTATGAAAAATTGTTGAACTTTGATATGTAAAGATCATGGGCTTAAGGTTTTGGCAGTTGTTCCAGAATCATGAGAGCAACTAGCCCAAATACAAGATAAATAAAAAAAGAGGCAAAAACAGTGTTGAATCTTTTTTAAAAGTTTGTCTAATTTTATTTCACGTGTTTTAGTGGTCGAAAAAAGGAAGAAACTTTTGGAACAACCCAATATATGACTCATGGTCCTATGATTATAATTGAGGAAAAATTCTCTACCTCACCATGTGAAGAATTTCAAGAAACGCAAACCAAAGCCACTCAACTCTGCAAAAATATGAATAATCAAAGGATGAAACCTGAAGAGAGATGGCTTGACGTTGACCGCAAGACTAATTTTTTTCATCAGAAAAGTAGGAGATTGAGATTGCGGTTTTTGTTCAATGCGTTAACTATTAGGTTGTCCCGAAAGTTTTTTCGGTTTTTTCATCGCTCACCAAAACTCACAGAACACCAATTCATGGACGACTTACAAGGAAAGGATACTTGGTGACCGTAGCCTTCTGAAATGAAACGTATACCATTAAATGCATCTTGAGGCGCTGATTCCAAATCTACTTTCGATGTCTGCTGTGCATTCTTCCGAAAGAAGTTATGAACATTTCTTGCCACCAAAATTTGCACTGCTTTGATGACAGAAATCATCAATATCATTAGAATGTTCATTACGCACTACAAAAAAAGCGCCCAAATAAAATAAGGCTTTACATTGAGCTCAGAAAAACTGTCTACGATATATCAGAGCCTATAAAGTTTGGATACTGATGATTCTGACTACCTAGATCTCGTGAAAACAATGTGGAAAAAAGTCCATAACTTCTTTCAGAGAGTCGCACAGCAGATAATGAACACAAATTTGAAATTAGCATTTTAAGGCGCATCTACTGGTGTAAATCCCATTGCAAAGCGCCACGGTCACCAAGTATCCTTTCCTTGTTAGATACCTGATTCAGATTTTTATCCTCTTTCTTATACCTATATTGCCCTCTGATCTACCCTGTGCAATGTTATCGCCATGGCTTTTTGAGCAGCTCAGCACTAACGCCAGATCTTTCCTGAACTTTGAAAATTTTTATTCTGGAATTTTCAGAGAGCGCTGTGACTGTTATTTAGAGCCAACATTTGGCCATATTGTATCTGTTTTAGATTACGTGGGCCACCTTCATCGAGTCCGTAATAATTATCTATTTTAGAAGCAAAACCGTGGCTTTTTAAAATCGATCACCACGTAAGATTACCGAAAATTTCATAAAGCTGATTTTTGAAGCAAAACAAACTTGGTTATGTTGCATAATGTTTAATAACAAAAAAATTTTTGATTCGCAGAAACTTCATGGGCTTTCATGTTTTTGGTGCAGTTGCATGTTTCATGACTTTGTCAAATCAAAGCCTCCGAAGAAATTCTCCGAAGTTTTCTTAAAGCTAAAAACAGCAGACTAGAAGATCCCAAAAATATTACCTTGTAGTCGGAGGGTTGCTCTATTTGATCCATACTTAACCCTTTCCGAAACATCGGAATGAAATTCTCAAAAATTAGCCTGACTATGAGAAGATAAAATTGACAGGTGGGGAATTTTGGCGATTATCAAAAAAAGCATGCAGGATTGTGGTTCGACAATACAACTGTAAGAAAGTGAAGGAAAAAGCTGCATCAAATGAATGTTGATGCTCTCAGGTTTTTATTGCGCGGTTTTACAATGGTTTGAAAAAACCGACAAACCTTCGGGACAACCTAATATAATAATTGAACAGAGTCGAAAGCTTTTGTAACACAAGGTGTCCCAAAAGTACATATGCAGTGTTTTAGCATCTCTCTTCCCGAAAGGTCATGCGCCGACCTATAGAAACCATTTGGAAGAGCTGGCTTTGACTTAAATTCAAGGTATAGAGAGCAAACCTAACCAATCGCTCTTAATCATTAGGAGTACGGTAGAAACTCTCAGCTACTATGCCTTGGCTGTTATTTTAAAATTCCGACGAGAGTATACAGGGAGGTTCGCCCACGCTCAAATTTATTTTTCACAAGCTCTAGAAGCTTAATCAAATAGTATAGTCACATTTCAGGTACGCTACATATACTCGGCATAATTTCTTCAATAAGGCATTAGGTAAAGTGCAAATTCCATATTTGGATTAAGCGAATCTGATTAGCCTAGCATAAGAATTTCAGCTTGTTTTGATCCTCTCGAAGCAAATCGCCTTAGCGGATCTAAATTCTAGTCAAAGTTCCTCCGGCAATTTCAAAGTAAGAGCGAAAGGTGGTTTGCTTCATACTGTATTTTAGTTGAAGCTAGCTCTGAATGAAACATAAAGATCGGCAAAACACTTTGT